ATTCTTTCTTAAGTAATAATAACATATCGAGTAAAGTCCCTTGTCTAAATGTCTTTTTAAATACGTTACTACAAACTTTTTTAATTTGATTGCAAAGAACGTTATTACATGATTTTCTGAGTTGATGATAAGATTCTGAACTGCTTCTTTAAATGTGATGAAATTTGAAAGTCGAACTCTTTATGTATCCGGTAAATAATGAAATTTTATACATTTAATCTTTAAGGTAATCATTAATTTTCTCATTCTTGAATATATAATTGATTACAAAGACAAACGACTCATTAGAAAACCATATTGTAATTGAGTATGTTTATTACAAATCTGTCAGATATTAAGTGAAATATGTTAAACGAGTATTTTTTATCAAGTTTCCAATCGATTGATCAAAATATATAAAAGTTTAAATTGTGTGATATTTTTAATTTTCTACTAAGAACTTTGGTTCAGTAAATTACATCAAAATTAGTTGTTTTTGAAAATCGGATAATCTTTAACCGTGATATAGTGTTTTAAAGTTACATAAAAATATCTTTCAATTTATTCGCAGATACTCGATTTCAACATTGATACAACCTAATACAATACAATACAATACAATACAATACAACCCAATACAACGCAATATTGATCATCCACTGTTACATTCCTCATTTATTTAAATATGTTTAATCATATTATAAGATATTTTTCATATGCTCCAACGCCCAAGAAAAACAAAAAGCACTGCCAAAAATAGTTATGAATCATCGGTAAGGCCAGTTTTGGCTGTACGATACTTTGTTTCAGAGCTCGTCATTGACTTCACTGATTTTTTTGAAACGGTACAACTTTATTGACAATGCAGACGTGACTCACGGTGTCACACTTAAACTTCATGCTGAACACATGTCCTGGCGCCTCTGAAATTCATTAATGTTAATTCCATCGTTTTACTCGATCGCGCATTTCTAAATCTGGAGAATTAGAAAATTATTTTGAAAAACAATTATCATCAATTGTCAGTTCTGTATTTTTACGAATGACATCGTTGTTAGAATGTTATTATTCTTTAGTATTAGCACTAAGTAATGAATTATATTTACACGGTGTAACGTAAGATTGACAGGATAGATATTGCTTTTTGTTCAGAAACCTTTCAATTATATCTCAGTTTTAGAAATCTTTAAATTTCCAATATATTCATGTAGAAGTATAGCCGCCTCGTTTTCGCAATACCCAATCAAATCTGAAGGCTCAGAAAGTTGTTTCGACGAGGGTAGTTAGATGGTTTCTTGTTACTTTTTGCTGGATATCAATTCCAAGAAAGATTTGACGACCATGGATATTTTTATACTTGCGTCAAAAATGCGAAAATGGATTCGACTGGTTATACTAGAAAACCCACAGAATTGATTGGTCCTTAAATATTTTATGGATCTTGCATTCAGCTAATGAATGATAAATTAAAAAAAAATGAAGTGGCATAAATGAGCCAATGAATGTTCCTGCACAACGCAAAGCAATAGCCGTGGAAATAATAGAAAACAACAGCGAAACTCTAAACAAGTGAAGTCTAAATTGAAAGATCCGTACCAGTGCGAGTGAATTTCATCATTGACCGAAGAAGTTGATAATTAAATAAATTGCCGACGGTACAGCGGTGCGTTCGTGCGAAAAAGTTGAGCGCTGCATTGCCGTTTGCCAATAGTCTTGCGCGGATGAATCAACGGGTGCAAATGTCTCGTCCTTAAAAAGAGCGCCGTAAATATATTCCGAGAAACAATCATCGCGCGGTACTCGCGCCAGCGACGACGACGACGACGACGACGACAAGCAAGCCGTTAATTGAAAGCCGTTGAGAAGCCGTTTCGCGCACGCTCGATTATGTCATAGCGGCTATGGGAAAATTCAATCGGGGACACGATGTGTCGCGCGCTAGCTGCACCAGGAAAAGCGCGAACGTCGATTTTTATCTTTCGCCCCGGTTCGCCAAAATAAAAGAGAAAAAAATGAAAGAAAGAAGAAAAAAAGTGAGATACCACCTCCTCGTGCCGGCGAGCGCCGCGCCGCCGCTTCACTTTCGCTCCCTATATGGGTGCTCGCAACACGCCGCTAGAGCGCCAGAAAGAGATGCCGCCACTTCGAGCGCCAGCCACTGCAAAGTCGCAAATCGCTCTTTTGCTTTTGACATTTTGGGCATGTTCTTTAATTTTCCGCGGGTGTACTTCAGGGGAATCCAAGGACGCTTCGCCGTAGGTGCTAATGAGCGGATGAGACGCGAATGCCAAGGACAACTTACGTTTCTGCGTTTCCCCTATAACTCTTATTCTATGCAGTGCTTACAACTTTCCTTTTCAATCATCACGTTATCTCATGGCTTTGTGCCAACTGATATGATTTATCTCTAAAGTTTCAGATACTATCCATTATATATTGAATGTAGGTGTCAGATTTATTTTCATAAAACAAACAAAAACACGAAATTCGCTATTGGTATGAGAATATTTATTTCGAATTTTTATTTCAAATAATAATAATGAACAAATTCGAGTGTAATTTGAATTTTGTAAAATTTCTACAACATATTATCTTGTTACTTTAAAAATAATTTAGCGAATAATCAAAAAATTAATTTTTCCATCTATTGAATTATGCTATGCATGTTAACTCAATGAATGGGTGGAAAAATGAAAGCGAAGAAACTTATGAATTATTAAATTTTATAGCGATATTTAATCAAAGCTTCATTTCATATGCATTACTTTCTATATTCGGAAATTTTCAATCAGTTAAACTTTTGAAGTATAAGTTAATTTCACCCAATCTTTCATGATTTTGATTGAAAAATATCCCATTTTTCTTTATCAATTACTATTTTTACATGGTAATTGCATAAATTTTCTCAAAACAGAAATTAAAGTCATAGAAGTCGAGTACGTAATTGAAACTGGTTTTTGCAGAAACTAATAATTATATCATTCTTGTTACACCAGTCTTTTCAGGTATTATTCTGTTAGTTTAATATTTTTATATTATCGATTGTGTTAAATATTGTACATTTTGATGTAAGCTACAGTTCACAAGCGAGAACATTATAGTTGGATGTTTCATTGTTGCAACAAAGATGATATTGTTTTTCCTCAGTCAGCTTATAATTTGAGGGAGATTTTTCTGACTTAAGCAATTTAAGGACAACTTTATAAAGGAATTAAATTTAATTATCCATCTTAATGAAAACGTTACTTTAATTTAACAGTCTTTTTTTATTACTAATGTCATTTAGCGCACTTGGCGCGCTCTTTCTTTCATATTTTTCTGTTATTTATTATATTGTTTGAACATTTTACATACCATCTTGAAGATTCTAATGGGCACGAATAAATTATGCTATTTAAAATACACTACATCCACCGATATTCATTGATAAATACAAATAGAATGTATGGGAAAAATTATCCAAAATATTAAACCTTCGATTGATAAAGTGCACTAATATATGCTATTATACAATATTAAGCCTTACATACTTAATAGTATAATGGTTTTAGCCCCAGTATTATATTAGTATGAATAATAGTGAATAATGAATAATTCAACATCGTGTATCTTTTTGTTTCGTCATTAAAAAAACCCACGAACATTCTTCAAATTTAATGGGTTTAATATTCAAATAAGTAGTTTTCATTAACCGCATACCTCTTAATTTACAATGTACAAAAGGCAAAAATGTATTTTCCTCCATATTATTTTATTCACTTTCTCTCTTGTTCAACCAAATTTTAAGACGAGTATCACAGTATCACAGATTCTAAATTATCGATTTAAAATTAATTTAAAAATACGACTTCTTATGTTCTCAAAACGACTTATTAACGACATATTTCTATTTTTGCAGATTATTATCCATATTGATTAGTCATAAATTTGATTTCCTGTTGAAATATAAATCACACACACTTAAACATGTAATACAAATATTTCAATGTACACGAAAATTCAAAATATCGCGCTCTTTTTTAACATCAACTAATCATAACGCTGTTAATTCATCATTTTTTTTATGGTAGGATAGGATACATGCTATACCATCATCGTAAATTAAACCAAAAATTTATGTCTGAAGCATTTTTAAAAGTGATAAAATTCATTAGGTTGGTAACCTAAGACGCGATAAATCAGCAACCGTAAACTATGAAAATAGACTTTTAAAAAATCTCGCGAGGAATGTATACTTTTGCCGACAAAAAATATGTAGATTCTCGAAGTAGTCGGTCCGAACACGCAACACTATTGTAATGGTTTGCAAAGAATACGAGCATTTATTATATTGCCTACGAGCTTTTATAATGTTTTGCGAAGTTTCATTATCCTCGTAAAGTGTCACCAGTTTCAATGTTCCTCGTAAATTGGGACTATTTATAATACGGAGCAGCGCCTCATATCTAAATGTCATCGAAGAAAGTTTGCACATGCCTCTGGCAATCTAGCCAGATTTCGTAACGCCTCGATTTAACATTTTTTCTTTATTGTCCTCTATTCATTGCTGATATACAAAACGCCTGTGCACCAACTGAATACGAACTCGCGGTGATTGTAGGTCACATTTGGAAAAGATCTTATCTAACGCCAAATTATAATGATAAACGTACAATAGCTTATGTTGGATTTTCAATACTTTTTTCTATGTGGGCAAACGAGATACCTTATTAAAAAATTTTCGAATACTTTCTGAATACTTTGAACGGATACTTGAAGAGAATTCAATATATTTTTTAATTGGCCGAATTTTTCGAAAAATATAATACTTATTTTAGGATTCTAGGAAACACTTTTTTTAAAATGCTCTCGTTACAATAACAAATATTCTTTTTCGAAAAATATCCTTTTGTTGCGGTTTAGTTCGACCATCAAAACTTTCCTTCAGAACTGTAACAAACTCGTTCACTTAGTTCCGACCTTTTTTTATAAAAGCTCGTTAATTCAGGAAAATTCATGAGACTTTTGGGGTTTAATTGCAGCCTGACTATTACCGGGACGCGCTACACTTTAGGCGCATCGGTGCAGGTCCGCAGTATACCTTGGAAATTCCTCATGCGAAGCTCGACTTCACGGGTACGTATTCGGTGCTCGCGAGGAACGAGCATGGCGAGACGAAGGCCGTGATATCATTGCAGATTTACGCCAAAGGTAAAGTAACGTTGCTAACGATTGAACCGTTAATAGCTCAAGTCTGTTTCAACAACATTCAGCGTTCTTTTTTTTTCCTACCGATTTGCCGTGCGCGTATTTTATAAATAAATATGCCGAGCGCTGTGTGCAATTAGAATAAATGAACTGTGAATGCGCGACAGCTGGCGCCAGTCGGCCTGTTTTTATTTTTTTTTTATTTTAAGCAATATCTTTAGCGACGGAAGAGGACATTTTTTTCATTCGATCGCCAGGCGCAAAGGTGTTAGGTTTCATTATGCGCGCAAAGGCTTTAGATACGACAAACTTACGATTGCCGTAATGTATTCGTTGCGATACAGAAGAATTTTACATCTACTGCGACGATAATAAATTTAGTATACACCGCGGGCATGTGCATTTTCATCGCGTAATACTTGGGTCGATAACTCGATATTTATTATGCAATAGTTCATTGGAATTGCACCGCCGGGTATTTTATTCCAAGTTTACGAGTGAGAATTATTTGAAGTTATTCTGTACGGGCTGAATTTATTATTTGTGTTATCATGAGTTTCTTGATACTTCAGTTTGAATGCATTTAATTTTACATGAAATTTCAATCGTTTCCCTTTTAGGTCAGGGAAAGAGTGACAGCATGGACAGCAGCGTAAGGCAAGGGTTAGTATCCGCCCCTCGTCCAATCGAACAATTCGACGATTAATAACAACTCAACACTGACAGCGTTATTCCTTTTTAAAATTTAGTAACGTCATAAGCGTTCCGATAATCAAAAAGGAACTCAAGGATATCCGATGCTGCGATGGAGATGCGGTCACTCTCGAATGTCAAGTTTACGCACCAACTGAACCACCTAATATTCGATGGGAAAAGTCTGGCAAGGTAAATATACGGCTTCTTTGAGTGCAGCTTCTGAAAACGTAATATCGGCGTTTTCCCTGGTGTCGTTACGCAGCCTCTGCTTTTGGACGGCGACTTTTCGTCGGACTTCGATGGGGAAATTGCGAGTCTCACGATTCGGCACGTTTATCCAGAAGACGAGGGAGAATACACGTGTGTGGCTACGAACGAATTGGGCAAAGCATTCACTTCTGCCTGCTTGGTCGTCGATGGTAAGTTTCCCCTCGACGTGCTGCCCGCGCGAACGTTTTTTTTTTACTTTCCCACGAACTTTCTTGACGAATCATTGTAACGCAAAGCGACTCGAGCTGTCGGCATGCGGACATTTAATGAGTTGTAGCCGTAGCGCTGGGACGGGGCACCAAGCGAGCCCTCTTACGCACGGACGCGCGTGATGAACATTCCAAATTGACGTGCGCGCGAGAGAGCTTACGAGCGCGCGCGCCGCGCAACGATGGAATGCCAATCAAAGCAGAACGGCTAATGATTCAGACTTGCTTTCGTTGCAAATTAAGCTTACCCGCGATCGAATGAAAAAGAACTTCCGCTTTGCGCCTTGCGAATTGATTTTTATTGTTTGTCGGGCTGCTCTGGCGCGCGAATTGATTATTCTGGCAGTGTGGGAGAGAGATACGCGACGTGACAATGAGTTGCCTCGAGCTGAATTGAGAAATAATGAACATTGCGATAAATCAGATTTATTTTCGTTTCAGTTCCCGAAGGCAAAGAAAATGTCCTTAGTCAGCCGCTTCTTACTAGGCCTCAAGGGCTTTTGTCTGCTAATTCAACGCCGAGATCGACACCCAGATCTACGCCTGTCAGAAGCTTATCTCCGAATGTTTCACGTGAGTACTTGCTAAGATAATCTCGCCAAAAATAAGATTACTGAGTATTTTCAATTTGTTTTGCGGCGACAAAATTTTGCACGAAAGTATCGAAGGTTATCTTTATGTTCCACCGCGCAATATTCATGTAGCGTGAAAGTTTGTTGGATATCAGTATTGAAAATTGTAAAAAAGCCGAGATAATGTTGCAAGTCAAAGTCAGATAAAAATCCATATATTATAGCACGAATGACTCCAAGGTTATCCGTTGTCAAGTTCCTTAGATTATTCACAAGAATTTTCTTAGGAAATTGTAAAACTTCAAATTTATTAAATTCCAGCTTTACGATGTACGAAATTGTGACCTCAAATACAGTCATCATTCCTTAATTATTTCATATAATCAGGTGGTGACTTTTCTGTAATCTAATTAATTATTGCTGCAGGCATAGATTAATCTTTTCACAACCATTATTAGTTATATAGTATGCAATACTTCTCCACTCTATCAATCGTCTATAAGGCAAAAAGCTGTTATGTGGAAATCTGGAAAACGCATTGAATATTTTTAGTCGTCATTAGTTTAATAGCATATCTATAAGCCGTTTAGAACCAAGATTCTCATATTGATTCTTCGATCAAAATTGACAATTCTCTCTGGTCGGGCACTAGTATTCAAGTAAAAGAATAGCCAATTAATACAATGTAGATTTTCTATCTTTCATTTGATTGTTTAATTATTGTTATTTAAGAAAAAAGAGAAAATTAATAAATGCACGTGGTTATTCATAATTTATATGAATCAATAAAAAGAAAAGTAGAATCACTTATATATACATATATATATCAATAAAGTCATGCATCACACGTGTAAGCATCATTAGAAACATTTGCCTATTTAGTAATGTAGCTGAGTGCTTCGACATGTTCGTCATCTTGTATATTACGCTCTACATGGTGAATATTAAAAGAAAAACAAATTCGACTATTCTATATGATTGATAGATCGACATATACAGGTTAATCTTCACAGATAACTTTCATGATTCTTTCACATTTTTCATGATTGTTAACTTCATCTACAAGAAGAAGTTTATCTTCAAGCTTTTGCTTTATTACTATGATCTGGCGGCCATGAGTGTTAGCAATCCGAAGCATAGCAGTTTCTTCTCTATTTTCTATTACGAGCGTATTCTCCGAATCATCCTTATTATTGTGAGTACCATCGAGCCACTCATAGAGAAATTTGTGTTGCGTTTGAATCCAGCAAAGTGTTGCGAAACCACTAGAATTTAAGTAAACGTCGCGATCATAGTAAAGACCCTCAGCTTTCATCCGACCTAGTACAGGTGAATAAACATCGTGTAGACTGTGGACGTAGAATTTTTTTCTTCTACAAACGTTTTTGAAAATGGTAATGGGCAAGTACTGAGTGCCTCTCCATTGTGGTCGAAACTTCTTTTGGACAAATTTCTTCATTTTTGAAAACTATATCGAACTAAACTATTTTGTGAAAAATCCGAGTAAAAGCCTGAACTTTCATGTCAAAAAATCACTGGATTGACGTGCTTTTTGAAACACTAAAATATGTATGATTTGTAGCTTAAAATTTGCATTTAGAGTTTTTTTTACAACATCTCTAATAGTATCTGAAAATTAAACGCTATTTCACCTTGCATTAATTAATAACAATGAAACAATAGAAAATTGAAAGCTGTTTAAATTGCCTATTATTTTGTCGTTCCCTTCATTGTATCACATTAAATGTATTACATACCTATAACACTTTCGGCAAAGATTCAGTTATCATCATCTTCAGATAATGAATCAACAGAGCATATTTTAAATAGCCATTTTCCCATGAAAGTGGGTATCCTTACAGTCAGAAGAGATGAATATGGATATTGTTGCAGAATATCGTACAGTCTTAACAAAGCTAATAGATGTTTATTTTTGTCGATGAATATTTCGTAGAATAGACATTCGAAAGTATTATTATGCAAACACTCGTGCAGATGTAATATAAACTTTTGCCGTGTCATATTCATACTATCAGATAAGCCTATAAATTCAAATGCGATAGCCGTGTATAAAAGCACATAAAATGAAATTATTTCCGGTAAAATGTATATTTTTGTCGGCTAGAATTTTAAACAAATCTCTGAAAGAGAGTAAGATCCATTCAACACTGTACAAAAGCACGTACCTTAAAATATTACAGAGCTACAATGAAGAGCAATATTTCCATTATTGTAGTAACTGTTTAAGACAGGAGTTCATGCAATGCTCTCTCAAGTATGTTAATATAGTATTAATGCAGTATACTACACTAATATTATATAGAATAATTTAGATCAGTTGTATTTTCTATTAGATACGACCTATTAGTAGCTCTAATTTTCTGACACATACAAAATTATAAATAGAAGAACTTCAAGAATTTCTAAGAACTTCCAATTTTTATTACTGCTGCTCAACAAAATCAAATTTTTTTAATTGTTTAATTGAAGAAGAATTACCTTTATTTTTTCAGTGTAACACAAATTAATTTAAAATTGAATCCAGCCATATATGTTATCAATTTCCTTACAAAACTCACAATAGACTTTTTGAAGTCAATCAGAAAGAGACATTCCGTGGCTGCATCTAAAGTGAGTACGTGATTACGATCTTATTAGTCGAAGAAGGGATGCGTGCATGTATTATATTACAGGTTAAAATTCACACCAGCTTATGTAAAACAATGTATTTATTTCAAAGAAAAATATATTTACATCGCATATTTAAACAGTTTCAACAATTTAGGACACCCTTGTAAGCGCAATCACAAATTCTCAAAATTAAAATTAAAAAATGTCTAAACGCTCGTGCAAAGTCACACGAACAACCGACTCGCTACGAATACATTTTTATTTGCATATACGTTATTCAGCGAACTTACATTATGTAAACGGCTTTGTAAAAGAACAGTTGAGTTGCCCTCTAGATCCACTTGTAAACGATGATTTCCGAAATAACGAATACTTTGAGTCGTACCCCGATTATCTGTTTATCTATTCTTATGCGCCGTTGTGCTATATCATACACAGTTAGTGGCCTTAAATCATCACCTGGCTTTCATAAAATCGCATAGAAATTTTCGCGTTATAAAAATTATTCGCAAATTAAAAATAATATTTTATAGAACGGCTCTGTAAAAGCATACTAAGCTGAATTTTGAAAATTGGACAGTGCCGTTATGGCAATACATTGTTCATAAAGTTCTTCAGCTTTGAAAGTATCCATTTGGTTTAGGAACTGCTTTTTCATGCGCAACTTGTAATTTACTAGATACTTCATATTGAGTAAATTCATCGAAAATGCAAATAAAATTATATAAAATATACTTTTTTATTTCGCGTAAAAACATGTGTATTTATATTTGGATGCCTGATTTTATAAGTAATACTAGAAACTCAAGAAATCGAATTCACATGAATCATTTTGTTAAAATTATGTAATGTTCATGCGTTCATGTGCGAATATTGACATTGTGAATGATACGTGAAATTTCCAGCAGCCACTTGTGTAATTTTAAACAACAACTCGAATTATGAAGTGCACCAAGTAATTAATAATGTAATCATTAATTTCTTTACGAGATTTTTTTGTTTTCGTCTCATTTTAAACAACGCTTTGTGTCATCGACTGTTTGAACAAATGAAAATTCACTATGCAGATGGTTCTTGTGTCTACTCCACACAAACATTTTAGCAGATAAACTTAACAGTTTGCAAAAAATTAAATGTAACACACCTCTGTTATAACAAATAATCGCATTCATTGTCAATCAAGATATTACAAAGAATAATTTACAGCCACTGCACTATTCAGTATATCAACAAATTGTATAATTAAATACAATCAAAAAAATAACAAGTGTAAATGATTTGAACTATTTATGTAATCTAGCTGCAAAGATGCATTCTATTATGGATGAGATCATTAGTTGTTGGATGTCCTTGGCGAAGATTTTTTATGTCTTCTCGCCTTTGACTTCGACTTGGGAACTGGCGTATTTTCAAACTCTTCCAAGCAATCTTTTAGATCTATCGACATAGAACTTTCCGTCAGATCTTGAATATCATCCATACCTTCGAGCAAGTTAAATTCAGATTCCAAAGATATATCAGCTAATTTGGCTACAATGTCCGGCAGACGTCGCTTTTGGCTCTTCGTAGGTTTCGCAACTTCCGCGCGTACTCGTGTGTTCTTTCTTCTTTTAGAAGTTGGCGTTTGACTTTCGACGGAAATCTCTAATTGCTGAGTCTTGTCTTTGGCCTCTTCAGTCGCAATGTCATCCGTTAATTTGTTGTTGGTTGGAGAATCGCGTACTTGTTTCGCTTGCACAGAGAACCGCTTAGCAGCTGGCGAATCATTGGCGTAACTAGTGGCAGAACTGTACACTTCCACGGTATTGAGTAAATCGTAAACTCGGCAAATTTCTTTGAACGTTGGCTTCCGAGTAGGAAATGGTAGTGACCTCAGTCTCGAATCGGTTTTGTCTAATGGGGCATCTTTACCACCGAATAATATTAATCGATTGTGAGGACCGACAGCTCTGTACAATATCAGAGACGAGTTTGTTAAGTAACAAGCTGACCACGACTTGAGCAACTGCTGTACTTTCTGAATAAAATGAGCCTCATTAGCACGTCGCAAGCTCGCGCCAGCACTCCGACAGTGAGTAGAGTATCGATTGTCGCGAGATTGCTGAACCGAACCTTGCTTCGCTCTCACTGTGTAGGCATGCAGAGTCTTGTGGATCACCGCACTGCCATCTGAAAATACTGCTCCTGCGAAGTGCCCACTGCCAACCATGATTATCGTCCACAATGATTTGTCCTTTTTCGTTAATACTTGTACTATCGCGTCGTGATCGACATCTGCCACAGTTTTTTTCTTTTGTAATAATAAACAATTATATATGCTAAAGAAATTGCCATCTTGATTTTCAAATAATATTTTCGACTGTCTAGTAGTAGTTGATAAAAGAATATCTTTTTCTATTTCTACTCCAGGACTATCACTTTCATCACAATTTTCCATTTGTTCATTATTTGTTTTTATTTCTGACATAGGTTCTTTCAATTTTACATCATTTCTCTGATATACAATTTCATCATTTGATCCATTATTTTCGTTTGTTATTCTTTTGTTCAGATTTGTAGTATTGACAGAAACTTCACATTGAGTCAAAGAATGATTATTTTTTTTAATTAAAATATTGAAATTATGTTCAGATATTGGTTTCAAACCTTCGAGTTGTTGTTTAAGATTATACCGATGCCAATCAAGTTTATAATGCAACCTTTGCTCCACTTTATTTTCAAACACAGTATTGCAATAAGAGCAGGATAATATTGCTGATGCAACATGATTGTCTAACTTGTCTATATTTACTTTTCCATCTGATTTTTCTTCTATACTATGAACCACTTTAACTCCTTTTGTGATTCGTTCAAAATCACATGAATTATAAATTTTTATAGTTTCATCACTCATGATTAAACCAATTAATTTTTACCAATTACAGAGGAAACAATTTCTTTTTACAAATTTTAAGACTTTATACAAATCTGAATTTTTACTATTCTTACATAAAACGTTACGTTATTGAATGCATGATTTCATTATTCATTCACTGCTAACACATTCTAACACATTATGTTCATGGATTGCACCATTCTTGTATAAGTTGATGATAGAGGTACAAGATTTTGTTTTTACTTTTTTAAATATTTTACGTTAGTTTAGTCATTAAATTATAGAAATATAATGTACTGTACCATTTTATTACTACATTTGAATTTGCGATGGTAATGAGATGAATTGTCGATTAAAAAATATTTTACAATTCAAAACAAGTCAAATTTGAAAGTAACTACTTTAAGCGTGAAGCAAGTGGAGAGAGAGAAATAAGATACACTCCGTATATACACAAGGAAAGCAGCTGTCTTGTTTTAATTTAAGAACGGGATGCCCCTTGCCGTTGCTGAGGAGATAATCCATTCGAACGGAAGATGTGCTCAAAATTACACAATAAAACTTATTTGTATGTGGCACGTAGTATTTGGAAGCAACAAGAAATACAATTAATTGTGTTGTTCTCAGCTGTTAAACCATTGCTGAACGCAAACACGATGGCCGTCTACGTAAAACTAGCTTTCACAACACTACAACCATGTAGTGTGCAGTGTAGTTAGATCGGCACTGAGTTAAGTGCTCAAATACGACAGTAGTTTAAAAATATTATCGCTAGGTGGCATTCGAGTACCTATATCTTAGTACAGCGTATTACGGTCAAGGAAGCCCTTTTTGAGTTCGTAGCTTGTATAACAGATTTCAAACAATTTTTCTATTTATAAATTAACAAAGTTTATAATTTTACCAAGTATTTGTAATTATTAAGTCGCTGTACATGCTTTATATATTTGAATTTAGATTTTAATCAAATTAATGAAAATAAAATATTTTTTTAATACAAGAATTAAAATGAATCATTTAGAATATTACTTATATTTAATATTTAATAACTTTTATGAGAAAATATATATTATTATCAATTAAAATTTTTAGAAAGGGAAAAATTGTAATACCTGATTCATTTACATATAAAGTTATTAGTTATTCATAATTACATATTAAATTTATAAAAAAATTCAGATCTGCTAAGGTTTTTGGTGTTAAATTGTAGAGTATCCTAAGGTTCTACAAGTATTATTTCAATTATGTACATACAATATTTTATTTTTAACGTTACCGAAAAGACGAACCGAAATTGCTTACGCTCAGATGCTTAAAACATCAAGATCATATTTGCTTTTTTATTCTCACTTTTATATGGATGACCTATTACCATAACATTTTAAAACAAAAAAATAAAGTATTTCGTCACTAAACCATAATAATGATCGATGTATAGCTAAATGACAATGGATATTATTCAGTCTTGCTGCTTAATTTTCAACAGACCATAGTTATTTATTTAATTGCATTAATTGTTTGTGATATAATTTATATTATCTAGTTTCGTTTATTATTCTTAATAGAATTTACAAATACCCAGCTCCACATTTTATTTCATCTGCCGTGACAAAATTTTGGACTTCTATGCATTGCGTAGTAAATTCGTATGCATAAGTGTATGAAACTATAAAATTATTTTTTCTGTTCGTATTAGTTCTCCACATAATGAAAGAAAAACAATATTGATTTTTATCAGTTATTGATAACGAGTAATATTGAGGATAAGAGCCATTTTTAGTATAAATTTTTATGAGCCTTTCACATTTGCCATCTGAAATGAATTTGTCGATAAAAATCAATTTATCTTCATTTTCGAATCCAAAATTGATCAAAATGATTTCTCCATCACGTGTGTTGTAAATCCACGGCATTCGATCCCAGTGATCGATTTCTGCCTTAAGAATGTTGTCTGACTGACTTTCGGATTTATGAGTGTCGTCAAGCCTTTTACAGGCTAATTTGTTTTTAAAAAGTTGTATCCAACATATTGTTGCGAAACCATTTTCATTTGAATAAGCCTGATAATCAAACACAAAAACATAGTCGGAAAACAGGTCATTGACTACTATCCACCCTAAAATTGGGGAATAAACATCTTTAACACGAACGCGTCCATTCGAGGTAAATTGATTTTTATTTCCAGTCAAAACAACATCTATTCCTAAATCGGTCTTCATTGTGCTTATGCTGTTGATAAAAAGTGTTTCATTTTCTTTAATAAATTTATTTAGAAATGGCAAAGAATTATTATCAACTCCATCGCCGTCATAATTGAAACTTAACTTGCAATAACTTCTTGGGCAAATTTCAAAATTTTCGTAGATCACATCGAAAGTATCTTCTAGTCGTATTAATTCGTAAAATTTGCGACCAATATTGTGTGTGGTATTCGTGGCGACCTTTAAATTGATGAATTTACTGGATACGCACGTATCAATAATAATGACTTTGAGCAATGTATGTTCTCCTGCAAAAAAAAACAATAAAAAGTGATCACATTATTAATCTATAGAAATAGTTTTTATCCATTTTCACGGATTACTCTAGTTATTTTGTTATTCCGATTATTTCTAAATGATTACTTTTAATAGTTTTTGTGCAACAATGCATCAAGAAAATTTTATTTTATTCTCATTTTCCCATCTCACTAACGTCTATTTAGAGATACGTTATTTAGTTATGTAGGATATTTACAAGCAAATAAATACTTCTATTGATGAACCATATTTTTTTTATTTCACTATTTTTTACATACCTGTCATTCCGTGTATAACTTTCCATGTTATAAGAACTCGGTCACTTTTCAGAAACAGAATCTTTTCTACGGATACTTTCTGTTTTTTGTTAGCCTTAGAAGGTGGAATAATGTCACACGTTTTGGTGTCTATTTGACCATTGAATTTATGTATCCGTATTGTTAAGTTACATGTTACTGGTGCTGCTTCGTCCTTGACGTTGTAATCTTTTAAAAGTGCTAATTTGTGACTATTTCCATCATTGAATATATCAGAAAATGTCTTAAAATTATCGGTATATTCATCCAAAAATGCATGCGACACTGAAGACATTTGCTTTGTCCATTTCATACTCATGCCACGTGATAAAAATACATATAATGACGACATCGATAGATTACACATTGTGCATACGACGATCAAAATTTTAAATGGCAAATACATCGTAACGTAATTTAAATTATTTTATAAATAGACTATAAAAATTTGTATAAGTCTTTCCTTGAAGCTTTTCGATGATGACGATTGTTGTATAAAACATTACTCGATTATTTGACATTCACTAATTTTAATTCGTTTGAAAACGATTTTAAGAATTGATAGTTTAACTATGTTAGCAGACTGAAGAAAACTGATTATTCTTTGCAAAGATAACATTATGCCATTGGCTTGCGACTGATAACTTTTCATACGTAACAGTTTTTACTTTAGAAAAAAATGGTTTCAAACTGAAAAACAACAAAACGTTTGCAACCATGCTCTTCATATTTGCAATTATTACGATATTCTTATTTTTCCATGATATTCAACGGATAAAAAACATTTCAATTATTTTATGACTGTATTTATTAAATTTGAAATAATGAAAATTTCTTAGATTATTTGTTACTGAAAATATTTTCGAACAAGGTCACATGCAAATTATAATTAATCTTATTATTGAATACTTAGAGCTGTTTTCGTATGTCTCCAGATAGTATAAATTGATTATAAATTTAAATACTAATATTTACTTTTATCGGAAAGTTATTATCGTTACCAATAAGGCCATAGAGAGATAACATGGTCCATAGAGAAGTTCTCGACAAACCTTTCAATAAATGCACTTTTATTTGGTCTATATGAATTAGAATCTTTAGGTTTCTGTAATCTACTAATGTAATCACAATTTTCAAAAACACTTATAAAAATCTAAATTGAAAAGCAATATTCTAATGACTGTTGCAGGCGGTCGCGAGTTGAAGGCGATAAATCTACCTAGAAGAATCGACTCGCCTGGTAGTTTACGTCCTCGAAAGCCGAAGCTCTGTCCGCCAAAATTTTACACGATACCACACAACCGCGTAGCTGAAGAAGGTGAAACAATCCGTTTCCAGTGCGCTGTAACTGGCCATCCATTACCATGGTGTACTTGGGATAAGGACGGAACTCCGGTCACATCTACTGCTCGCATTACTGTCAAGGAAAAGGACGATGTGCGTATCCTTGAAATTGCTGAAGTCACTCTAGAAGATGCGGGTCTCTACAGGGTGACTCTGGAAAATGACGTGGGCAGAACTGAGGCAACAGCACGATTGGAGATCATCAGTAAGTCGAATAGTTAAAAAATATTGTGATTAATGATAGTAATATAATAATTCGTCTCAATGCACATGAAATTTCAGTTACTGAATTCGATACTATTTAGTAGTTTGAGCCCTCAAGTAAAAATAATATGAAATAGATATGTTGCTATGTGAGCTTGTAAATAATGTTTGATCTATTGTTAATTTAAAATCTAAAAGTGAAATGGTAACAAATTAATTTTGTTCAGACTATATTTGTTGTAGTCGATGTACAAGTATGTGTACGCATAGTGTTTATGAATATTTATTTGAACACATAATAAGATGTAAGTTGATAATTTGTATTAAACAAGAGTATTTTCATAATTCAGCTTTATTATGTAAATAAATTGATATAAGGATATAGATATTTTATTCAATCGGTATATATGATAAAACAGTTTTACCAGAATGGTTTATTAAAGCATTCTAGCTGTATTTTTATAGTTAGAAAAACGTTCTTCGATGTTTAACATTTTTTCCATCCGCAGTTCTTCGCCTATATTCAGATATCGTAAAACCGTACCATCTATGACGGGTTGCCAATAGATAGGTACAAGTTTCGAAACGGTAGGCGTGGGTCTCCTAGAAAATAGAAATAAAGATGAAAATAAAATAGAAATGTTTGATGTTAAAAACGAACTGTCAATTAAAATTACCCGTATTTAGCAAAGTTAGTCCACAGTTCAATCATTTGTTCCATTACTCTGTAGTTTTTTGAATCTTTTTTAAAAGGTTCTAATTTCAACTTATCATAGACTTTGATAGAGAATTGATAGAGTAAGTCGTCCATATGCGTAGCGCCTAGAAGAATGAAGAAAAATTGTAATGTAGTCTTAATAGATATAATATAATTTACGATATAACATTTATCTTACCCGAAACATCGGAATTAAACATGGACTTCGTAAAATTATAGCCTTTGTCATAGGTGAATTGGTACATATAGGTAGGTGCTGAATTATGCTCTGCTTGGATTTTAATTGCTTTTTGCACTCCGTGAACTATCATAAGATCACTAAGCATATCTATTAGCTTTTCAGATCTTTCTTGAGTTATTCGTTCACTTTTAAAATAAATTTTTTTCAAATCATTTTCAGTTAGATCATGATGTTTCAACATTTCTACACAATTAGGATGTAAAAATTCTGCGAAATTCTTATCTCTAGTTTCATAATCATATGACTTTTCAGCAACTAAAATAAATGTACAAATAAATATTTGGTTTTAAGAATAGATTTAAAAAAACTTACTCTTGTGGAAAAATGTTCCCTCGCGATCAGTGTATCCAATCATATAGGGAACGTGTGCACCTTTTTGAGCAGCCATATTGAAGGGCACAGGTAGGAAAGGATTCGAAGATTTGTTATCTACTGCCGGGCCAAATAATGGACAGGTCTTCTTCTGTACCTAGAAGAACAGAAATAATGTTGAAAAAAACTCAATTATTCTTTTTTTTATTAATTTTTTTATTTATTTATTTACATCTTCTGACATAATTTTTCCTTGCGCTTCAATTAAACTCATAGTGTCGATTGTCCGTAAAAACTGAACTATTTCTTTATGATTTGTAGTCTTTTTACCCAGCAGCTCACATAGTTTATAAACAGCCAGCTTAGGATCTCCATGTATTGATGCCCAAGGATTAAATATACTTCCGCTCTGTGAAATGGCTTTGTGAAATAAACCTGTCAAGTAATTTAGCCTTATTAAATACACTTATGTCTAGTTATGGTTTAGTTTTATATACTATGAAATACTGTAGATTATAAACTCACGTCAATACTATCATACAAAGGCAGCAGTGAGTAAAGAAAAATTTAAAATAACAAAGAAAAAAATAATATTACTTGAACGCATATAGCAGATTTAGACTTATTATATCAGAACGATAGATAATACCTTTAGCTAAAGGTGAAACAGTTAAATAATGAACAGAAGCACCTCCTGCACTTTCACCAAAAATTGTAACGTTCTCGGGATCTCCGCCAAAGTTGGCAATGTTGTCGCGTACCCATCGTAACGCCATTATTTGATCTTTTAAACCTTGATTTCCCGAGGCTACTTCATCTTGTAAATTTAGAAATCCTGAAAACGGAATCCATGCACGTTGAAAAATAACTACGCGATTTCTAAATGACAATTAATTTTTATTTACCAAGTACTCCAAGACGGTAATTGATAGTCACCAAAACTATGTCTTTTTTCATGAAATAGTCAGGTCCATAAAATACATCATTGCCTGATCCAAAAATAAATCCACCTCCATGAATCCATACCATAACTGGTCGACGGATATTTGGTTCAATAGACTTTGTATATACATTAAGATACAGACAATCTTCTGAACCACCTGTGATATTTGCTACTATTTCATGTTGAGCGCACATTGGCCCGCATTCTAGTGCATCTCGAATACCTTGCCATTTTTCTGCCGGGACTGGATCCTAAAAAATTAATTTGCTTTAGCAATAATATTGTTAACTGAGTGCACTTTGTTGGAATTTGTATTTGAATAAAATTACAAGGTTATTGAATTTCCATAAAAAGTATCATAACGTAGCTCGTTATCACGATGTAGTCGAAAATTAATGGATATTAATACTTTTACTTAAGTCGTAGAATTGATGACTTAGACGTTTCTGACTCATCTTTTACCATATAAATGGTAATATAATTTCACAGCAATAATTTTCAAATAATTTATAAGTTTCAAACATGTACGTGACAAAAATAATATATCATTTAAATTCTATTGATTTTTTGCACTTATCTAAGGCATATTCAACTTTTTTTGCTTATTCTACAGACAAACATTTGATAAGATAAATTGTTAAGCTTAATCAAGAGTCAACTTTCACATTGGCTTTGTAATTTATCTTAATAAATTGATAAAATATCAATATATATTTATGATTTTTCCTACTGTAATAATAATATTGAACTAAAAAAATAAACACTGTTTTCAAAAATCGTATAGCTAGTTACATTAATCTCGAATTATGTCAGTATTTTGTAACATGCACTTTGATTCGTATAGTTAACAAAAGAAAAATTGAATTTTATTTACTTGAAATCTCAATTCACCGACTGGCGGTTTGGCGTATGGAATTCCTTTAAATGCACAAAAATCAAACCCATCCACATTTTTTAAGACAGCTCCACGCAAACGACCATTAGACGTCAGTATTTCCTTGTAGACCATGGTATTAGTTATTCACTGTCGAAGTCGAGAAGTAAAACTGACTATATTACTGAAGTCTTTCAGATTTGGTTACCATTATCCAAATGACTGCAATTCTGGGTATTGACTCTTGACGTTTTTATCTCAGAACTTAAATGCTGGCAAACGATCTGAATAATGCTCGATACCGGTGTTTTCATTCATTTTTATCTTTTGAGATTTCTTAGTTGTAAAACGTTAAAAATAATAATACCCTATTTGGCAAGAGCATAAAAGGAATATTTTGCAACCGTCTATAGTATTACAAGCATACAAGATGAATACACTACATTAACATATGTATAATATAATATAATAAGATTTACTAAGTTTTTCTCAAATACTTATTTTTATCAGAAATAAGCTTGCGTTATAAGATAAAATTATATTTAACATTATAATGATTCAAGGCTATGGTGATAATTACTATTATTTTTTTTACTCAAAAAATCTTTCAATGTATTCATTTGATAAGGTACTCCAGCATACAAACAATTCCAAAATAAAAATCGAAAATAAAAATTTAGGCAAATCAAAATGCATTAAATAAGGTAAACGAAGGTTTTAGATGAACATTTTTATTTATTCCAATTAACATAGTTTCCAGTCAATACTTGGATGTGTTTGTGCGTGTGTGCATGTGTGTGTATGTATGTATGTATGTATTTTGTACTTGCCTATTTATCTATCACATAAAAAAACATTTTTGTAGATTTGAATGTTAGTTATTTATTAAGTAGATTTTTATAGTTTTTTTATGTATTTATTATTCAATGACCATCATGTTAATGTGTAATTTTTTAAATCTTACTCATGACAGATTTACCCCGAGTTAAACGATGTTCTAAATTCACCATATCATTTAAATGTAGTTCGCTTCCAATGTCCAAATAACGAATTAACGAGGGATTGGTGACTGGGGGCCATTTTGTAGGTAATAGCTTAGTAATGTTTGGTGTGGGTTGACTATAAAAACCGTAATAATGTTATTGAATTGAATTTTTTGAAATCTAAAATAAATACGCTTCGTTAAATAAAAAATTACCCTGTTTTGGCAAAATTAGTCCACATCTCGGTCATCCGTTCCATAAGTTTATATTCCACAGTTTCTTTTTGTAGATATTCTATATTAAATAATTCATAAAGCTTCATACTAAAAAGATATGGAAGTTCGTCAAAGTGAGATGCACCTACAAGAAAATAATTATATTTTATACAATTAGAATTGTATTTAATTTAGTTTTCTAATTACCACTCATTGTTGTATTAAGTATAAGTTTTGTAAATGATATTCCTTGGTCATATGTGAATTTGTAAAAGTAAATAGGCGCTTGTTTCTGGAGTATACAAAGTTTAATCATCGCGTGATATCCTTGGACAATATACATATCTGTCATTAAATCAACAATTTTTTCAGTATAATTGTCTTCAGTCACATTCTTCCAATCGTACATTGCCTTTAGATCCGATAGATTCATGTTAAACGTTTTTAGCACTTCCACAAGATGTGGATGTAATAGTTCATCCGTTACTTCGTTGAAAAATTGTAAATCGTGTTTTCTCAAAGCTGAACACACGTAAAAATTTTCAATTCTAAGTTTAATTAATACATTTATAAAAATATATGCTCTTACAATAAAGAGAATAAATTCCTTCTCTGTTATTGTATCCTAAAAGGTAGGGAATATTCATTCCATTTTTTGCAGCTTCTTCAATTGGTATTGGCATAAAGGGGTTTTTAGATTTATTATCAACTCCTGGACCAAAGGGATACAAAAGTTGCCACCTTTCCTAAAATTTGAATATATTAATATACTTTCATACAAATATAACATTTATAAAATAAAAATTTATACCGTTGTAGTTCGCATTTCTTCTGTCATTTTGACTAACTTAAGGCAATCAACAGTTCTAAGATATTCGACAACTTCTGCTGCATCATTGGTTTCTTTTCCTAGCAGTTTACATAGTTTATAGGCATAGCTATTTGGGTTTGGTGTTGATGCCCACGTATTAAACGCTACGCCACTTTGAGAGATGGCTTTGTGAAGCAACCCTGTCGATAAAATAATATAAGAAAACCAATTATTCAGATATAATGTTATTACCATTTCCATGTAATAATCTATAAGAATACATTACAATACCCCTCGACATTTGTGATAATGCTAAATAATTAGCCGATGCTCCACCTGAACTTTCACCAAAAACAGTCACATTGTTTGAATCTCCTCCGAAATTTGCAATATTTTCGTTTATCCATTTTAAAACCATGACTTGATCTTTGAAACCTTGATTCCCTGGCGCAACTTCATCTTCTAAGTTTAAAAATCCTGTCAAATAAGAGCGTTATTATACAAAAATAATAGTATTTCAGTATTTTCGGTACTTGAATAAAAAATAAAAAGTTATATTTTTTTACCAAATACACCGATCCTATAGTTAATTGTTACCAAGATAATATTTTTTCTGAGCAAGTAATCTGGTCCATAGCACATGTCGTCACCACAGCCAAAAGTAAAAGCGCCACCGTGAATCCACATCATAACGGGTAATAGAGTTTTTTTATTGATCGTTTTAACATATATGTTTAAATATAAACAGTCGTCACTGCCAATGTACGTTCGAGTAAGTTGATCATACTGAGCACATGGAGGACCAAACTGAGTTCCATCTCTTACTCCTTCCCATGCATCAGGTGGTTGCGGATCCTATAGTAAATATTAGTTTACTAAAGAAAAGAATTTAAATCGGGTTTACGCCCGAGCAAGGATAGAAAGGCACACACAAAACAAGAATAATTCTCGAATATATGTCATTACATATACGTATGATATTTATCAAAACAACGTGTGCAAAGTGACAATTTGAGAGCACGTTATTGTGCACAGTAAAGCCATACTTTCCGCACAGCATATTGAAAAATCAACTTTTGTAATATTTGAATATAATTACCTTAAATCGTAAATCACCAATTGGTGGTTTCGCATATGGGACTCCTTTGAAGGCATAGTACTTATAACCCTCGATACTCTTTTGAATCGAGCCCCGAATACGTCCATACTTAGTTTTCACAACTGTTTTTTTCATGTCGACCAGCGACGTTGAACTGATCCCTCAATCACAAAAGCGCTGTGTCAATGTGTATTAAACTTCTCATTTGAATACAGTAGCTGTTTGTAGTTAGCATTTAATTAAATGACTGCATTTCGTATTTTAAACCTATATATTCAATGGTTTTTTCTTATAAAAAGTACAGTCGAAGACAAATGAAATGCAAAATATTTATAGCCAATTATACGATTTGCTTCAAATTGAATTGCATACGTCACCAATTTTACAATTCCAATGCAGTGTAGTTAATATAAAATATAAAAAATGTTGAATTAAAATGTTTTTATTTGTTTAAAATAACATGTATTAAAAAATAGAGTTGGAACAATTAATATATATATATAGCTAGTCTTTATAAAAATCAATAAACAGTTTATACCTTGCCTAATATTACCTAACACAATTAAAAATGTTCCATTAAGTAAGTACAATATCATTCAGTTCAAAGTTTATTTCTTATGTGCCTACCATATTGTAAGCGTTCTTCGAAGCTTAATATATTTTCCATCATTAAGTATTCATTGATGTTCAAAGCGCGGAAAATTTTGTCATTGTTTATTGGTAGCCAATATGTAGGAATCAAATCAGTTGTTGTTATAGTCGGCCTCCTATGTGTAAGATACGAGTAATTTATTAATTGCGAGTTTCTTAATCGATAAACAATATTTAATTATCATTTTTTATTTCAAATATACCCATATTTGGCAAAATTTGTCCATAACTCTGTCATTTGTTCCATTATTCTATAGGATTTCGAGCCTTTTTCATAACGTTTGAGGTTTAACGTGTCGTACAATTTCATACTAAATAAATATTGGACTTCGTCGAAATGAGATGCACCTAGAAAAAGAAAAGATATTCAAAATTTTATACGCAGTTTCAAAATTGCATGGCTTTGTATTATGCATGAAAAGAAGCAAGCCAATTTATTATTAACCTGGCATCGAACTATTAGCTAATATTTTTGTAATGGAAGGAGCATCATCATAGCAAAATCGGTAAAAGTACGTAGGAGCAGAACTACTTGTAGCTTGAACTTTTAAGGTTCGATGTACTCCATCCACGAAGTTCAAATCTGACCACCATTCGACAAACTTGTCGGCATTATCACTTGATATTTTTTCATCGCCATAATATAATCGTTTAAAATCAGTGGGTGTTAAATTGTTTTCCTTTAACAAATCTATACTGATTGAGTTAAAACCTGACTCAAAATTTTCTTCTAATTTATCATAGTCTCTTTGACGAATATCTAAAAATAAAATTTAGATTGTAAGTATTGAGGATAATTTTCATAATTAAAAGTAAATACTATTGATTCTTTGTTATACATCGTAAATTGAAAATTCCTTCTCGATTATTATAACCTACGATAAACGGTACATGAACACCTCTTTTGTATGCTTCATGTGGACTTATTGGAATAACTGAATCCTTTGATATATTATCTATACAAGGGGAAAAACTTAAAATAGATTGTATTTTTTCCTGTAAATAAGACAATAAACGACAATAATTTATCGTACATTAGATGAATTCTTAAAGATTAACTCAATTATTTAGTTTGTGCATAATCCTGAGTTACGTACTCCCGGATGTCTTGCTTGATGTTGACATTCGACCAACTTTTTCAAATCTACTGTTCTTAAAAATTCGATTAAATCTTTAGGATCTTTTGAATCGTTTCCTAAAATTTTACATAATTTAAATGCACTTTCTTTACTCGATGTACAAGACCAATTGATGGACGCGGTTCCACTTTGACAAATAGCTTTGTGAAACAGTCCTATAAATAATCATATGTATATTAATAAATAGTATTATTAATTTCTTTTTAATTTTTTAAATATTGTTTATTATTAGATTCATTAAAAGGTACCTTCTGCTAGTGGTGATAGTGCTAAATGATTGACCGAAACTCCTCCCGCACTCTCCCCGAAAATGGTTACATTATTATGATCTCCGCCAAAATTCCTAATATTTTTTTGTACCCATCGCAAAGCCATAATTTGGTCTTTAAGACCTTGATTTCCTGTAGCTACTTTATCTTCGAAATTTAAAAATCCTAAAATATACAATAGATTATTTACACAGAAATTCAGTTTCGAATGTTGATTGTTATTTTTATTGTTACTTCGATCACTAAGTTAATTTCGAACACTGCATTCAAGAAACAAAGCTGATACCGAAAATTATGATGATTGAAACTTTATTTATTATTTTATTCACCTAAAACACCAAGTCTATAGTTTATTGTAACCAAAACAATATCTTTTCGAAGAAGGTAATCTGGTCCGTACAATAAATCATCTCCAGATCCATAGTAAAATGCTCCACCGTGAATCCATACCATGACCGGTAGAGGTATATTAGGTTTCACACATTTTACGTAAACGTTCAAGTACAAACAATCTTCACTACCCATCACACATCGTGACGCAGGATCAAGTTGGCAACACATTTCGCCAAACTCGCTTGCATCTCTTACACCTGACCATGATTCTAGAGGTACTGGATCCTGTAAAAAAATATTTTAATTCAAATCCATAAAATAATATTTTGTGCATTTTTTTTAAATTGTTGATTTTTTATTGTTATATTCAAATATTATTGTCAAATTTTCTGATAACACTATTTGTAATTAACCTATTCAACTGATTAAATGCTACAATAATTTAGAAATACTCTCTTTAATTAGAATTTTTTGTTTTTATTTTCGTTGTCACAACATTAAACAATATCTTAAATTAAAAAATTGACTGGTCATTGTCTGCTACTGTTGACTAGCCATTCGTCAGTCAGCCGAAAGTCAGTTCGGCCATGACGTAGCTTCTTTTCCTGTATAAACGAACTAACTCTCTTTCTGAATAGACATAAGACGACAGACAGAGATAACAAATAAAAAAGACTCACCTTAAATCTTAATGCACCAAGAGGTGGTTTTGCATATGGAATTCCTTTAAAAGCACAATAATCGTATCCTTCAAAACTATGCTGTGTTGCACCACGTAGAAAACCATAACAGGTATTTACTGTGACAGACTCACTCATGCTTATTGCCAAGTAGCAAGCAACCAACGACAACCGACAACGTGACTTTCACTGCTACTGGCTCATGCTGACGCTGCATTTATTACTTTTTGTAATCACATTTGACCGATGAATTTTGAAGTTAAGGGATTGAGTATTGTTACAAGATAAATTAAATGTTAATGAGATAGTGATTAGTTTGAAATTTAATGATTTAAGTCTTTATTATTTTTTAATAATTTTTTTTAAAGGAAAGTTTTATAGTATTTATAACGATCTCGTTACAATTAAAAGAATGTAAACCAGAATATATTAATGATACTATATCAAATGTAAAGGAAAAAAAACCATGAGTAAATAATCTTGTTCTAAAAATATAATAAATATACTATTTATTGTCGCAATTACTTATTTCGTGTATCGCAAATCTTAGTCATTACAAATAAGATTTCAACAATATAAAGTTATGTCATCATACAATGGAAAGTTAATCAAGTCTAAATTTTATCCATGTACCTATTAACAAAATAGTAAAACATAGATAATCACATGTTTTTTCATACTTATTTTTCTAAAGTATTATAACTTCGTATTTTTTTGTAACGAAGATTTCGCAGATAAGAACTTCTGTTCTATATTTGTCATTGTGTCCATTTTCACATTTGTATCTATATTCAAGTAACGTAAGTGCATTCCATCTTTAAGTGGTTCCCACAATATATGGATTAATTCTGATTTGGCTGGTGTCGGCGTTCTAAAAGTTTATTTCTTATTCGTCGCTTAAACTATTTATGTTATACGCTCGATAATAATCTTACCCGTATGTGGCAAAGTTAGTCCACAGTTCTGTCATAATCTCCATCACTTTGTAAGAGTCGGTACCTTTTTTATAGGGTTTGAAGCCTAATTGTTGTCGCAAATTCATGTTGAAAAGAAATTCAACCTCGTCGAAATGACAGGCACCTGCATAATTTCAAAGAGAATATATATTAAGTGAATAGCACATTTAAATATATATATATATAAAAGAATTTAAAAAAGAAAAGTAGAAATATAAACATTTAACCTTTTAACTGTAGCGTGGATACTGCTCTAGTCGTTGAAATTTCTTTATCGTAGGAAAACACATAAAAATATGTCGGTGACGTATTATTTTCTAGTTGGATCTTTGCGAGTTTATGGATTGATTCCAAAAAATTAAAGTCTCCTTGCAAGTCCACAAATGCATCAATTTCATCAATAGATATTTTTTTATCTCCGAAGTACATTTGTTTTAAATCTTTTATTGTAAGGCCATATCCTTTTAATGTTTCGACTGCTCTATCATTTATAATTTTAGAAAAATTTCTATCGATTCGAATCAATTCTTCTTTCTTCAATGCTGCAAAACTATGAGGATCTATTTCTAAATGTGTATTAATTCTTGTTATTAATCGAATTTACCCATTAATAGAAGAAGTCCTTCACGATTATTGTGTCCCATTAATAAAGGCATTTGAATTCCTTTTAATATTGATTTTTCTGGAGCGACTGGTACAACAGGATTTGGAGATTCGCTATCTATCCCGGGACAATAAATCCAAATTCCCAGCATTTTTTCCTTTAAACAGAATATCAACATACATTTTTTAAACAACAATTATGTATTATTTTGCTTTGTTCAACAATTAGCAAATTAATTACAATTATCTACTATATACTTTGTACTATATACTTTGTATAAGGATTAACGTCAATCTTTAAATTTTATACTTACAATAGACTTTCGTACTTGTTCTTGAGCTCGTATTATTTTCTCACTATCAAGTGTATTTAAAAATTGCACAATTTGTTTAGGATCGGTATAGTATTTCCCAAGAAAATTGCAAAGCATAAAAGTATATTTCTTGGGATTTTTTAGTCTTGCCCAAGAGTTGAAAATGGATCCACTTTGACAAATCATCTTGTTAAATAAACCTATAATATAAAAGTAATATTATATTATTAACGAAACTAAACTTATTCGTATAGAATGATACCTTTTCCCATTGGCGATAAAGCCAATAATTGTATGCAAATTGCTCCAGCGCTTTCTCCAAAAGCCGTTACGTTATTAGGATCTCCGCCGAATTTCGCTATGTTAGCTTGGACCCATTTAAAAGCTAAAATTTGATCCTTCAATCCTTGATTGCCAGGTGCTGCTTCATCTTCTAAGTTTAGAAATCCTATATTCCAAATATAATGTTATAAATAATTGATAACAATATATAGCATATATTAAACACATTAAATCAACAGCTTTACCGAAAATTCCCAATCGGTAATTGAAAGTCACAAGAATAATATCTTTTCTTAACAAATAGTCAGGTCCAAAGTTCGCATCATCACCACTTCCAAACATAAAACCGCCACCATGAACCCAAACCATCACTGGTTTCAGCTTATCGATATTTTTCATGGACTTTGCAAAAACATTTATGTAGAGGCAGTCGTTACTTCCAGAATAAGTTTGAGTAGATGCAAAAAATTGCCAACACATATTTCCATATTTTGTTGCATCTCGAATTCCAGTCCAGTCTTCAACTGGTTCAGGATCCTATAATAATTCATTGATGCGTATACGAACATATCAAAAAGGTCATATACTACAATCAAAAGAAGTAGATAACAGCAGTTGTAATGCATTAACAATGGATGCATTAGCATAGTAGAAATATTATTTGTATTATAAATAAAAATGACGGCTTAAACCGGTGTAAAATTAATTCGTTTAATGTTGTTAGAAAAGCGATACGCTAAAGACTGAGAAGTATTAGCAATAACAAAAACTTAATTTTTTAATTTGTGACGTTTCGTCAATAAAACAGCATATAAAAATTGGATGGTATTTTTATCTCAAAATTGTATTTTTATTATTTCCTATCATTGAAATTTTGTATTGCGAGCATAAAATATCTTTTAGTTCTTTTTTTAACTATCTGGTTGAGAAGACCAAATGTGGTGAAATATGAAAATCTGAATATCTTATTTTTGTCTTATTCATTGTCATATAAGAATCTTCATAATAAAGATATCGATTAGAAATTTTTGTATCTTATCATACTCAGTATAAATCTAAATTTTCTATATCATATATCTCAACATCTGAAGCAGAAAGTCCCCACTTATCTGATCCATTGAAAAAATTAAATTCGCCACGATTTTTTGAAAATAAGACTTGCAATTTTCCCTGTTTAACCTCATCTGGCCCCTGTAAATAATTTAATAATCAATGACTCTGGCTTGAAAAGTCACTCGTCTCACCGATATACTAAATATTTTAGCGAAGTAACGTTTACAAAATTATTATTCTCATTCCATCCTGGAGTTGTCTTCAAAAATATTTTTTGCTGGCTTGTAGAAAATTTGTATTAAATATGATATTATTTATATTTCATTAGTAATAGAAGTATCTAAATATATGTAAAAATCGACTTTTATTCAAGGTGATAACGCTATTAATTCAACTTGTTCATAAAAAATTATGTGTTTATAAAAATTTGTTTAATAATTAAAAATATTGTTCCTTTCATATTTATGATTCTTCATATTTGATTTTTTCATTAGAAATCAAAAATCATTAGAAGGCGATTTACTTTAACTAACGCTTGACAATGTGGGCTCATGCTCGCATGTAAATTGAATGAAATAAGATGCGTTCATCATGTTCAGTAAGTGAATTTTAATATTCAATACTTAAATTTTAGAACAAATTTCGTCCTGATACATATTAATAATTTGGTAAAATCTATAAAACACTCAGTTTCATCAATTTTTACGAAATATCGATTCTTATGTACTCACTTTGAATCTCAAATCGCCGATTGGTGGTTTCGCATAAGGTATTCCTAGAAAACTATAATAATCATATCCTTCTATGCTATGTCTAATTCCACCGCGCACTTGACCATTTTGGGTCTGTACAATGAGTTTCTCCATGTTGACCGTATCAGTAGACAATGAGCTATGCCAAACAGACGTCTGAGCATTTTGAAAGCTATTCAATGCTCGTTTTCGTAACGACATTTTTTATGAATACGCAAAGCTTTGTTTAATGAATTCAATAGCTTAGTGTATCGGTACGTTCTGAAGCATTTCCGTTTTTCAAAGTAGTTATACCGGTGAAAAATTATTTTTTACAAACGATTAATAATTACCATAAGAATTAATGCAAAACTATAACCGATTTTTTTTAATTTTTTAAAATGTTTTCATAAATTTTTTTAAAACCGTTCCTGAATAAGCAAATTATTATATAAATAGTCAATTTAAATGATTCATGTGATGAAATTAACACATTTAAATATGTGGAAATATTAAATAGAAGTACAATATTCAGTATTTAATTTATCTGAAAGTTTTTGAAAAAAATTATTTATCATTAATCAAAAACGTAATTTCGTCTGTATTCGAAGTTCATTTGTATTTACTTGCATATAATCATAAAATAATATACATTTGTATGCATTAATTCACGTTTTTTATTAAAATGTATTAAATTTTAATATAGCACAATTGAAATAATACTGATTTCATTTTTTTTAATTGCATTAATTCATTAATAACAGCAAAAATATTTTTTTCATGACTTATCGTTGGTAGTTTTGGCATGTAAAAACGTTACTCTATGTTTTTCATTATTTTCATCTGTAAATTTCGTGAAATATCCATGTAATCAATGTTCTTTGCCGTCACTCATTGGTTTCCATAATACGGATAATATTCCTGAAGTAAAAGGAGTTGGCGTTCTAAAAAATATTATTTGACATTACATGCCGAGCTATATTTTAAATGAATTCAGTATAAATTACAAACGGAGTACTTCCTCTTTGTAATCGAAAAGTCCATAATATAAATAATCTATTTCGTCAAAATGGTAACTGCCTATAAAGCAACATTAGCTTAAAATAACTGCATAAAGTATTGAAAGTATTGTATTGTGTAAATTATCAGTACAACATTTTTCAATTGTAAGGTATATTTAACTTTCATTGCTTTTGGAAGTACAAATTTTATTAATGATAACTCATCATCATATGATAACTGAAAAAAATACGTCGGGAAAGATTTTTTTTCTACCAATAATTTCATCAATCTATGTATATTTTCAATTATGGTCAAGTCTCCAAGCATATTCGCTAATTTATCACAATGTTTTATAGGAATTTTTTCATTACCAAAATACATGTATTTTAAATCTTCTTTTGTTAATTTATGTCGATTTAAAATATAAAAATTTTTTTTCACTAATTGCTCTGTCGAAATATTTTTGTTAATTCTCTCTAAATGTCAAAATCCGGTGTAACTTTGTGGATCTATGTTTAAAATTAGTATGGAATTATTTTGTTTTCTAGTTCTTGTCTCTTAAATAGCCAAGTCCTTCAGCACTATTGTGGCCTAATATAAAAGGCATCTGTAAATCTTTTAAAATATAATCTTCTGATTGAATGGGTCGTATTAAATTTTGTAATTTATCATCTACTCCTAAAATAAATGGAAAAATGCCATGAAGCTTTTCTTGTGAAAAAACAACATTTAAATAATATTTTGTTTCGCTTGAACCGAAATAAGAAGATAATTATGAGATAATTAATAACATTTATTACAGTAGATCATATAACTTGTTCTTGAGCTTTCACCAGCTTTTCAGTTTCAAGTGTTAATAAAAATTCAAATAATTTCTCTGAATCAGATAAATGTACAACTGAAAAGCATATTTTGTATGCTAATGTGCTATACCTTTTTCCATAGGTGACAAAGTCAATATTTGTATTAAATTGATACAGCTTTAGCACTTTCTCTGAAAAGAGTAATGCTATTTGGATCTCCCCTAAATTTAATTATATTTTTTTGAATCCATTTCAACGCCACAATTTGATCTTTGAATCTTTGATTATCCGAGACGATTTCATGCTCTAAATTCAAGAACCCTAATCAAACAAATAAATTAATTATAAATAATAATAAAAACAATACAATTTATATAAAAGTAATTGTCATGATACAACATTTTACCGAAAATTCCAAGTCTATAGTTAAATGATACAAAAACATTATCTTTTCTTAGCAAATAATTTGATCCACATCCATGCATAAAAGCACCTCCGTCGATCCAAACTGCGGCTGGTTTTAATATCTCAGTAGTTTTTAATGATCTAATACAAACATTTAAGCAAAGACAGTCTTCACTTCTTATAAAGTTGCCAACTGTATATCACACTGAGCACATACATTGCCATATTTCTTAGCTGCATTTAGTTCTTCCCAATGATCTATTGGTTCTAGATCCTAATATACGTTTTCTTAATTAATTTTATTTGTTTTATAAATTTAGCACCATTTTCATCACAGTAATTAAAGAAAAATCATTTGTTTTTGAAAATCTGTGAATAGTAGTTTTATTAAAACTTAATATTATAAAATTATATGTTATAAAGTGAATACTCACTTAAGATCTTAAATTCCCAACTGATGATTTTGCGTAAGGTATATCTAAAAAGGCAAAGTATGTGTATTCCTCCATACTAATTTTTATGATACCAAGTAGTTTACCGTTTTTCGTTCCGACTATAAGATCTTCCATGGTAGAAATTGGAACTGCAACACAACGAAGTATTGAACGGCCTTCACTTTGATTGTATTTTAACAAACTTTTTATGTACTGTGCATTCTTTAGTTACTGTTATACATATATTCAATGCGACGTCCAAGACTAAACTAGATTCAAATATTTACATTCTCAAACAATGTTGTTTACTTGCTAAAATTATAAATAAGAAACTCAACGTATATAAAGTAATTGGCATGATTCATTTTTCACTTTACTACTTAAAATAAACTCGGTTAAAAAATAATACCGACTGTGCATATATGGGCAAATCCCAGAAACTTTTGATTTTTGTGTTACTCGATTCTACAGCTGTGTAGATATGAGTTTGGCCAAGTTGTGATGGCTAAAATTGAAAGTACTGCAACGTATGTACCAGGAAACAAATTATTATCAGTTCAATATTATTTTCGTATGTGATTCTGAAGGTCAAAAAGTCAAAAAGTCGGAATATTGATGAATTTTGCATGTTACTTTGCAAAAAAAAAATTTCGAACTGCTGTAAAATGTGGAGCATTGTTTGAATTCTTATGAAACTTTCAGGAGTTGTTCTATTTACGATGCCCTTAAAGAAACATCTTCATTTTTTCACGTGTCCATAATAAAAAACAAATGGGAGTCGCGACATGTTTTGTTACTAATTTTTTAGTAAATTTGATTATTGTTGATTTTCGCTTATATAGATTGGAGCATTCAATGAATCACAATATAACCAATTTCTATGCTTAATTGGCGCCAAAGTGAAGCTATTTATGTACCAACAAAGTATGTGCTCGCTAAAACGAGTTTTTAAATCGATGTCAAAGACCGAAATATCTCGCGAAACTTTTTTCCAGTTCAAGTAGCACAAAAATAATAATATATTAAAACCGTCAATAATCACTCTGCTCTATTTAATATCACCAATAGAAGTTCATAACAAAATGCTAGCTTGATTAAACTTTTTATTGAAAGGATAGCGCTATTATAAATTTTAATGTAAGAAATCATAAGTATTAAATTTTTTATATTAGTGATTTGAACATTGTAGATTAATTTTACACGTTTTAAATGTCTATATTTTACTATATGTTCCGTAATGAAAAGTAAGTATAAATAATCAAATTAATAAATTATTCATGAATCAATCAAAATTTCATTTTTGTATTGTTGAAAATATTATGTTCACGTCGATGACAAGACTATTTTATTTAAAAGTTTAGTAGATTCTAATTTGTGAATATAATCTGTTTATCAACACAAATTTTTTTTTTTGAAGGGGTGGAAAAAAAGTGTGTTTGTGTCTATAAGTACGTATTATATATGGAGAAAGACAGAGATATATGGAACATTTTCTGTATTATTATATTGTTAATAAAAAAGGGTTGCAGCTGGTGGAGCATTGTATAAAAAATAAAGCACAGCTTTTCTATCAATTCTTACACTAATTTCTATGGTCCTGAGCAAATTTCATAAGTGTGCTCCAAAAATTGGCCTTTTGTACTTGTTTTGACGAAAATCAAAAGTTTCTGGGATTTGCCCATATACGTACTTGCAATCTGTCACACAGATCAATCTTTACTTTTAAATCAAAAAGAATTACGAACTTGCGATATTTATACGCTGATTAAAGTAATTCATTTTTATAATACTTTATTTCGTAAATAAATATTTATAAATGAAACACACTTAAGTAAAAAACCATTACTAATATGTAGTCCGTCATACGAATCAGTCGTAAATGTGGTGAAATCATATTATTTTACATAATTTTTTATTCAAAATTCAATTTATTTAATGAGAAATATTAGAACAGAGTTTCACATGCTAATGTCTTCAAAAATAAATATAATACATTCATAGAAGTAACTCATTTCTTTTTTGTTTACATGCAAAAAGCTGAGATTACATTTTTTATTGATGTATTCGAATATATATCATAGTCTTATCACATATTTAATATTTATCATATATAAATTGATGATAATTATTTGTTTGATTGAAATAATAAATCAAGAAATATTAAATTGTACTGGTACTTAAAACAACGGATTACTTAACGAACTATAACTAAGTAGGTTCGTACGTAATGCGCATAAAGTAAAAATAATATTAATAGTGAAAATATTACAATATATATTAATTATCGAAATAAGCTATTCAAAAAAATTCTGGATAGTGTTCAATTTATATGCTAGTAAAGTGTGCGGAGGTTTTTTGTCTCATCAATGATTTAAATTTATTTTCAAAGAGCAGACAAAAGATTCGATGATAAGCTATTATTTAAAGTAACAATATTGTAACTACCGTGATAATTATTTAAATTGTTAATTTTTTTATACCAGTTTTATTTGTTTTTTAAATGGTAACCAAAAGGAAGTCGTTGTTCCATACACAACATGCTTTCCATTCGTAATTCTTCACTTATATTTAAATATCGAAATACTGTATCGTTGACGACTGGTAACCAATGTAGAGGTATCAGTTTTGAAGTATTCGGCGTCGGTCTACTAAATATTTAATTTTGAATGTTTAGTTTAGCGGAATAAATAACTTAACTTCATATTTTTATAGCTATACTCACCCAGTCTTTGCAAAATTAGTCCACATCTTAGTTAGTTGCTCCATTATTCTGTAATTAGTCGATCCCTTTTCCAATGGATTAAGCTCAAGTGATTCCAATAATCCTATACTAAAAAGATGGAATAATTCTTCACCATGACAAGCGCCTAATAATAAAAAAGAAGATGTTAGAGTTTGCTTAAATAAATTATTTTTAATAACATTTAGTTTCATAATAATATGTTACCTTTGACTGGTACATTCATTTTCGATTTGATGAATGAAAAGCCTCTATCGTATGTAAACTGATATAAATAGGTCGAAGCTGAACTACGATCGACTTGAATTTTGACAACTCTATGGATACCATCGACAAAATGCATATCTCCCCATAAATCAGCGAATTTTTGATCGTTCACGTTAGCGGCACTTTCACTTTCAAAGTACAAACGTTTTAAATCATTGGAATTTAAATTATTCTTGTGTAACGTTTCGAAAACTCGTGGATGCAAATACGTATCAAGGTCGTCATGTATATTTTGATAACCTTCTTGTTTTAAATCTGTAATTAAAATAACCACTGACTAATTACTTTAACTTTGTTTATTGTAAATTAAAGGTTATTCAGTTCCTAAAGCATTTTAATTCGTCTCGGGAATATAATATAGAATGTAATGTATAAACCTGGTAAAAAGAAAATTCCTTCTCCATTATTATATCCAAGCAAGTATGGGACATGAACGCCTTTTTCAGAAGCAACTGAGGGAGGAACCGGCATAAATGGTCTTGCTGCTTTACTATCTACACCAGGTCCGAAAGGGAAAATAAATCGCACTTTATCCTAAAACCAATCAAATCGCATGATGAAGCTTTGATAGAATAATTTACACCGAGTATAAAATAGTTAAGCTTAAAATGATACTGATATATTTAATGTAGTAACATTAAAATTGATATTTTAATAATTATTACTAATATATATAATTACACACACACACGCGCGCGCGCGCACGCACACGCACACACACACATAGCGCTTCATGCGCTCAACTTTAGCTTCATTTTAGAAAAATTAGAAAAATGCGATAAAAATGTAATATAAAATATAGAAATATTGCTCTCCATATATACTCTTTCACGATGTAAATAACATACATAGGTAGACTTCATGGTTGCACATTAAAAAAATTTTCTAATATTATACGTAACTTGATAAAACCAGTCATTGTATAACACTTTATCGTGATCATCTATTGATTTATATTTTTTAATATATACTTTGTTTATTTGAAGCTAAACTTTCGCATAGAGCAAAGTTCAATTAACTGCTTTATTGAGCAATTAATTGAACTAGCAGAGGTCAGTTTTTTATTTGCAGGTTAGTATGATTAAATTAATTAATTCATATTAAATTTATGCCAACTGTACTGATTTAAATTTCGAACATATAATCATCTACGAAAATCTGCAATAATTTTTCATGAGTGTACGTAACATATCCCACGATAGCTTATGACGTAACTATTTTTCAGCCAATCAGATCATGAATAAACTGTCTTCACTTTGTCATATTCTTTTTTTTACAATAAGAAGATAAGAGTAGGAATAGGCGGCGGATTAGTATCATCTTACCTCTGAAGTTCTTAATTTTTCTTGAGCTTCGATAAGGGTTAAACAATTTACTTTCCGCAAAAAATTTAGAGCAATACGTGAATCTTGGATATCTTTGCCCAATAAAGAGCACAATTTGAAAGCATACTTTTTGGGATTTGGAGGCATCGATGCCCAAGTATTCACCGCAACTCCACTTTGTGAGATTGCTTTATGAAAAAGTCCTGCAAAACAAAACGAAAATTTGAAGTTACTCGGAATTAATAAAAAAATTGACGATTTTCAATGAGCATAATGAACCTTTTCCTTGTGGCGATATTGATAAATAATGAACTGATGCTCCTCCGGCACTTTCACCAAATATTGTAACATTCTCCGGATCACCACCAAAGTTTGTTATGTTAAATTGTACCCATTGGAGTGCTATTACCTGATCTTTCAAACCTTGATTACCAGGAGCATACTCATCTTCCAAATTCAAAAATCCTGCAACACATCCAGTTAACACTTGAACATACAAATGTATAAATTTCTCAATTAAACTATTTCATTTACCTAAAACACCAAGTCTGTAGTTAATTGTTACAAGAACAATATCATGTTTGACCAAATAATCAGGCCCGAATAGCATGTCATTGCCACAGCCATGTGTAAATCCTCCTCCATGTATCCAAACCATAACTGGTCTTCGAGCATATTTGTCAATGGATTTAGTATAGACATTCAAGTACAGGCAGTCATCAGAACCAGTGACGGTTCGAGTGACGAGATCGCACTGAGCGCAGATTGAGCCAAAATCTGTTGCATCTCTTAAGTCTGACCATGGTTCAGGGGATCTAGGATCCTAAAAATGATTTCTGATTTCAAGTCAAATTCTGTATTTCGAAAAAAATGACGATTTCGTTTTTTAAATTGATATGTCTTTTGTATAATTATAACTGATGGTGCTGATGAATATTCGTTTATGTCAGTAAAATTTGAAAAAAATCCTACCTTGAATCTCAAATTTCCAATTGGTGGTCTAGCATATGGAATACCTTTGAAGGAATAAAACTCGTAACCCTCTGAGCTCCGCTTGAACGAACCACAGAGCTTACCACTCCTGGTCTTCACTATTGGATCTCTCATGTCGAAGGTTTAATGTAAACTGATTCGCCGCGAAGATTTCGTAAAGACATTGCACCTTTGAATCGTGTGCATATTTATGCATAAGATCGTAGGATGACAACGCATTACTACACTATTAATGAAATTTCTTCTTTTCTGGTGATTCATTATCTAATAGATCGATGGCATTGCTTGCAAGGTGAATGTTGGATTAATCAATATATATATTCTACAAGTATCCTTTAGAAAATGTCTTATAAATAAAACTATGGATAGTATGATATTAAAATTTATTTATATATTATTACTATTACTATTACTATATTATACGTTGTTTTGATATTTTACAGATAAAAGCTCGTTAATTGCACAATCTATTCGAACGAGAAGTGCATCCCCTAGGACGTATCCGACATTCAGTAGAGGTCTTTTAGGAACGACTACAAGATTGAATGGTCGTTTACAACTCCAATGCGATATTCGTGGCTCTCCAAGTCCAAGTACAGCTTGGTACAGGTAAAACCATCCTTTTGCTGTCAATTTCATTTATAAGAAGAATGTTTCTTATTTTCACATTGAAAGTTTTTCCGACATACGAAAGTAATTGAAAGTTAAATATAACCATTTTACCAGAAATGGAAGCAGAATAGAGCGCTCATCTAGGATAAAAAGATCCTATGTTGGTGAAAGGGCCGTTCTCGAGATATCAGACGTCAAACATAGCGATGCTGGCGAGTATATGTGCGAGGCAAAAAATTTACTCGGCACGGCTAGAAGCAGTTGCAAGGTTTGCCTTGAACTTATATTTGAATAATTGAACTCCTGTTGTATCCATTGTTGCTATTAACTCAGAATTTGCTTGGTTTATTTTTATTTAAAAAGTGTTATTGCTATAATTAAAATGAGATGATGGAGATAGTGATTAAAAATTATGTTAAATGAATACAAAATTGGCTACACGAATTTTTGTTCATTAACTAACAAAATAATCTTGATTACAGGTAGTAGTACTTGACATTGACGACCCATCGACAAAAGATCGTGATCCGCCAAAATTTTTGCAAGTGTTGCCGAGTAATTCAATCGTAATGGAAGGTCACTCTTATGAGTTGCAAGCTCGACTATCAGGCACAGCACCTTTCACGGTCACATGGTTAAAGGACGGTCACGATGTTATCGACAGTGATTACTATCGACACGTAGTTTACGAGGACGGTGGTGTAGCCCTCCGATTTCTCAACATTCACCCCCTTGATGCTGGTGATTACACGTGCATTGTTAGGAACGACCATGGCGAAGCGTCCTGCCGTGGTCTTTTTGTCGTTCAAGGTACGCACGACTCTATTCATCAATGCGTTCGAGGAAACGATGTGACCGATGCATCTTTTATTTCTATCTGTAGATTACAAAAGCGTGTCGTCAAAGTCACTGCTGAGTTTTGCGAAAATTCCGGTGCCAGTGTGCGCGGTGAAAGGCGAAACTGCCTGCTTCTGCGCGCGAGTTCAAAGCGATCGTTCGGTCGATATCGATTGGACTGTCAATGGAAAAAGCGTCAGGGAAGATTACAGGTGTAAGGTAATAATTTTTCAACTAGCAATTTCTGATGAGCCATAATCGTTCGAAACAAACAGATTATTAAGAAAAATATATACAATTACAGATCGAAAGAAACGGATCAACAAGTATCCTGAGGATACCCCACGTCACGCAACGGGACTGTGGCGAAGTTCGTTGCATAGCTTCGATCACCAAGGGTCCTTCGATCAGTTCGAGTACACAGCTGCGTCTTCGATCGCTCTCGCCTGCCAAATCATCGCCATCGAAGGACACCTCGCGTCGAAAGCCAAATGGCTTGTCTACGCCGAATTTGCAGGTGGACAAGAGTCAGGCCGACGCTAACAAAAGGGCGTCGAGTTTCACGCGCTTGACTGTGAAGGCGCGAGATTCGTCGACGGAGAGCTTGCGAGAGAAATCGCCGTCCACCAAGAGAGTCGCCAATAGGCAAAAACGCTCGAGATCACCCGACAAGGTTATTAAACGAAACGGCTATTCGAAGCAACAAATTGCTAAACAACCGAATGCACTACCGATGAAACCCATCAAGAAGGCCCAATTGAACATCCAACCTGTAGAAAAAGTGCACGTTGCTAACGACTTGACTAACGACGCCGACGAAATCGATCGCAGTATCGTTGACATTCTTCAACAAGAGAATATTCTGACGGCTGTACCACCGCAATTACCCAAACGAAGAGCAGCATCGCCGGATAAAGAGCGCGTCATCTCGATTAAGCGTATCTCGAGCTTTAAGAATTCCATTCAGCATCATCATCATCATCATCATAATAATAATAACGAGGAAGGTGTGCACGTGCAAAAGAAGCCATCGATTGTAATGAACAGGAAGGGCGAGGTAGCGGCACTGATGTTACGACCCCCTGACGATGCAGTTACACTAAGAGGCGCCGTCGCGACTCTCGAGGCCACTTATCAAGGACAGCCCGAACCCATGGTCAAGTGGATGCGTGCGGTGAGTAGTGTATTAAACTTTCGCTTGTTTTTCACGTAGCTTGAGTGTAGTGATTGTACTAGTAATGGGTGAAATTATGTCATTTTGCCATGGCCGTTATAATTGTACGCGATTCGAGTTTTATTCTATTCATTTAGATGATTAGGGGGCACTTAAGCAGCGTATGCTAAAAAAATTATTTTCCGCTTGGCGGCAACTAAACGGTATATCTTTCAAATCGATATATTTACCGCAAGAAAAGATTGTATGACAATGTGCGTCGCGTGAGTGAAATGAGTATATCTTATAGGTTATTGAAACATTTCTGTTTGATTTCACCAAAGAAAAAGATAACGCAAAAAAGTAAATTATTGTCAGCTTAAAAGTTTATTGTATTGAGAACACGAATATATCTGATTCGTCACTGGGTGATCGAAATCTTGATCGAATCAAATATTCAGTAATATGTCATTACTATAATTGTTAGTGATATCACAGACACATATATACATCTATCCTGTATTAATATTTGACATTTCGTATACTCTTGTTTCGATTTCTGGAATTTCTTTTTACGCGAGTTTGAAAGCAATGATCGGGGCAGTCAGACGTCAGTCTCACATAACCGAACTGTTACTCCATGCTAATCACAATTATCATCTTAAAAATCAAGTGAAAAGAAATTTCAAAAAATATACTTCTTACAAATATAAAGTACATAAATCTGCGGCTTCCGAAATGACACGGGTAAGTCAATGCTTTCCAGGATATCCTAGTTGCTTAAAAATAAATTCAAACGTTTTTCGAAAATTAAAACAACTGACTTATCCAATTCTTCCGGGAAGTCTTGATAATACTTTAATCACCTCCATGATAATGCGCTGACTAATTTAAACGTTGAAAAAATACAAAATTAATAACAATAATATACTATTGTTATACCACTGATGCCGCTGATGAATGTTATACGGTTTATCGAAAAATACACAACACGATAATTCAATTGGACTTTATAACATTTCAACAGAGAGTCTAATCAACAAAATCGTTGTTTTATTTGCACGGCATTTCACTGAACTCTGTGAAACATACGTCTTATTACGTAAAAAAAATACACTTGAAAGTTCCTTGTTTCCTATTAACGATATCAACTTGATGTACGAGCATATGGTGATTGATATCGAAAATACAGAAAGAAAAAACAGCGATGACATCACGGATGCTTTTGATATAAGACATAGCCTCCTTTCATCTGATAATTTGCCAGATGATTCTAATACAGCGCGGCGCGATGCATACGGCAATTCAGAAACCAAAGTGACTCATATCCTCGCCTCTCTTGTAGTAGCGAGAAAACTTGATGATAAGAAGTGACAGATATAAAAGCAAGTGGCCTCAAAGCTATGTGATCAGTCAGTCACGCTACGCAGTTCCAGTGTGTTGTTCGTTCTTAGCAATCTCCAATACGGTAAGTATCGAGACAGCAACTCGCTGTTCATCAATTAACCTGATTTCTTTCTTTAAGTTCATTATCAAGGCCACATTCTTGCAAAGCTCGCTAGCACGATCACTCTGCTTTTTACAGATCTCAGTCAAAAAATGGCATCTCCTCGTCTTGTCCTCGCTTTCCTCGTCGCGAGCGCGGCGCTAATCTCAGCCGAAGTGCCGCCCAGGCCGAACGACGTAATCATCGGCTCGCGCGTGCCCGGCGATCGACTGATCGAGCGCGAACACATCGAAAAGGATGCCAGTAGCATCGGCAAAATCGTCACACTCACCAAGACTTTCGAAGGCGACCGATTCTCCAAAATCACCCAAATCCGTGCTCTGGATCAGCATACCAATGGCTACGGTGCAACTGCTCACTTTGTTGCTGGTGGTGTTGGCTCCAATTTCGTTACCATCAGGTTCGAAAGTCAGCGATTCCGCAGCATCGACTTTATCGTTGAGCTCTACGGAAGATAAACGATGCTTTTAATACAGTGATTACACTACACCATTGTGAATAGCGTGACCCGCGTTGTATTATTTGTCCCACGACTGTTCATGCGTGCTTTCGCTGACAGCAGTCACAGTTTTATTTATTTTGTATATGTGAATTTACAATAAAAAAAGGAATCAAGCAAGCTTAAGCCAAATCTTTTCTATTTGCCTCGCGTTTAAAATTCGAATTCCAAATTTCCTTCGATTGATACTTCCAAGAAGTTTTGTTGACGTAGATAATGCAGTTATCGATGTGTGTGTATATGTGTTATCGTTGGCCTGTTTACATAAATGAAATTAACTGCGCGTCTGTATGTGTAATTCCCATTGATCCAGTTTTCGCGCGGCAATAATTATTAATTACACGCATACTACAATGAACCAGAGACGATCTTACGAATACATTCCACTGCTCGTTTATAAAGCGCGCGCGCGCCATCCCAGTGGCATAATCTGTCGGTAGCCTCGGTTACCATCAATTAAATACGCGTGCTAATCAATGAAAAAGACGTGGCAGCGGTGGGGGAGCGAAAGAAACAAACTCTTGTGCAAGACGTTGCTTTATGAAAGCGACAGCTGTTCTAAAACGTGAGAGATAAAAACGACCACTGTACGCCGCCGTGACACTTGACGATGCGTGCATATATATGCATATATATATACATGTGTGTGTGTGTATATGTGTGTGTGTGTGTGTGTGTGTGTGTGTGTGTGTGTGTGTGTGTACATATATGTACATACGCGTGCGGCGCTTAAAAGCTGATCGAGCTACACCAACAGCAATGATTATGTTGATCTTGCTGGAACACTCACAGGACCGTGACTATTACTCTTTTTAATAGTTTGTCATTGGGTTCACAAAAGATATTTTTTCTTTTAAAATTGTGTGGTGATTTTGTGAATGATCGCTGAAGACGTTCAATTTAATTCGTAATATATTCTGATTAAACTGATCGTAAAAATGAATCGAGCTTTATGGCGATGATCAATGAATCAGTTTTTTGATAACTGTCAAATAAAGACTTTGAATTCATATTATTAAAATCGAGACATTTTGTTATGGAATAACAAACAAATTTTTGATTTTAAAACGTTTAATTTATCAAACACGAAATGTGTATATAAACTTCATACTTACACCAATCAAGCTTTTAAAATGTTCAAACCATTTATTTCTAAACGTTATCAATACAAAATAAAACAATATTAGCAAAGGATCTCATTAATTGCATATTAAATCACCAATTTAAAACTAAAAAGGAAAAGAATTATAAAATGAAGTCGATCCCTGCCTAAAAGCGTAAAATAAGAAGTGACAAATCTCTCAAAAGGAGGGGAACGAAACTGGTCCGAGCGTCGAAATTCCGAAATGGCTCGTTGGATAAACCCATCTGTATCGCATCATGCGGCATTGAAAAGAAGGAAGAATCGAACGAGCGCGCGCTGTGCTGGTGCGGTCGAGCTCGACGACGACGGCGACGACGACGCGGTGCGTTCGGCAAGAGCGAGACAAGCCGGTACATGAGAGACTTTTAGTATCTCGGCGTCTCTGTCGCGCGGCGCACGCGCGCACCTAATATATACGTATACGGACAAAATTCTATCGGGCGTTCAACTTCAAATCGAACGACTCTTTCTCTCTCTCTCTCTCTTTCTCTCTCTCTGTTATTATTTTTGACGTGCCGTGACAGTGTGAACGTATATATTTGTTATTTGTTTTAACAACCGAATAAGAGAAGGGAAAGGATGACTTGACTGTATCGGCGTTGGGATAAGGAATAAACTTTTTTACGGTAGTCTGATCAGCTCCGTTTGAGAGTACACATAGCTGAGATAAAAGGGCGATTAAAATAATTTGTCCGCCTTTCTGTCACACGATAACGACACTGCAAGGTATTCGCATTTTACTCTTAAATTCTTCATTACCTTTGCGTCGCGATGATCTTCGCCTCAAGGAAGATCTACTTTAGAATTAAAAATATACACGTTCAATCGTAGGATTGTACATTGTTCAAGAAGAACTGACAAATAATCATATTCTCCTAATTGAACGAGAAAGCGAAGCAAACAAATTTTTTCATAGCCCGTAAAATGTTGATTTAGCTTTCAAGTAAGTAAATATTGATCTTAAGAAGGCTGTACCTATGTGTCAATAGAAGTCTTTGTTTCAACAGGTGCACAGTACAAAACATTTCAGACTTGATAAATGCTAATTTATTAATGAAAATCGAAGCTTATGCCTCGTAGGAAAAGTAGAAAAGATATAAGTGATAGAGTTTCATTTTATTATTTATTAATATTGTTACTACAACGATACAATTCGAAAGAACATTTTGGTGACAGCTTATATGACATCGACATATCAACGAATTACTTCGATAATAATATATATTCGACAATGACAAAATACAATTTCGGAGTTTGTATAAAAGTATGCTAATTGACAAAGAGTTTATAAAAAGAACATCAATGGAATCAAATTGGTTTGGTTAAATGAGCTCAACTCGCGCTATAATTAAAATGGGTTTCAAAATGTCCAGCGTCGGTGCATATAAAGACAAGTAAATATTTTTATCGACGATACATCGTCATTTTTTCGAATTCGTCGAACGGTACGTCGTGAAAATATTTTTAAAAGCCGTAACGCAAATCTCTTATCTCGAAGCAGAACAAATGTGGCGCGACGTATTCGCAGCACCTAACTATAAATTACGCAGAGCGTTAAAGCTGGAAAAACGAAAATATTAGGACTCTCTCCAGGTTTTATGTAAAACCGACACGTCACACCCGAAACCACATTAACAGGCTAATGACAACGCGGCATAGGTGAAAACACGTGGAGTGAATCAGCGCGGACCGCTGCGCAAACGTCATTATTATAGCCGCGGGGCCAGGTAGCGTGGCATCAATCGCTGACGACCTCGGCATGCTCGGCTTTCCATTTCCGCGATCGCACCTCCGCTTCGCCGGACCTAATTTTATAGTTTCGCTAACTTTTCGTCGATAAGACACATTAATAGCTTATAAAAATCTTGTGCCTTTTTATTGATACGCCGTCGCGTTTGTAACTATTATTCTTCCGATAAAGCGGATTGACGTTACAAACAACAAACAGGAAAATTGCAGCGCTGTCGCGAATAACATTCCGAAACGTCCAGCGAAAAATATTCGTTGCAGCTAATGAGATAAAATGAGGATTTGAATTGTGATGATTCTATGCTGTAGGAATTTTTGAGATATTATCGATTTATAACGTCAAAGTAGCACGAATGCAGTCAATTTGTGATTAAACAGTATATTAAATATGTAATAGACAGCTTTGTCACGTTATGAATTGGCACGCAGTGCGTTAAGCTGTAATTAAGACTACCGGCCAATTTGAATTGAATGGCCAGCGAAGCATTCTCGTGCAATTATTCATGAACGTGAATTCTTTTTTTGTCACGGATCGCTATTAACATAATCGAATTGTATGGAATATATAACTTGGAATATTTGTTTTAACTGTGGAAAGTGAATTTTTATGAGTGATCATATTTAAGTTAGCGCATTGATGGGGATTGGGTGTCAATTGCATGGTCAATGAAAAACGTATGATAAAAAAAGCCTTTCATTTGACGTTGTGATAAAGTCACTGTCATCGCACAACAAAGAGGATGCATTCATTGGACAGTGACGCGAATGCCTTCAACTAAAATTATGTTAACTACTAATTAACTGATGGCTTCCGATCGCTCACTTTGTATGAAAATTAGATTACGCTTCACTGTGTCACTTCGGTACCAACCATGATTTTCTTGAATAATTTCACGAGCCTCGATTGAATAACGATTCCATGCTACCGAAAACTACCAAATCAATTCGATAGATAATCGAGAAAAGTCCAAATAATTTGAACATCAAATTGTACCATTCCAGATCTTACTTATCTAAAACCAAAAAAAAACAACATATATTCCTCGGTCGAGCACACATGTAGGTCGCGACAACGACAATCCCAAGGATCGCGTCGCGACCTTTGCACTGGGTCCCAAGCAGTGGAGAATCTTACGTCTTACGTCGCAGTTGCGCCAAGTTGCATCCGACACTCGATCTGACGAAACGAGTGTTGTATTACCACTTTGCAGGGTTGGCTGCGTTCGCGTGGCGCCTATAACGTCGACACTTTACATCTCAAACGGACTGCGACTAAGCGCCATTTTGCTAGAGATTTGCGCACTCTCGTAGCTTGTAATTCGCGTAGAAATTCGATGTCTGCCAGGAGATTTTTGAAACATCACGTACGGCTCGAAATTCCATTGAGTAAAAGGACGAACTGACAAATTGTTTCTTTCCGTTTCGCTTGTTCAGGGTCGAGAATTGGTAGCCGACCATCGGATCCAGATCCACAGCGCAGATGGTTTGTCCAGGCTGACTGTCGCGCAAGTAACGGCCGACGACGCTGGAAAGTATGCAGTGTCGGTGGAGAACGCCCTCGGGAGCGATTGTCGATTCGCAAGCGTCGCCGTTGAAGGTAAGTCGCGCGAACTCGTTGCCAAAACTACATCGACGCGAAGTGAGCCGGGTGGGGTTCTCTTCTGTTTTTTTTTTTTTTTATTCGCGGGGCGGACGTTCGGAGCTTCCACGCGAACGGCAGGCTCGCGGCTCGACTTGTAAGTCGACGGCGCGCGTCGCGAGCTCTCGCGATAAATCGACACGAAAAGATAAAAGAGGTGAGCAACCCGCGTCGATCCTTGAGCTCGTGTGATAAATTAAGCGCGCCAAAGATAACGAACGGAGAAGAAGACCACGAGCGTATTTGCAAATGAGTTAAGTAGGCGCGCACGGTCCAGTTCCTGCCCGCAATGGACACGCGCGCGCGCCTGTGCGTTTCGTATATTGCGCGCGAACGGCTCAGATGACAGCTGGTAATTATAGGACACGCTCGTCTTCGGCCTCCGGGGATCGCTGTCGAAAGCGCGCGAGCCTCGCACACGCCTCGCGATCGTTGGCGAGCGCGGGATCGCGTCGTTTTCTCCTCGTTCTCCCCGAGCTCCAAGTTCAGCCGATGACGTACGTGGTGAAGCTGTGCCGGGAAGGCTGGGGTGAGTTGGCGCACCCGACCTCGCGATGTCGCGATCGAAGTAGTCGGAGCGCGTCGCAAATAAAGCAATTCACGTCTTCGTCTTGGGCTCGACGCGCAGCGAGCGAGCGGCGATAAAGGAGGCAGGAAATTTTTCGAGCTACCTCGCGCGTTTGCGCGAGATTGGTTGGCACTTTAAAGTACGCAGCCTCAACACCTGTGCAAACACACGGCAGTGAGCACTTGCTGCCAGAAGGAAAGAGAGAGAGAGAGAGAGAGAGAGAAAAAAACATCTGCCTCGTAAACAACATATACCTCGGACTTCGAGAGCCAATAATTTCCATTCTACCGCGAACAGTCATAAATATTTCTTTTCTGCTGCTTATACTCTCTTTTATTTTTTTTTTGCAGAGGGAGCGCGACTATAACTTTCGACCTATACGAGAGAACGAACGTATTATTGCGAGTTAGAAAAGAAATTAGAAACGTTCTCTACCTTGTCTCATTAAAAGCATTTCGTCGACTTTGAAAACAGTGTCGAATTGTGCAAGATAATACAACACCTATACTAATGGTGCAACCGTATAACTGAACGAAAATGTGTTCTTCGCAACGTTAAACTCTTCTCGGTTTTTCGATCGCGCGTAGAACAATAATAATCTTGAAATTGCAGGTCCACCAGAGCCACCGTGCGATCCACCTTGTGTAAGTGCACTGCGTCACGGTGATATTGGATTGAGCGTGACTTGGTGCTCGCCAGCCTACGACGGCGGTTGCGCTCTCACCGGTTACACAGTCGAGTGTCGGCGTGTTGGCGAGCTTTGTTGGCGCGTCGTCGCTGAGAATTGCCACAGTCTCAGTCACGAGGCTACCGATCTTCGTCCAGGCGCCACTTATCGATTTCGGGTTCGCGCGCTCAACGTTCACGGCCCTGGTGAACCAAGTCCCGAGTCGGCACCCTTCAAATTGCCATTCGTAGACATGGACGACGCTGAGGATAAGCTCAAGGTCGAAGAAGATCAGGCCAACTTGGAGGATGGTAAATTGCCCCCTTTTTTATCCGATTCTCTGTTAGCTTTGTTTTCCAAACTAATTTTATAACTGTTGTGGCATCATTTTCTGGCACGCTTGTTAAAACGTCGTGCGCATAATGAGAATACATTGGAATTTTAACCTCCGAACGTAACAAATGTATGAGTTTGTAGAAAGCATTAAATGCTTGTCAGACTGCATGCGAAACGAAATACTCGCAGCCATTTTTCCCGAAAATCCCAAAGTAAGGATTGACTTTGTAGCCTTCGAAAGAAATACCGTCTTAAAATCATTTCAGAAAACGACGAAGACTACTCATCGGACAAGCCAGTAGTGACGGAAGAGGGTCACCTCTTCAAGGAACGTTACGCGCTACACGAGGAGTTGGGCAAAGGCCGCTATGGTGTTGTGAGGCGTGTCGTCGAAAAGAAGTCAGCCAAGTCGTTCGCCGCGAAATTTGTGCGAGCCGTAAAAACGTCCGATCGCCAGCAAGTGCGAGAAGAGATGAAAATTATGAACATGCTGAGGCATCCCAAGCTACTCCGCCTTGCCGCGGCCTTCGACAGTCCCAAAGAAATTGTTATGGTCACCGAATAGTAAGTAGCCGCAAACACTGCCATTTTTCTCGCCTATAAAAACGCTTAAATGTTTCCGTGAAAGTATAACTTCCCTGGGATCAAGCGCGCGAGGACTCCTTCATTAAGTAATTAGCAAAAAAAATCCAACATTTCTTTTCGAAACCGCCGCAAGGGAAATAAAATTGAAATTGGTTTTCTACTAAAACGGCTAATCGTTCGTTTAGCATATCCGGTGGAGAGCTCTTCGAGCGTGTGGTGGCCGACGATTTCACGCTGACCGAGAAGGACAGCATACTCTTTATGAGACAAATTTGCGAAGGCGTACGATATATGCACGAGAACAACGTCGTTCATTTAGACTTGAAGGTAACTTTTCTTCTTCATCGCTGGCCTGATTTATTTGCCTGTCTTAATGGCTCTTTGGGAAATATTGAATTGCCATTAATTGATTTGCCTGTAATTATAGCCGGAGAACATAATGTGTCACACAAGGACGTCGCATCGCATCAAACTTATTGACTTTGGCTTGGCTCAAATAATCAGTCCAAACAAACCTATAAGAGTGCTGTTTGGAACACCCGAATTTATACCTCCGGAAATCATTAATTACGAACCGATAGGCACCGAGTCTGACATGTGGAGTGTTGGTGTAATTTGTTACGTTTTGTAAGCATATTCAACGTTATTTCGTTAAACTCATTAATGGGTATCCTCAGTTATCGCTGAATTCATTATTTTCAGATTAACTGGATTATCACCATTCATGGGTGACAATGATGCCGAAACTTTTGCCAATATCATTCGCGCAGACTATGATTTCGAAGACGAGGCTTTCGATGCTATTTCCCCGGATGCAAAGGACTTTATCAGTAATCTATTACAAAAGAAAAAAGAGTAAGTATAATATTACATATATTTTTTTATGAAAGTTTACTTTTATTTTAAATAAAACTTGTTAGTACTAATTAACACACTGTACCAATATATAGTATGAAACTAATTGCCTGTAATTTTCCAGATTGAGAATGTCTGCAAAACAATGTCTTAGTCACTCTTGGTTGGCTCAACATACGGAAAATATGAGCCAAGTCGCGCTACCCACGGACAAACTGAAAAAGTTCATTGTTAGAAGAAAGTGGCAGGTTTGTACAAGATTTTATCAATGCGGTCTTTTTTCCCTTTTTATTTCTTTTCATATTAGTCTATTGTTACTTTTAATTTGTTTGACAACATTCCTATGTTAAAATAATTTTGTTTGAAATTTACGTACTAAATTGGAAACACCGATGTTACTCTTTACGTATGAAAATGAGATTTTATGTTTTGAGACGTTTGAATAGCCCATTCATAGAAAGATAATACAATTCTTTATTATTAGACAAATATTTTTTGAGATCACAAAAATTATATATAATATAATATCTCATTTTCATTGTTTGTTGATATAAAACTTTTGCGCATGAGTTTGCCGTAACTAATACTTGGAGTGCGCGCGTTTTCTTTTCCCCATAAACAGAAAACAGGCAACGCCCTACGAGCTTTAGGCCGCATGGCAATGCTTTCAGCCAACAAACGCAGCCCTTCACTCTCACCCACTTCGACGCAGTCGCTCAGCGAGGTTACAAGGTCGGAATCACTGGACTCAGATGATCACTTGGAGCACGAAGATATTATTAATAAAATAGAAGAACATTTAGTTTCTGTTGACGAAACTGCAAAAGAAGAGGACGAGTTGAAGGTTGAACTTGAAGAAAACGGTAAAGATGATTCAAAAGTAGATAATGAAGAAGTAGTTGAAGATTTTACTAATATTGAGAATAACGTTGAAGATAATGGTAAAGAATTGAATAATGATGATGCTGTATTTAGTAAAAAACAAATTAAAGAAGATATTGAAAAAGATGTTTGCGAGATTTCACCTCAAGATAGCAAAGATGATCATGTAAAATCGTCAAAGAAATTAAGTAAAATGTCTGACGATTATAAAAATGATAAAGAGGAATGCAAAGTAAATAAAGAAAAGAAAAATGTTTTCAATATCAGTGATGAAATTGACGAGGATATTAAAATTGACGGTATAAATGATAAAGATTTTGATATTGACAAACAAAAAACAGTTTCCGCAAACTTCGAAATGAAAGCGTTTGAAGATTCAATATCGAGCTCTCAAGTGATATCCACTGGAAAGCAAGATTTTCACGCCGTAGCAAGTCAGGAACGCAAAGAGAGCGAAAAATCAGTTGAAGATAATAAGTCTGATGATATTTTTCAACTTGTAGATAACAATTGCTATAAGATAATTCGTACGCACAATAATGTATGCTCTGTGTCCGGAAAAGCTCAGGACATAAAAGAGCAATTGCTTAAGTCGCAAGGTGAGCAATCAAGCGCGGATTCTTTGTCAATAGAAGAACGTAGTCATAAAGAATCTGTCAACAATGGAAGATCAGAAATCAAAGGGTTGTACGACAAAGAGTCAAACAAGCCAACCAGTTTCAAGCCTAACAAGGATCTTGTTTTTGAACGTGATGCGAGTAGACGTAGTTTTCACAAATTTAAAACACAGTTTGAAGGTTTGTTATGTTTTTGTGACTTCTTGTCGATTTAATGACTTTACGAATACTCCTTTGCATGACCATTGTGTTTAAATGTTTGAATGCTTACTTTATTGCAATTTTTATAGTATAATATTAATACACATTTTACTCAAATTTCATAGATAAAAGTATATTTCTTAAATTAATTGTTATTTTCTCTAAATTACGTTGTACGCCATACAATAGGCTACTCTAGGCTTGAAGAAACGATAATCGAATGGAAAACTGTTCGTAAATCTACTAATCGTCGATATTTTTCCAAACAGCCACAACGACTGAGGACTCAAGGCTAGATAAATCTCCAAGAGGCCAGAAGTTCATGCCCACAGGCAACGTCAGTCGCACAGCCAAGATGTTCGAAAAGCTGGACACCGGCAACGGCAGTGTCGGCAACGGTTCGAACGCGAAAGCTCCCGGGGGAAAGCCGCGCAGCGAGCGCATCCAAAAAGCCTTTGCCTTCTGGAACAAATAAGCCTTCCAAGCCGAGCGCTTCGAATTTTCTCATTCGTTTCGCAGATCGCACCGAGTGCAGGCACGCTTATGGATTAGGCGGCCGATCGAGGATTTCAATTCAATGACGAAAATGTGCACACATAGACCGAGATTTATTCTTACGTAACGTTCGAGAGGAAAGGTATTTCTTTTTCCCTTTAGCTTATTATCATTCTTTTTCTTTCATTCATTTTTTAAAATTAGCTGATTGACACGGCAAGTACTTTCTTTTTTAATGCTCGTCGTGTTAAACGCGCGAGCGTATCGTCGACGTACGACACGATAATTTTATTGTTTCAAATCACGATATTACGAGTCGATTGTTGAAATTGTTCTCTTGAGTACTAAATAATGTATAATATAGACTATATTTTATCCGAATAAAGAGTTATCTGTATATTTTTTATTGTTAGTTCCATTGCCCTGATATTAAATAATAATAATTATGAATAAGTTAAATCAAGATTATAATTAGTATTATAATTAATAGTTAGCGAAAAAAGTCAAATTTTGTTCGCTTTAAAAATGTTTGATATTAGCATGTTTCTGTTGACTGATGATATTACAATTCACAATTATGCAAACATATTTTTCAAGGTTAATGAATAATTGCAATGCTTGTGCTTATTTATGTAACGTTATTATTAGGAATATTGGAAAATTTTATATATTATTAAATCAATCGATTAAATTAGGTTATGAAATGCTATTATTTGAGATTTTTAACTTAATGTCAAATCAGTAATTTATATATGGCATCTTGTATGATTTAGCTGTTAGATAAATGGATCATCTATAGAATCATGTAATCACGTCGTACGAAAAAATCAATAAGTTAAAATAAATAATTTAAAAAACTTTTTATTAGTCAAAAAGAAATAATACGTCAAAATATATTAGTTAATGTTTGCAGGTGATTTGATGAATCTATCGAGGTATGTAACATTCGAGCGGAAAAGAGAAAATATAATGTGTTGCATTATAGAAATTTAATAAAATTTTAAAAATATAAAAAACGATGATTAATCGTCTCATTGGTTTATTTGACCAACTAATCACATGATACCTCGAAGGAGGAGGGATATATAAGCTCCAGAAATCATAAAGAACTAGGTCAATTCATGGAGTGCAAGTCACACTTCAATACGTATTATAAGAAATCTACTGTTCGAAATCTACCAAATATGATTTAGTCGCCAAATCATTAAACCTTGTCTGCTCAAATATTATATACCTGGATAGATTTATCAAATCATCCGCAAACGTTAATTAATATTTTTTCTGCCATGTTTCCTTCCTGCAACAAAATAACTTTGTGATTTACCAAATAGATTAGGTAATTGGTAGTTCTGCATGTACGCATGTTAAGATATCTTACTGACCAATTTTGACACGTGACGTTTGAATTGTACCACAGCCTTATCGTATAAATTATACTGTTAGATAAGCAACGTCACGAAGACTTTCTTTTTATAAAAAACTTCATGTCACTTTACGATACGTATATCGCTGTTTTGATCACTATATTCAAAACAGTGTCTACGATAGTCAATATATGGAATCATCTTTATTTCTTTTCTTTATATCGATCAAACGGTACTGTTTCGATTTCACTGAAACATATCGCTGTGCACGATAAATTATCAATTATGGAATTCACCTACTGACAAGTAAAAAATTACCCGACTGATTGCATAACCATTCCAATGTCCATATTAATCGGCAACAAATGGTTAATTAACATCCGAGGTGAACTAACTTTCTTGAAAATCTCGCACGCAGCTGGTCAAGTGGCATTCTAACTGTCTAAGGATTTACCCGTAGCAGCATCGCGAGTCATTTGCAAAAGGTTCAAATGCTCCTTTACATTCTCTCACCGAGAGACTTCTCATCTTTCTTTCTCCCTCTCGTTCCCTTTCTCATTTGCTCTCTTCGTTTGGTCAACGCCGGTCGACGACCTTTTCTCGGGCGCAGCAGCCGTTTGCGGCAAGCGCGCGCTACGCTTCACCTGTTCGTTGCCGCTGTCGTCGTCGGGCTTTTTGGCTTTTTGTTTTCTACACCTCCCTCTCTCTCTCTCTCTCTCTATCTTTCTCAAAGCTTTAAGCGTGAGATAATTTCCATGCGCTCCATTCGCTTTCCGGCGATACCATTTGTCACTATTTCGTGCGACTGCTTCTTTTTTTATGCTTCGACATTATTTCGATGTGTGATTATGATTTTGGTAATACAGCTGGAATTGAGAAAGAATTTGTTTGAAAAAATAATTCGATTTCAGAATTTTTCCTGACGGAGTATAGTGCTTTGATTATATAATTTGATACTGATTACCAATCTAATTTTGTAATAAAACATTTATGAATAGGCTTATTGGAAAGCGACTTAGGTCACGTAGAATAACGCGATGACATTTAACAGAGAAATTGATTGACGTTAACACCATCGCCTATCATCCGAACACCCGACTTATTAATCACAACACATCGTCTTACAACAGGTTTTCTTTTTACGTAGCATCATCACGGATGTCTGGACAGTTTCGTGGTAGTTCTACTAGAAACGGAAACGTGAACCAGCTTTTGCATATAACACTTCTTTTACGGCGCCGTGATAAAAGGTATAAAAACTTAAGTGTCGTGTTTTTTATCACACGCAAATCAACAGATCAGTTCTATAACATGTATGTAATTATTTTATTGCCAGTTTGGTATATTCTGTTTGTAAGCTTGAAACATCAAAGCGAACTTGACTTTTTTTCGGTCTGCTAAAAATTCAAAATATGTTTTTCATAAAACGTCTTGGATAATTTACATACTTCTCAGGCTCTCACGTATTGCTTCAACCATGCGCATGCCAAGTTAAACTGACCCAATAAAAAAAAAGAGGTAAACTATCAGACATACAATGGACAGTCTAATAACGCATCAAATTCCAAGATGTATACAATAGCAACAAACAACATCAGCAGCCTCTGCCAAATAGTCGAGAAGTAGCTTTAGCTTGCCGCGAGGCTGCGTGTCAGCAGTGCGCCAGGTAAGTCACGCCAGCACGGCCCGTTGCATGCGGGATAAAAGCACGCGGATCCTGTGTCGAAGGTGCGTCAACACAACTGCTCTCCCAGACACACATATATACGTAGGACCTTGAAACGCCACTACAGCGGCTGACATGGAGAAAGGCCAAAGAGTGAGATGCGGTGCTGACTGCGACAAGTTCTCCACGCGCTCAGTTGGGATAACGACGTTGATTTGGCTACCTGGCTCATTCGTTGGATGCTCAATAGATAACAGACGATTTTTGCCGGGATGTAAATTGCTTGATCGATAGCTATCTGATGGTTAATAAAAAGCTATCTGCTTGCTCATCAAGATGATGCCATCGAAAAGTATTTCGAGAAAAAGAAATAGATAGGCATCGAAAGAGATAATAGTAACGTGTCATTATACTAGTATACTTTAAATTATTTAAATACAACTATATTCACACAAAATCTGAAAATCAAATGTATTCGTTGAATTATATTGTGAATGACATTTTTTTGATAATCTTCTTTATAAAATTACGATAATCAATTCGAAAACAACAAAAATGCACAAGCTGCCATCTACTTTCATTATTAATAATTTTTTTAAAAAGTTTCATTAATAAAATTTTCAAATTGTGTATTTTGGCAGTACGAAGTGGAATGCGATCCGCAGCAACTCAAGAAGTAATTTGCTGCTATCAAATTAAAAGTAATGAATGAAAAAGAACTATTATCTAATGCTAAAATAGAGTATCCAATATTTCTTAGTGCATCCTCGTATATAGAAATCATCGCGGTACACCTGACTCAACTGAAGATCCAATTTTATCATTTTCTAACTACCACAGTAATTTACTAGCAAATTAAAAGTAATGAATAGTAGTGTTAAAAGCAAGTCCTTCAATACATTTTTTTATTTGATCCATAGAAAAGGCTTTCGTAATTTTTCTTTCATTCATTACTTGCAACGCTGATAGTTACACCATTTCTTTTCAGGTATGTAAAAAGCACAGCGCACGAATTAAAAGCGTACGTTATAAATTTATGAGCGAATCAAATTGCAAATTACACGAAAATTTCAATGTTCTCTCTATTCTCGCTTCGCTCGCACAGCGGATGTCGCGTTTCCTTTCGGCATGTGTATACACACGTGCGCGTTCGTGAAAGTGCGGATAAGAGTAAATTTACCGTAGTATATGCGAAGCATTTCCTCTATTTTTTTTTTCTTTCGTTCTTTTTACCATTATTAAAAACACATTACTCTTCTGTCGATGATTTTTCTCACCTGAAAGTTACTCCGACAGCTCGCGCCCTCAGAGCCATAAATTTTCTATCCTACACCAAAAAACGTAAATCTCAGCCGGTTAAAGGAAAAATCTAAGAAAGAATGTCCATAAAACGGCCATAGGAGCTGTCGGTAGAGAAAATAAAAATGAAAGAGAAGGCGCGGAGAGATCTGCCGCGTGTGTATACATTTACATTATAGATAAAGCGAAAAAGACATCAGACGACGACGATCGACGGGGACGCGGACGACGGACGAAAACAGGTTGAAGCAGAAGAAGAAGGGTCGGGGAAGCATAATTGGTGCCGGGATACCGTTGCAACTGAATGGACCGCCTCAGCTGTGTGTGTGTGTGTGCGTGTGCGCGTGTGTGTATGTGTGTGTTGGGTGGCGGAATGGAAAGCCAGTCAGTCGCGTGCGAGCAGCGCGTGCTCTCGCACCTCTGCGTGTTTTCGCTTTTTATCATGGCTCGACGTTTCACAGTGCATCAAGGGGTAAGCAGTTCATACATGCGAGAATATTGTACACTTTGCTGGCATGCGCACGCACGTGCGTGCGCGCGCGTGTGTGTATACGTGTAACCTTCGGAGTGCTTTTTTAACCGCGCAACGTTTTGTTTGCATTTCAAGCGGCGTGCACTGGGAGGAGGATATCCATTGCGATCACGAGTGCGCTTGCTCGTGATCGGTAATTGTTGATTTTACTTTGCCTGCCTCTTGTAATTTCCCTCGTTACTCGAGTTTCAAAGTGCCTTTAAAGAAGTAAAAATTCACTTTCATTCATTTATTCAAAAATCTAAGCTTCGAAGGTATTATAAAAGATGTTATTCCACGGGGACTAGACCGCCAACTTGATAGATATGAGAATGAACATTTTCGTCACATGATACATCGGTCGCGCTGTGACGAGCTTGGTTTTTTATTTTCTGGTCCCGAGAGTTGAGGCTCTCACGAAGCTCAGTTCAGTTTATGAATAATTTTTTTCTTACTTTTTATCAACCGCGGATACGCTGTCAGTGATCACGCCACTGTTTTTTAGCGTCATTCGCGTTTTGCAAACTATTTTTGCGAGGATCAATATCATTGAAAATTAGAGTGTATTATTTTTCAATCATTGATATGAGTATGTGTTACAATTTAATTCTTGTAAATAAGGGAAATTGTAAGTGTATATTCAGTTTTGTTTCAGTTCATTCATCTATTTTTTCAAAGTTAAACTTGAAATTCCTACGAGACAACCTTTATTGTTATAAGCTCATAAGCGTGGATCTCCACTTGCAAATTAGGTGCACCATTATTTACCCCAGCGTGCACAGAATCCTAATGTAGGCAGTTTTTCCCATTATAAATTACTGACATTATAATAGGCTTCAGGACATTATTATTGTTTATTGTTATTAAATTCGTGATTACACAGTATATACATATATAGTTTTACTTCTCTTTATTATCCTATACGTCTGTTTTAATATTTATTAATCATTGTTCAAGTTTCATTGAAATAAATTTTGTTTAATAAAATTATTCTTCAACAGACTCAATCGTGTAATAAAATTCCGTTTCTATTACATTTAATACTTATCGGCAATAAAACAAATAACTATATTGTTGAACGAGCTTGCTGTTCAATTTGCCTATTGAACCACAGTAAACTATACTTTAATAGAAGCAAAAAAAACGCGAAACTGTAAAAAAGCTCATGCAAGCGTTTCTTAAGACGCGCGAGTGATAATCAGTGACAGATAAACAATAAAGATTATCACCTAGAAATCAGATAGAAATTGAATAATTGCGCAGAAGCCAGTGGTGTATGCGTGTGTGCGTGCGAGGCGAGATAAAATCGAAACAAGCGCTTTATATACCCACATATACAAAAGAGAGGAACGAAGGCGCGAAAGCGGAGAAGGAACAAACGAGGGAGCGGCTTTTGCGGCTGCGGCGGCAAAGAAAGTAGGAGAAGGAGTCGCGGTGGCGGGCGCTCCTGCAGGATCCAGAAACGCGGTCGTACACACGAGACGAGAGTGGCTACGCGCGCGGCAGCCACGCCGCTACGGAATGCTTATAATAGTTTCGAGTCTCTCCGAACGTTTCGCTCGTTTAGCCTGGCGAATGGCGCGGCTCGCGTAAACCTCGCGCGAGCTGGAAAATTGCACGCGCGCCGATCGACGCACGGTACGACTTTTTTTACGCTTTTGTAGTATGCCGGCACTGTGACATAATGACGACCTCGTTTTTTTTTTAAGGCTATTTGATTTGCTGAAAATACACGTGCGTAAAGTGGTGTTTGTTAACGCACGAAGCAATAATTAGCAGTTTCGGTTTGGATGTTTATGACGCAGAGGTAACTGTAGAAATTGCTTCATTATTTGTCGTTCAACGAAAGAGGAGTTATATTTAACTGCTCTATACAAAAAAGTTCAATAACACAAGACTCTGATTTATTAAGTTTCATATTGTATTGTATTCAAAATTATGATCTAATTATAATTTTAAAATATACACCATAGCAGTTCTTCATTCAATTGCATTTCAAATAGTTCACAGAAGAGAAACAATTTTATTGAATTTACGGCGAAAAAATAAGTTTTAAATTTCAAGGCAAAAAGTTGATTCTCTACCTAGCAGCAATGCAATTCATTATTAAGTGAGTTACGTTACTTTTATAAATATGAAACTACGGCGATTGACAAAATACATGGCGTTTTTTATCATTGCATAAAAATGTTTTTGTTGTGCCTCGAAAAAACTGATTGAAAACTATAATCATATAATCAAATAACTTACTACTTCAATGGTATACTAATCAATAAATACTGTAATACGCAAAGCGTACGAAAATTACAGACGACACTCTTTTATCTTAAATAACGGTAGCAATGTTACCTCATGGCTCAGTCACCGAGAAAAAGAAAGGTCTAAGTATAGCGAACTGTAATTTCAGATCACGTAGAAGAAGAAGAAATAAAAAAATCGCGAACGAGTCCGAAGTGCAGAGGCGCATTCCCGATGAGCGATGTCAAAGCTCGAGCGTGATCAACAGGCGGCGCAGAGGCATGAAGCGCTCAACATACTGGAGGCCCTTGAATCGGAGGTGGCTTACGTGCCGGGAGGCCGTGATCGGCAGAATCGAGCGCTCATCGTTCTTGACATTCCCGCCGGCGAGCCCATGCCAATTATCCGCGCTAACATCAGCTTGCTAATCGACTACTTTTTGGCGGTTTTCAGGTATACACTCGCTCGAAATACCACAACTCTCGTTCTTCCATTTTTAGACATAGCTGCTGCGGCTGCTATTGTGGCAGCCTGACCATTCGAGAAAACCAAAAATTCAATTTTGAATTATACGTTGCTGAGCAAAATAACGAGATGACGTGTTTTCTCTTCATTTTTTTTTTCGTGTTTCATTTTGAACGATTGATAACGACGAGCTGTCCATTCCAGTTTTTCTTTTTGAAACTTCAAATTAAACCGTACATGTCATCGACGCAGGGCAGCGAAAAAAATGAAAGTGCGTATATTTTACTCTGCTCGAGTTTTCAAAAAAGTAAAACTAGTTTGACATGGTATGTTAAGTCTGCGATTTCATCGAAGTATGATTATCTTACGCAGTCAAATTAGTATGAATTAATGAAGCTGAGGCTCGTCGAAATTTAATTTATAATAATTTGAACGATCATTTTTGCAACGATAAGCTTTCGAGTAATTGCACTGACTTTCATTTTCTTTATTATGTATCATCATTATTCATTTTAATTATTATGTATGACTCAAAAGCCATTAAGTATTAGTTCGTACGCATCGATAAATTAAATTTTTCATCGAGTTCGAATTCCTTTTAAACAATTACACGAAGCGCATTAAAGTTATCGTAACTTCTGGGTTAAGAAATTTATGAACCCAAGAAGAATTATGTTGATTGAAAATGATCTTTTATCGTAATTTTTATTTCCAGCGAGGAGACAAAGTCAAACGGCCTGACCCTTTTGGTGGACGCTCGAGCAGCCCAATGGCGAGCGGCGCGAGCGTACATGAGAGCAGCCCGCGAGCGTTTGGACTCGTACGCGGCGTCGGTGATCGCTGTGAGACCCGACGGCTTCTGGGACAAGCAGAGAGTCGACAATTACTGCACCAAAGCGCACGGCGATGGCGAGGTCAGTGAAAGAGCGACGCCGTCTTCGCGTATCTATATATACGTGCGAGTGTGCGAGTGTGCGAGCGTGTATGGGTACTTTCGATGTTGGCCTACTAACGCAGAATCGCCGTGAACGTCAAGGCGTAAAGACGCGCCACCATGGCTTTCCCGTCGCGTCGCGAGGGAGTTTTTGCGAGCTTATGAGTGCGCGCGCGCACGCGAGCGCGCGCGACGCTTTAACTCTCGGCATTTTTGTAAGTGTGTTTCCAATTATCATCTTGCCGAGTGCGAGTGCCACTGCCGATCGTAAGACTCAGTGAAATTTCGAATTCACATTAACGGCTGGCTTCAGTTTGTTTTGGCTCTTCTTTCGCGTGCCATTTACTCGAACGTGCCGCAGAACTGATTTTTTCATTTCAACGCAAACGACTGCGCGCGGACCCACAAACGCTTCCTTTTGCTTCTCCGAGAGGAATTTTGCGCTGGACGGAAACCATTTTTCGAGTGCGACTTTTCTGAATAATGAGAATGTCTTAAGCAAACAAGTTGAAAGCGTTCGGCTGCGTAGAAAGTCATCTGTCGATCCCAGTGTTCAATCCCACTAGAAGAGTAGATTAGTATACTTTGCGCGCGGCTCTTTCGACACGCGGAATATTACGCAATCTCAACGCCCATTCAACTTCGCCTTTATTTATTTTTTATCAGTGTTACAAAAGTTCATTCCTTGCATTGCAGCCGATATACATTCCACTGAACAGGCTCTCCGCGTATGTCGATCCTAATCAGCTCACTTACAACTTGGGCGGTAGCAAGTCTTACGACCACGCAGCATGGATACAGAATCGAGTGGTAAATTGTCTTCTTATTTCTATCTGCATTGCATATGTTAATCTATTCTTGTACTTGTTATGATTCGCGTACTTTGATTCGCACCATTACCGATTGCTTTTGTTTTTTATTTGGACGCCGAAGAAAATTTGACGTTATATTTCCATTGCAGCATGTAGACGAATTCACCAGCGACGCCGAAGACTTCATTGAGAAAATGGAAGAAGTTATAGAGAAGCTCAAGAGGCCCGAGTTGAATCGCGATTCGAGCGAGAACCTGTCTTGTGAAGAAATGAGTTTCGAAATAACAAGTGCTGCCCAACGAATACTTCAGTCAGGTGAGTAAGATGTGCTGGATGTACAGGTAACGAATAAGAAATAATTTCGATTGTAACTGGAATTTCAGGTAGAAATCTAGCCAGTTCTATGAGTCGCGAATCGGCGCAAGATATTTTGGACACCGTGCACCGGATTCACAAGCTGATCGACTCGATCGAGCAGAAACAGGTAATTTATGCAGAGGGGTACTTTTACGCCGTTGTATTATAATTTTTACTGCGTTTCTTTAACTTTCTTTATTGCAACAGGTGGAAATTGAAAAAGCTAGGGCAGATATGGAAAGAAATATTGACATTCTAAAAGAAATAGCATCGTTAGAAGAAGGCGTCGCGGATGTGACAAACTGGATACTCGGTCCTGCAGATTCTATGTTGAATGCTCATTACCAAATAGGTTTCGATGTCGCCTCGTCGGAGGAGTTAAGGCGAGAACATGAAAAGTTAGAATTAGAGTGTAGAGTAAGTAATTTATTCATGTGTTTTACGGATCATTGATGTGGTTTATGACAGCGTTTTGGTTGCAGGAAACGTATGGAAAATACGCTGAAATTTTACATAAAATAGATAGTATACCAAGCGAATATCTCTCGGAGGATTTGATGTCACAAAGGGATTTTATGGATTTCGTCTGCAGAAGTTTCGCTACGAGACTCGAGAGGAGAAGAAATGTGCTTATTACGTCTCAGAGATTTTTCCGTCTTGTTTCGGAGGTAATTATCGACAAGTAAATGAATATCAGTCTAAAATATTATATTGCAAATATTATTCTGCAGTACTTCGATCGAACAAGTGAAGTCTTCGATAAGCTGATAATGGGTAGTCGTACGTGTAATTTTTCCAATGCTGGTGCCAAACTGATGAAGCTCGAACGTGGCCAAGAAAAACTAGGTAAATTGCTCTACGAACGGTCTAGAATCGTCGAGGAAATTTCTCACGCTAACAGTCGCTTTGCAGAGGGATTAGAGAGAGAATTAGTAAAAGAGGGTGAAAAGTTATCGGACGTTCTTTCGATGCCAGTGAAAGATGCACTCTGCCGAGACGTACAAATCGACTACGCCGAGGACATCATAAACATTCAAGACATTTTGGACGCTACAAACGCGCGAAAAAATATCTTCAACGATAGCGTTGAGCTGCAGAAACTTACGCTCAAGCAAATCGCTCTCGTTTACACTTACGAAAGTGACGCCGAGCAAGTAAGATCCGCTGATATTCGCGATTATACAAATGTCTCTTACATTGTGGTGTGACTTGATGGTTGCAGGCGATAAAGTGGTTGAACGATCTGTTCGACGTGTTGGTCGGCAGTCACGTAGAAATCGGCTGCAACGTCGCTGAAATTCAAGCGCAGAAACAGGAGCATCAGTCTTTTCAAGATACCGCGAGGGTAATTAATTTCTTTCGTAAAAGAAACTGAAAAATCTAAGCTAGGCATTATAGCAACTGATTGTCCGTAGGGTACGTATGAATATGGTTGTCTATTGGTAAACGGAGCGCGAGTATTGAGGATATCCTGTAAGCTCGATCTCCAAAGTAACGCGTTGCTGCTGTCGAGATTGAGGCACGTTTGGCGCCAGCTGCGCTTTATCAGTCAGGAGCAGCTGACGCGTTTGAGAGTCTGTGCCGTCTTTCACCGCAACGTTACCGACGTGAGTTATCCAATAAACATTAATCGGCTTTTGCAAGTGATTATTAGATTTTGCGATGGGATGCCATCAATTTTTTATGTACAGCATAAAAATAATCATTTCATATTTCTCCAAGTGTTCGATGTAATAAAGATGTACGCTATAAATTTAATATTTTTGAAATTATCAGGTTTTTGTGACAAACGTATTAAGATGTGATTATTCATATTGAATTTAGAATGCAGAAGATCAATAGAATAATAAATTACTTAAAATAAATTAGAATAAATTGCCAAAAGTTCCGTAAAAACAAAATGATTATTCTATTTTATAACACACACACCAACACCACACCAAGCTATGAAAATTTGATGAAAAATAGTTATTTTTATTAAATATAGATGGTGGTTTACTTTGTTTTTTCAACGTGCGAAATTGTGACGAAAATTTCATTAAAATACGGAATTTCTTTAATTAATAAAGGAAATTATTTTCCGTTGAAGAAATTATTTGTAACATATATCGATGTGGACTCACTTGTTTTTTTAGAGAAAATTAATGTTTTGAAGCTGCTAGTTGCGTTTATTGTTATCTCTATTTATTATTACTTCTTTTATATTACTAATAATGAAAATCATATCAATTATAAAACATCCATATCGGAAAATCTATGACGGAATCACAAAAATCTAAGCTTAACGGAAACCCCCAATATACCCAAACTACTCAAAACTACCATCTGTTCAAACCAAGAAACAAATATTAAGGTTAAAATAAACCGTATCCGTTAATATAAATCCCCACAGCACTGCAGCAAATTACGAGAAATGATCGAGACAGTGAGCGTATATTCGCCAAAGCGAAGCAGGTCGGCGACGCCGGAAAGTGGTATCGATTGCGCTACCACCTGGCGAAACCACCACAAGGCGGAGGTACGCGACGTGTTGGCCAAGCGGGAAAAGCTCCTACCAGAAGTTGGTCGCATGTGCCGACTTGGTCGACTTTTGAGGTCGCGGCTGAAAGAGCCATTGGCTCATCAAAGGTGATACTTTGATTTGAAATTACACCATCTGATTATTTTCATTTCAAAAACTGCTGTATGGTGCTCATGTTTACGAGTGACATTACGGCTGTTCGTGGAAGTATGCTTTGAAATATTAGACATTGAAAATCGATTGATGTTACGTTTTTATGGAAAATGTTTTAACTACCTACTCAGCAGGTTCATAAAGATTCTAATTTTAATGAAGATCGTTATTCAAGTAACTCTAAATGAAACTCACTTTGAGAACACTTTGAAGCGATAGTAATATAAAAAGCTGAGCCCTCGTACAGCGAAATCAATCAAGACATAATACCAATTTTTATGCTCCAGTAGCGATGGATTTATTTAGTCACACAAGACGTGATTGTTAATACCAACGCGAAAGTGCAATGATTTCTCACAAAACTCTTAAGAGTCACATTTCGATTTTTACGCAAAAAACTTGATAAATTCTGCTTATTAGTTCTACAGTCCAAATGAACGCCCGGGAAAAATAAGTTTTAGACGTACTGAAATGGCGTCAGCACGGAGATATCTGTTCAATCAACATTTAATTTCTCTAGATACCGCCGACGTGCCATTTGAGGAGGGCTTAGATGATGACTCACTTGTGTGCACTTGTGTGCGGCGACTTGAACGAAATTAGAACAAACTGAGGTTGCGGGCTTAAGTAATTTTTCTTTTGTTTTCTCCTGTCAGCTTTCTTTACTTTTCACATCTTTGGCACCATTTCTAGTTGATTTAAGGCGCGTGTTGTCACCTTCTTCATAGTTTTTTCCCGCAGTGTAATTTCTATTTTTAAATCACTTCTATTGTTAATTTGACTGACAGTCGTGCGAACGTTATAATAAGATTATTATTGTTATTACTCGAAATTTAAATTTCTACCAGCTTCGTAAAAACTATTTACCTGCAACGCACGGATAGTACAAAACGTTGAATATACTTCTAACCACCTATAATTATCGCCAAACATATGTTAACAACCATTGGGAAGATATAATTAGGCTCGAAACGCGGCAATCTCTCGATAAAATCCGCAGCGCGACAGACGTCAAATTCACCCAGATTCCCATCCACCTGTCGGCGCGCGATAAACATTCTGACTCCCGCCTTCGCTGTCCGCCAGTGCGTTATATACTCTGCTCTTTTGCCGGGTGCGCGCGGGCGACCCACCTTATTCCCCGCGAGCTTTTTACGTAGCCTCATTCGCGCGCCTACTGCACTTCGGCAAAGTTGCCCGCGCGCGCCAATCGTTACGTAACTCGCCGAACGATTTCGATTTTTCCGTTTGTGCAAATTCCTTTCGTGTTTCAATGAGTGATTCAGTGTTTGTTTCTTCGTTTGTTTGATAAAAGCAGATTGTCAGAGACGGTGGAGTCGAGTGAAACCGGCGCTGGCAACTTGTCGGCGATGCAGTCGATTTCGGCCAAACTGCTTGAAGTTACGAGGCTTGCCGAGAAATTAGATGCCAAACTTTGCGAGGCTGGAGCAAGGAGTCAAGCATTGAATCCAGCGACAGAGGATGATGAGTTAGCGACGAGTCCTGTAAGTGACGATGCGATTGATTCTGGTATGGGAACGTCGACTAGCGTTAAGGATACTGAAGAGTCGAGGGTCACAGACAAAAGTTGTAAGTCGGAGGTAAGACAGTTTCTGGATCAAGTTTTATGTAGATAATTAAATTGAATGATTTTATTGAATATGACTATTTTGTGCTGAGCAATTCTATTAGCAGCGATAAATATTGCCGGCTTTAGTCTAAATACTGCACATTATTGACAGAACAAACCAATGGAAATACTAATGCAATGAACGCATCAAAATTAATTTATAAAACAAGTCAATGCTACGTTCACTTTTCGTCATTGGAAGCGGCCATCTAGATTCAATTTCTTTAACAGTAAATATGCAGATCTGTGTGTTTATGAATCAAAAGAAATCACCAGAATATCTTTCTAAAAATAATTTTAAATTAATAATTGCGTCTTCGATTTTATTAAATTAGCGTGACTTGTTATTTCAAATAAGTACAGAACTGCAAACTGTCCAGTTCGAATTTATCATAGAGCTATTTCAAGCAAGTACTCGTATATGGACTCGGAATGGAAATATAATTCTTCTGAAGAGTCCACTCCAACACTAATCGAAAACTCTTTAAATGTATTAACGACGGTCAAAATAGAGTCAAAATCAACTCGGTACACCAAAATTGACATGCGTTATGTTTTTTTTCAGGAAGTCATAACGAAAGAAATCGATCGGCAAGAAAGCCGAGCGAGTAACCGAAGTATCGTCGAAGATTCAAGCGCAATGGATGAATACGTGACAGCGACCGAATGCTCGTCAGTACCAAGGTCGCGTAGCGAGTCGTTCCTCTCTTGCGAATACGAGGATGGCCCCGTTCCAACGACCTGGTGAGTGTACTCGATAGTGTCGTATCTTCGAAGCTTATTCTTGGGTATTGAAATTTACTTTTGTTGACGGAGCTTCCAACTTTCTCTACAACTATAGCCTTTAGTTTATTATTCGATCGTTCGGACTAGCTCGCTCAGCGGATTCACCTGCCGGGCTGAAAATCTATTCTTGTCCTTTCCGCTTAGAAGGTCAACGTATAAAGATCCAAGATAATGATTATTTTTTGTTAATCGATGGAAGTAGAAAGGCTTGATTCTATCATTAAAATGTTGAAAGTGTATTTTCGGGAACAGCAGAGAGTATTTTCGCGAAGTGTGTCGAAATGCAAGCGCTGACCTTGCCAGCCTCTATTAATATATTTTCTTCTACTTTTCTTTTCTAGCCGAAATGCAGAGGACGAATCGACGATTAAAAACGAAGTAGTACCGATAGCAAAAGCCGATGCTACGGTATCAACGAGTACTAGTGATCAGCAATTTATTGAATACAGTCCGGATGGAGCGACTGTTATTTCTCGAACAATTCAAGTACGTGCAATTATAAGCTCGGAAAGATTTATTAAAATTAGATGTTCACTGAATAATCGGACTCTTTTTTTTGCAGGAAAAAGGTGGAAAAGTCGTGAAAGAGACCACCGAAACGACGACACTACGCGTCTCACACGACACGCGCATGGGTGTCGCGTCGTACAAGCTCGTTTCCAGTACCATAACTGACCACACGGATGACGTAGACATTCGCGAGGTGCAAGATTTAAATCGAACGATCTTAGCCGACGGTTCGGCAGCATGTGAAGATCTACAAACTCACCGCGAAGAGCACACCTACGCGTCGCCGAGTAATCTGGCGAGTTATCACCAATCAGTGGCTACAAACGGCCACTGCAGTGACGTCGACGACGAACTGGTAAAGATCGAAGAGAACAAATTTGATGTGCCACTGCAAAACGGTGGCACGGAGGACGACCACGAGTTACTGACGATGATGCGTACGGTAAGTGAGGATTTGGACGATCAGTGCAACTCTTCCGTGCAAGAGCTCATTAGAATATCAAACTCTGGCTGTACTACGTCGTCCTCTGCTGCTCTTTCCTCTGCTGTCGACGAGTTTCAGTCTATGTTGCCTGCTCCCATTTCCATCTGTGAATTCAACTAACTGAATGACGGACTTTTATAATTTAGAGCTTTTGTTTCACTTGTGAAAAGAGTTGAGAATCGATTAGGATTTTTTTATTGTATAATGTGTCATATTTTGCTAGTCCAATTATGTCGAAAATAATTTTGTTATTACGGCTTTATTGATCATTGTTGAACTCGTTTAGACACATAAGCAATATTTCATTCGCTCAAATTTTTGTCAATGACCTTAATTTTTTCATAGCAAACTTAGTTAATCAGATCATTAAGACACCGAATCATCTCACTAAGTAGATCAAAGATATTTTCATTAAATGGAGCCAATTTTCGTGAAATACGAGACTCTTTTCTTTCGAAACTTTCGTATACACTGAAGAAAAGATGTTTTATAATAGCAAATCATTCATTTTAACTAAACTTTTGGTAATAAAAATTAAATAACTTTATGTGTCGAGAGGATTTTTTCTATGAAAATATAATTCATAAGAAGAATTTTTTTGCAGTCTAAGATTTCACACAATAAATAACTTTTTATAAGTGAAACGTCTACTTGAAAGAACTGATAACTACTCCATATTATAAAATAATACATCATGTAACAACGCTTCTTTCATTACGAACGTTAGTAAATATTGCAAATAACCTTCATGCAACCATTGTTATAACATTCGTTTTTTTATGTTTTTTACGCGTTTTTTTACATATAATTGTTAATACATTAATAAAATGCATTTTGACGTGTATTTATTATTGCAAGTGCTTATTACTGTTGTGTTACTGGTTTTAGTTTAGAATTATGAAATAAGATTGTTAATGTAGTTAGATCAAAGTTTAAATAAAAAATATTTCATATTTAATGCAATAAATATTTATTCAATATATCTGCCTTTTTTAATTGGCAATATTTGTCATATTTTTTCTTTTTTTAGATATCTACTTTTAATACTTTGAAATAAAGTATGTTAACAAATGCTATTGGCACATTCATGAAAAAAAAGTAACAATTATCTGCTCGTTTGAAACATTTGTAAAAAGCTTTTAAAAATAGAATTAATTAAGCTCAAGTTCGCGAGATGCGCGATGCACATAAAAGACATATTTCTAGATTAAAAAAATATATATACACAATTTGTAATGTTTTCTCAAGAAAAGACTGGCAATATTCAATGTGGATTACAAATGATCTCAGTTCTGTGAATAATCGTCTTTAAATGAAGCACGCGCAATCTCGCTTGTTTTCACAAATAACTTGACGTAGACGTTACACTGAAGCATTTAAATTGATTTCCTAATGTACTTACTGAAATCTACGAATATTAAAAAATTATCAGCGCTTCGCATTCGCACACGCAGTTTCGTGTTTATGTTCTCCGACCAATAAGCCTTGGCTTTGCAGACTGAAACTGCTGATTAAGAAATCTGCGCAAATTTATTTCGTCAATCTCTGGACTTTTCAATTGACAATAATACTTTGAAGAGCAGCTCCGAACTCTGCGCCAAAATGAAATCAGGGAAAGTAACGGCAGCGGAATGTGTTCGCGCAAGCCCAGCAAAATCACCATAAACCGAAGGCTCGACCAAGCCTCAATCCAAGAGAGTTAGCTGAAAATTTTCTAAAATTAGGTATCTAGCTAAAAGGTTTATACCTCGACAAGCAGTCCCTTCACTCTCTTTCTCTCTCTATCTTTATCCATGTCTCTCTTCTGATGGTATAAGCTGCTGCGCGTGGCGGCGCTGCTATGGCCTTCCCGCACAAAGATTGGTTGTGTGTTCCCGAGAGAGAGAGAGAGAGAGAGAGAGAGAGAGAGAGAGAGAGAGAGAAGTTGGAGCTCTCAGTCAGTGCCGGTTCGTGCGGCAATCGCCTCGCGTGTGCGCGCGCGCGGTCACGTACAGTGGCTTTAATACACCTATACACTCATCGCTCTCTCTTTCTCTCTTTTCCACGTGCGAAAAGACTCGATTGTTTGGTGAACCTTGACGAGGGTTGGATTTATTATTTTTATTTCTACTTTGCTTTTCAGTGCTTTGATTCTTCTTTTTTTCCTCTATTTTATGGCAGTCAAGAATTGAGATGATTTCTTTGTCGTAACCCGGCTTTTTGGAATTCTCAAAAGTGGGCATATTGTTTCGGTGAATTTTGGTGGTCGTTATCTTGCTTACATAGCTCTCGAGTTGAGTGAGTTGAGTGAAATACATCGTCGACAACGCAACCAATAAGTTTCATTTGATAAATACATTATAGATATAAGCATTTCACTTGCACGCACAAAGTTCGAGCACAATGCGTAGATCGTTCAGCACGAAATCATGATTGCGATGAAAAAATGTTTTTAACGCGCGTTTACCGGAAAACGTTTGCAGTGCAACATCATCGCCAAAATTAGAACGGTCTAATGTATTTTTTTAGACGTTTATATTTCTTTGGCAAAGAGTTTTGCTTCTTATTGCTTCTTTAGTTTTCTTTTTTTTTTGCTTCTTACGTGTCGTGCACGAGTAACGATTGAAAATATGCTCATACATATTTAGCGAAACATCGGACAATTGATATTTTGCAGTAATAGAAATACACCCATGGTATTTTTCATCATCGTTTACAAAAATGAAAAACATTGAAAGATTTTCAGACGAAACGTTACCATTGTGTGACGCCTAGAATAGAGTTATTATAAATTAAAAGCTTGTGACAGATCCGAAGGTTCGAGTGCTTTAGATTGAAGAAGAAGAAAAATGGAACACGGTAGAGGTCGGTTTAGAAAAAAACAAGAAGAGATGCGACAGTAGCCAATGTCATGCGAAATATATAGCCTGTTCGAGCTAAACTGTACAGTGCCTTGTCCCCTCTCGTCTTATTTGCATTTCCATAAAAAAAAAATAAAATAAAATAAACGTTCCGCGCGCAGCGCGCAAGTCGAGAGCAAAATTGTAAATTACCTGATAGCGCGAGCGAGAGCAGAGTCGTTAAATCGTCGGCCTTCGATGTTCGTACAATGGTCGCGCGCGCGCGCGCGATCCTCGGCGGAGATGAGGGAAGAAGACGCGGACGGAATTGGCATATGGCGCGGCCGGTAATTGGCGATAAGATAATCTTTGCGCTCGGGCTGCGCGGAAAGGGCGAGACGTCTTTCTCCGTCCGGGTCGCAATTAGCTTGTCGTCGCGATTGATAACGAGTTCAATTAACGAAACGCGAAACGGGCCGAGCGGCGCGCGGTCGTTTACTCCGCGGGGGATTCGTAAAAATTCGCTCTCTTGCGCGCGCGATGCATTCGCTCATTCAAAGAACGCCGTCCGGTCAGGCCGGTTTTACAATACTCCACCCGGTTACCGGCTTTTATTCTCCTATATTGGTTTTTTCGAATCTTCTGCTGCTGACGTCAGCCTGCCGAAAGGTACGCATACGACTTCGAGGACCGACCACGATGAGATATCTGCACACTCATTTGTATATACGTCGTTCGAGAGTCGTTTGTTTACTTTGACAGATCCGATCGGTTAACGTCGGTGATTTCGTAATGCTCTCAATTCGATTGCAAATTTAAAGTACAATTACTTATCTGACGGACTGTGCAGTTTGGATTGTGTATCCGTTAATATTTTTTGTTGCTGTGAATGACAGCGTCGGATACGTTATCGATGATCATTCCCATCGCACTTTGAAACTCGAGTTGTCACTGAAATAAAAAGATTATATTCAGATGTAACAACTTAACGGTGCTCGCTCATTCATAAGCTGGCAACTTGGATTGCGCGCAACTTTATATAGACGATGATTCCTGTCTGATATCTGAAATTGATTGTGCCGTGTGTATGCGTTCGTACGTACGCGAGCTTTTGTCGAGGGGAACAATGGCAAAGATTTTGAAGGGTATGAATCGTAAGACTCATTTCTTCCTACGCCATTCCACGACAAACTGTTACGAAGCGATATTAGCAGATTAGTTGCGCAAGCACAATTAGCGATCACATCGAGCGCCTCGTGTGTAAATCATCGCGCGACGAGAGAGACTTCGATAGGCTTTTGTCGCAAGCCGGGAGGAAGCCATCTTAAGACGATAATCATCGCGAGGCGCGCCAGGCGAAACCTTTCAAGTGTGAGAAGGAAAAAGCTCTCGGCGAAGAGCAGAAATGCGCGTGCATGTAAAGAAAGTTTGAGGCTCGGTAAAAAAGAAAAGTTCTATTTTCGTGTGCCGCGGGCACGCAGCCAAGAATAATGTCTGACGCCCACCCGCAGCGCTGCAAGCTCTTAATCGACGTAATTCGCGCTCTTCGTGTTTTCCGTCGGGCAGACACGATAACGCGCAGACAATCGTTCGTTCTGATGCCAACTGGAGCCACGTGGAGCACGTTTGGACTTTCGATCAAGACGAGTTCTGACTATTTCATATTTTTGTCGCGCACGTTCCCGACGCGGGACTTACTTTCTTTGAATGTAGAACTTTACGCGAATTCTTCTTGACGACTCGACGTTTGTTGGCGATCAACCAGTTGATAATAATTCATTATCGAAATTGAACGACCATTGGTCTTTCTATTTTACATCGGGTTTTTCGATGGGTATATTGAAGATCACATTATAATTTCTGTCATCATGTTGCACGTAGACAATTAGGGCGCGTAGCGCTAATTTATGGAGAGTAGCGCGTGTCGCGAATCATTGATAAGTCGGTGCAATGATCCTATCGAGATCGCTACCAACTTTGGTAATTACCTGATTCCTCGGATGTGTTAGGACATGAAAATTAATTAACTGCACTTAAGCGTGATTATGAAATCGGCGGAAAAACGTTTATACGATCGTGAACTAAAAATAAAATCGAGGTCTTTTTTAGGATATCTTCGAAGGCTGCTCATTTTTAAAATTAAACATCGTTGATAATTATGTCACGCGCACGGCATATTCACGTACTCTAACATGTTTACGCGTTTGTGCTAATTACGCGCGCTCGTACGCTTGTCGCGTGCGGTCATCTGCATATCGTTACAGAAATAAACGAAGAAATCATCTCGCTAAATACTAAATTCAGAAGTGGCTCGTAGGCATTGAAAATTCGCTCTCTCGTCAAGGTGAACAATGTTTTCGGTTTAGTGTAAATCGCCGAGCAGCAGCGTGAAGATAATGGTGAACGGTTACGAGGAAGCGAACGTCGACGATGGGGCGACGAACGGCGATGTCACGCGTCAGGATATCGTTGACGAGGAGACGACGACAACGACAACGACAGCGACGACGAAGAAGCCGGGTACCAAGCCGAAGACTACCACCATCGGGACCATTGCCCTGCAGAGCGGAGGCACCAGGCTTGTCATTGCTCTTCTTGAAGTAAGAATTGTTTATATGCCGATGTGCACTGCCTGAATTTCATTAAAACGTAAGGATAGCTCGGTTAATTATTCAATCGAGAACTCAATCATTGGAATAACGGTGAACTTTACTAAATCGATTTAGAAATTATAATCTCTACTCCATAGTAAATTTAAGGGTAGATATATAGCCTCGACGATGTAGACCCCGAAGAGAAACTCTATACAATGACGTACAACGAACTATTTATGAGCCGTAAAATTCAACTTCCTATTTCAAGTGAATTAACCGTACAACTGATTCGTCAGGAGAAAACAAAAATTATTCGCAGATATTCGTTCATAAAATCGAAAATTTATTAAACGACAAAATGTAACGTGTATAAATATCCTGTAGCGTACGAACGCGCGATATTCCTTTGCGCGCCTTAATATTCTATAGAAATTAATTTAAAGCAGCGAGTAAAATAGTCGATAAATCAGTCGTGCGACAGCACCGGCGGTAAGAGTTCTCCGATCGCATCGGAGAAACAACAACCAAAGTGTACGCCCATAAATCTTCGTTGCGCAGGTCCTGCAAACAATTGTATAACACCCGCGGGAGCTGCACGAGAAAGAGAAAACAGGGTCAAACGCACGGGCTATTTATCATCGAAGGGAAGAAGCTGAAAAGTACGTGGTTTTCGAGGGAAACAAATCGCGTTGTATATGTATAGCACACTGTATATGTGCAGCATGTACGAGATACCGGTTTCGCTATATACGCGAGTACACGTATTTCTTGCTTACGCTCGTTGCTTATATACTTCGAAGTCTAGGGTTTTTGCTCGTTTGCACTTTTCTGTTCATTTTTTTTTTCTCAAGGAGCTGCTTTGTCACTTTGTATCGCACGTGACTTCGATACAGAATGTGGATAAATCGAAACGTGTGCGGGGAATTTTTGCAAACTTTTAAATTTACGGTCGGAGATATGCTGATTCCAGTAATAAATCGCAGGGTACTTGCGAAAGTTCGACTTTGCTATTTGTTGCACTTCATACGAACACAATATTTATTTAATTGTTCTTGTTTTTTTTTTTTAACACAACGATGATAAGTTATTTCATATTAACTGGAAAAATGCAGTTAATAGTTAAGTGAAAAGAATCGGCAGAAATAGCTAAAAATAAGTAATCTATATTTGAATCGAAAAAAAGATCTCAACACTAAATCGAGCTGGAAATCTTCAAGAAGCCGTTCGCTGCGAAAAGGGACGGGACAATCAAGAAGCCGATCCGACGAGGTCTCGTCTTTCGAAGTAAGGAAAGAAATACAGGCGGAGAGAGAGAGAGAGAGAGAGAGAGAGCGAAGCACGTCGCAGGAAGAAAAATTTTTACGCAGGGCGGTCGAGACAGAACCGAGAACGAGCAAAGCAAATTCAGTTCGAAGTGCACACGCGAAGAAACCGGACTTCGCCATATAAATTACTATGATCTTGTTTTTTTATATAGTGCCATGCGAATATCGCGCGCTCACCATATGTTAACCGTTCGCGATTCTAACAAATTGAGAGAGCAACCGGGCGATATCGCCGCAGCATCCGAAGCTATAACGATCGTTAAATATTAGAAGAACGAGAGAGTTGAGACTCTTTTCCTATTGAAATATTTTACTACTGTTGCATCGATTGGGCTTGTTTCGGCTTTGTTCTGTGTGGTTTATTTTTTCAATTGCGCAGATAGCAGCTTTCAAAACAATTTAACATTTAGAAATTCGATAAATTTTATTTCTACATGAATGATTTTTGTTCAACCTTATTTTTTCCAATGATTGCTTTTTAAATTTCTTCTTACCATGTAGCTTGGTTAAATCACGATTTTTTTGTAAGTTTTTTTTTCAATTTTGTCAAATAAATCTTTAGTATTTTGAATAAAATAAAAGTGAAGTGAAATATTCACATTTGAGATACGTATAGTTACTCCAAGTATTAAAAGCTTTAAACTGCGTAGATTCACGAATATTTTGGTTTCGTATTTCACTTTTTCACTTCTCAAGCTCAATCGCGACTCGACTTTCAAAGTAGTATGGGAACGAAAAAAGAGAGAGAGAGAGAACCGTCCGAACAGCGTGAAAAATCTTATCCAGAGGTCTAGATGACGAATGTCCTCTAAGAGGTAACGAAACGTGACTGCTTCTTTCATTTCTTTTCGTATTTTTACTTCAACGGCTTGGCAGCTTGCGAATACGCGAGTTTTATTTTTGAACGATAGAATCATTTGTTTATCGCGCGATGTAAGAGAGAAAAAAAAGAAAAAACTTTCCGGACTATAAAATTGAAAAGAAAGCTGCGCGAGGTTGTATTCCTGTAGCTCGTAAAAAGCGACGCGAAAATCGATAAGATCGTCGTCAGAGCCGGTATGACAGAAGCAGCTACCGCACGCTTCCAGGAAAGCAGCCGAGCCAACTACAGGCGCGAAGCCGAAATCTCATATAAAGCCTGAGCCGGAGCACCGAGTGTGCGCCGCGGGTGCGCGAAGCGGCCGTCTTCGTTCGTCATCGTTATGGCGACGCGCTTCGAAGTTGCCGCGTTTTCCGCATGCCCCTGACGTACGGCTCCGTCGCGCCTCGTCTTGCGGGCGCTCTCGCGGTCGCCCCGCGCGTATTACTCACGTCACGGAAATAAATAACCGTCCAGAAGTGGCCCTCGCGCGGCCGGGCAGCCGCGACTCCAACTCGCGAGTCAAATTTATCCGCGGCGCTTCTCGGAAGCTACTTGACTTAGCCACCCATCCCGCACCCCCGTTTCGCTCGGCTTCGCGATTGTTTCTGCGGACTCGTCGCCGAGATCGCGATTGCAACAGCCGCGCGTTAAGCGCGCCCGAAGCTCTGCGCCTGCGTTCCTGCAGTCCTCCTTCCGGTACTCTTGATCGACGGAGGCTCGTGAGATTTTATAACCGGGGCGTGCGCGCGAGAGAGGAGGAGCGGCGCGGTAACGCGAATTCCGAAATAGCGACCGACGCGAGCCAACGCCCCGAAGTAACAGGCGCATGTGCATCGTTAAAGTTGCGCGCGAGCAGAAACAACGAAGAATCATTGTCAATGCGCCGCAAAAATCTCGGATCGTTAAATGCCGCCTACGCGCGTGCGCGCGCGTGTAGCTTCGATCTCTCTCTCTCTCTCTCTCTCGCCGTAGAGAGCGCTCTCCGTGTATTTTCGGCGAGGCAGTCCACCGCGCTCTCAAATTTACACCACCGAAGCGAAAAATATGTATAACGCTGGTGCAAATCGGCTGTCTCGAAAACAATAGCTGGCATTCCGTAAGAGTTGGGTTACTGTAAGGTCTGCTTTGATGGATTGTCGATGTTGAAATTGCAATAACGTAATTATCTCACTGTGTCGATTAGCAAAAATCTATATAAATACAAAATGGTTTTGAATGCACATTACAAACACCAGTAGATTAAGTCAAGAGAAAAAGTACCGATCAGTGTAATATTAATTTGTCGTAAAACGTTGCTATACATTTTTCCGGCCTTCAAAGTTATCTTGCAGGAATTGCAGATCTTAAATTTGATTCCGTGTTCGAACAATCGATCCATTACTAGAAATTACTGAAATGTAAAAATAAGAGCAAGAGTTAATCTGAAATCCCATAACCTCGACACGCGGCCTGTGTCGACAACTTTCGAAAGCTCGACGTTATTTCGAAAAGGTATTCGCTAGGCCACGCAAGCAAGTAAAAAGCAGAGATTCTACGCGTGGCCAGCATTTCGCCGACCTCGTTAAGTCCACTGCACCGAATATGGATATGATAGGTTTGCTTGCTTACTCGAGGCTCTGCTTACTCGCGGTTTTCCCGCCGCCGACATCGTGCCATTCAACTGCGCGTGTCTGCCCGAGTGAAACAACGTTCGACGTTCGAAGGTTACAGGCCCTCAGCGGTCTTTCTTAATTTGCGCTACGTGCGAAAGATCCTTGTACATCAAGAGTATCGAGCGTGAAATAACTATCGAACGAAGAGTGAAAAGAGGTGCTGGTGTTTTTTCTTTTTGGTCGTCGGTTGATTTAATGTTGCGGTGGGAATTTTTATGCCTTGAACGTATTTTTTCCTGAATATCTCGTAAACGCAGAGCTTGACAAAGAAGAAATTCAAAAATTATTAAGAAGGATGAATGTTAAATTGCACGGTGTTCAAGGTGAAGCGAAAGATCATTTTAATTAAAATATGTAAAATATGAAAAATTTGAAAAGTTGTAAGTATGATCGTCAATTTTGTTACTAAGTATTTACGGGAAAAGCTTGAATAATTTAATCAACATAAACAATAGCAAAATGAAAACTCTATAATTTCAAGGTGTACCTCGTTCTCAGCAAGCATCAGAGTGTCCTCACAGCATCCATCACGCACATAAAAAAATGCGTCCTTACATCCCTGCGCTCTCGTCAAGCGACTTTTACTCCGTAACAAACTCGCAAAAGAAACCCTGATGAGATGCCGGGCTGCGTGCGTATATGTATATGCAAACCCATAAGCAACGAGCACCATGACCTAATGTAATCTACATCTCCGGAACGTATGCTGTAGTCGATGACGGTCGGCCAGTCATTAAACTAATTCATTATGGCTTTCACTCGCTTGTGGTTTTTGGCTTAGCCTCACGTGGTTGTGCGGTTTTGCTGTGAAAAGTAATGATGATTGGTTCGTTTATGGCTCAACACGGAGTCAATTTTTTTTATACAACAAAATTATAGGAAATAATTTTCCAAACTGCATATAAAAAGCATCAGCTTGTGTGTAATGGATAACGCCACGTTATTATTAAAATGGTATAATACGTTCGATTATACCATTGCGTTTTCGTTGAGGAAGTACTTAAATTGATACGTGTTAATAAAAGTCCAATTCCAGCGCCAGAACAACCAAATTCTAACTGAACTCATTCCATATGACAATTCCCTTTGGTTAATACAAATAATACAATTATCGTGATGTGTGAATTCACATTTACAATATAATTATTAACTACGAAAGTCACAAGATTCACTCACATGTATTTTAAAGTTAATATACCTCTATTGGCAAAACACAAAACTATTATTCAAAGAAAGGGAAAATAATACAACAGACAAATACTGGTAAATTTTGCTCAACTAAATGTTAAATATCAAACTCGTTCGTACACTTTCCTCCGTTGGTTTCTGACGACAATCATCATTTCACCCAAGCATTTCGAAATTATAGTTGGACGTGCGAGTGAACAGCCAATCGAAAGTTTTACAGGAAACGAAGAAGAAAATCAAGAAACTGACTGACTGTGTAACCAAAACTTGGCTCGAAGCCAGCCCTGGAAACGGTAGCAAGTCTTTCGACTTTGCCTATCTGTAAAGCATCCACCTTCGCTGTGTAACTTACAAAACTCGATTGCGCGGTCGCTCTATTTCTGACTGTAGGTTTTTAAACCTTACTTCACCAGCTCACACAACAACTCTCGGTCTTATCAAATGAGCCTTTAAGCACGGAAATTTTCAAATTCACAAATGACATTATGCGCATACGTGTAAATTCCGAAAATTCTCGTCGGAACGCACGCGCGCGTGTCCATCTGATTCTGTCTTTAGCTCTGGTGAGTTCGCGCTCGTATAACATTGTCGAGTTCAACGCTCGCTCGAGCAAAGTTTATTTCTCCGGAGCTGCGTTCTCTTTCTCTTTCCACGTGAGACGTTCGATTTTCAATGGAATTCGCGGAAGTTGGCTTATACAGTACGATGGGATTAAGGATTCTATTTTTTTTTGCTGGCTTTGGAGATTTACACAGTTTTAGTCGATTGTAAATGTTTGTTGACTTTCGATTCCGTCTTTTACGAAATAAAAAAATTCAATGCAAAACTTTGTTAGCCCTCACAATGATCGATATTTTACGATCCTTCTTCCTTTCGAAAAGACTACATTTACGTCGAAGTTTTTTAATTCAATCAGGAGACACTAAGGGTCACCGATTTGAATGTCTTTGAGGAAATATTTATGCACATAAACATGTAAGAGGCTACATGCATTCGATCTAATATTCGATTTTTCCACAATTACACCGTAAACTCTTACGTAAAATCTACTAAAATATATATTCTTGTAATGAAAATTATTTGGAAACTAAACAACATGAAATTTCTATACAACTAAACATTAAAAAGTTGAATGATACTAGATAAATGATTGAATTAGAAAACGCTTTTTATGTAAAGGCATTTTCTAAACATTTCACTCATAAATTTCAAAACAGCATTTAAAAGGCTCAATTTTTCTAATAAACCTGTTTTTCCTATCGAGAAAATTTAATTTCAGCCTTTCCTTTGGTAATACTACGAAAAAAAATTATTAAAATACATGGTTATGTCTTCTGACACCTTTTACTTGCAAAATTTTTTCCAAAGTTTCAAGCAAATCGATTACCTGCTTGTTTCAGTACATAGAAATTTTATTTTTAATCAGTTAAACATTCGTCTATTAGGAAAATTTACAAGTGACCGTAATTACATTGTCACGAATGCCAATATCGTCAAACTAAATTTAGAATTTAATTGAAAAAGTTTTTTTCCCCGTGAAGATTAATTACTACTTCAGGTACTGTAATTTACAAAAACACGTTTGACCACATCACGAACGAACAAAACAAAAGCAAAATCCAATTAATGACGCCTGATATGATGGGAGCGGAAGGATTATGGATGCAGGCGTAATTTAAAGTTGTCAAAACGAATCGCGCGCGCGAGCTCAAAGGAAATCTCGTTGAAGGAAAACGCTTTATCACCTTCCCACGTACATTATATAGACTAGAGCACAGACGCGCGGCTCATCGTGTGGTGGCAGACGATTTTCCTTGGTACTACTAACAGAAGATTGATCACTTTGTGATAGAAATAATCTCAATTGGTACCATAACACTCGACGGTTTTTTTTTCGTAGGATACCGTTCGGGGTCAGCTACTTTTTCACTTGCTTGATGTATGAAGTACTTGCGAAAGTTATTTCTGTAATGCTTTATTATAGACTGACATTTTCTCGTACTGACCGTTAGTTATGAACCTCATGCAGAGTATAACTTGATATTTTATCTAAATTTACAGTAAATCTGCATAATTATAACCATATTGTGACACAAATAAATACCTGAAAAATTTATAACTAGCGTTTCAACGGCAACAGGAAAACATTTACTGCTATATTATAGCACGAAAAAAAAAAATACGGCAGGTGATGAAGTCGATGTGAAATTCATCCGAGGCAGCTATGATCGCAAGCATAAAAGCCTATCCCATCATCGCGCCGGCATAATTAGCATATTAACGCGAGAAGAAGAAAAAACGTGAACAACCGCAAGCAACCTTGCGCGCGATAAAGGCACTGATGAATCCTATGACGTAAGCGCATTATGTCACATCCCGTTATGTTACAATCGATGGTCCAAATGACGCGTTGCTCGACCGGTCTGGATAACCTGCAAGATATAAAAGAGCTGCCGACGTCTAAAAGCCGACGCTGTCGTCATCGGCCAATATTTTGGCGTCTCTCACCGCGTCCCGGGCGGTGGCGCGGCGTCGCGGCGCGACATGCGCCATATGCACGCTTGTTATCCCGAATTAGCATCGAATACTCGTGTGCTTTATGATTTTTCAGTTGTTGTTGCTTCGCAAATGGATGCTTCATAGTCGGCTAAATTTAACTTTAATGAACTCGCAGGGCATAATTTTACCTGCTGCGGCGCATTGGCATTCTCGCCGTATTCGCTATGTGCATCTGTCTGCACTGTTTTTATTTTTATTGCGTTGATTTACAGATATAGGTTTGGTGAAAATTCAAAAAGGAAATTACGAGTTTTGGCATAATTATTTCTATATCGGGCAATAGTGATTATTTTTAGAAATTCGATATACGTCATGTTACAAATGCAAAAACATCTTAAGCAAAAGTCCTCCCCAGACCCGTTAAATACACCTTTCGATGTTGAACCAGGATGAGTAAGCACAGACTGGCACGTTGCATAATCAATAATCAAAGTCACGGACGTTTCATTTCACATATTTTAACGTGTACTATTCACAGACAGTCCTAACGTTTAATTTTCCGAGGTATACAGAATCATATGCTCTGTTCATTCCATCCAACTTTCCCGACGAAACTTTGCACTCTCATGATCTTTTCTGTAATCCCTCAAAACAAGAAAAAAAAACGATAAGCTACGCGATCGCATGCGTACATAGTCGAGCTGTATAATCAGGTCAGTCTACGGCATTATCACGTCCGTACTATTTCGTACTTTATAAACAAACACGATCGCCTTGAAAACATCTGCCGCTGCAGTTAGCGATGTATGAGAGACTCGACGTTACTCACGATGCAGTTTAAACGGAATTGTGCGTGCGCGTGAGTGAATGCCTTTACATTTTAGGATACCGATTGTTTGGACATTCCGCGTCTAAATTGTCAAGATGCTGTAAACGCGTTCGCCGTATTCGGTGGCCATAAGTTTGTTGATGTAGACGCTGCTCGGCTGCTATTTCTGAGCGATGTGAGACGGCGATCGAACTTTGATGTAGAAGATATACGAGGCGAGGCGCGCGGAGTCTGCGCAAGTAATCGCGAATTGGCGAATTTTCATTTTGACTTGTGGAGTGATTGAATGATGCTCTTTAAAATTATTTGGACCGATAAATGATACACTGCAGTTGTTTAACAAATTTACAAGTATAACACTGATTTGGGACGGAATTTCAAGGAAACTATGGTGAAAAGACTAACATTTCGATTGGTCATCATCTAGAAAACTTTATGGGGTAATTATCTAATGTCCTCGGGAACTTTTGTAGATGAAATTTTTTTTTTCACGATGCTGAAGATCGTTAACATTTGAATGAGTCTACAAAATCTTACAAATATTTAATTGTCTTTAAATTGCATTCATACATTTACAATCCCAGAAAAAAAATAAGACTAAAACTTGATATCTGTGTTATAACACATTACCACGGAAAAGTTATGTTTTCATTTGTATTGTTGTTAATTTATGGATTAACAAGTTCCCACGGATGATCGCGCATTGAAAAGACAACTGATTTTTTCAGAGCGGAGAGTACTTGCGGTTAAAAGTTTTGGAGATACAGCCAGAATTAACGAAACTTGGTGTTTCGCCGGACGAAGCGAAAGAACTGTTACACGCCCACGACGAAGTATTGCTCCGACTGCAGGTAAAGTTAGAAGACTTTTCTACCAGATTGGCTTGCTGACGGAACAATTATTTTGAATTGAGTTCGGATGATAAGTATTACACGAAAGTTGATGGCAGGAGTGCATTTTTCAAAATTGTAGCGTTGCGGTTCCATTGTAATTATTACGACTTTTCTTCTGATTTGGATAATTATTGATGAAATTTTGTAATTTGTAATTACACGTCGTACTAGCTCTTTGCTTATTTCGTTTTCATAAGATCTAAAGAGTATAATGATCTTGAATAGACTTTACAGTAATACACAACTCAAAATGTCAATACATTGATTTTTTTATATATTTCAGAACAAGCAAAGTCCGGTGGAAGAATTATTGAGGCAGGCTGACCACGTTATATCGTCACAGAAACCGAAAGCAGAGGTGTACAAAGCGATGGCCGAAACGTTGGCTGCAGCCTGGAAGGACGTAAACGATCTTCTCGAACGGCGGAAGGATATTTTGGAGCGAAATGTACTTTTCCAATGGTAATTCTATATTCGACTAAAATTATTTTATAGAGAATTTGCATTTAGAACAAGAATCATTTTTTTTAGTCAAGCGGAAGATTGTCGAGAAAGTATGAAGGCACTAGAAATGGCTTGCAACGATGCGCATTTACCAATCGACATTGAATCCGTGAAAAATTTGGTGAAAAAGCTTCACGAATTGCGAAAAACAATGCTCGAAATGCTGATGGGTGCATTGAAAGATGGTAAAATATTATTGGATAGGTTACGAGATATTTCGAACGAAGGATCCTTAGACTCGAGGCCTGATCGGATAAAAGCTGATGCTGATTCGGGTAAAGATATTGTCTCATAAATTGCAGATTAAATAGCGATTTTTATAAGTTGTCCCTTTGAATTGCAGCGATACATAAAGTGGAAAATTGGCTGGAAGAGTTGCACGACAAAAGGCATCAGATTGAGATTCTGTTTCGCACTAGAAAAACTCAACTAGAGCAATGTCTCGGACTTGCACTTCTCGCAACGGACCTTCGCGAGCTCGAAGATATGCTCAGCGATCGAGTAAACGCTCTGTCGAACAGCAGTGATGTCCTTGGTGACTCGTCTGCCAGTGCTGAGTTGTTACTCCATGAGCTGAGAAAATTGCAGGTTGAAGCTAAGGTTCGTACCGAAGATGATTTTTTATTTTATTTATATTAATAATGTCATCAACTTTTATTTGACTTGTTTGAACTCTTGTTTGAATTCCAACTTTTTGATAACATTACAAATATTTATTTTCATTAAAGCAATATAAAAAATGCAAAGTAAAATTATGTTGATTTAAATTTGTAGGATAAATATTTTATTCCTGTATAAATTTAATGGAATATTTTTATACAGGAAATCCAAGATAAAGCCTTAAAAATAACAAAGTCGACGGAGTATTTAGCGTCGTCCGGGCATTTCGCCGGCGAACAGGCAACCCAACAAGCATATGCGATACTCGGCACGGCGGCCGATTATATCAACGATCTCGATCAATACGAGCTTCTGCTTAATCGTGCTCTTGCATTTTTCGAATCTGCGCGATCGGTAAGTTAAACATTTTTTTAATATAAAAAATAGGTGATTTCCATTTTTAAGGGCATTCTTACATAAAGAATATATTATTAAACACTTTCAATTCGGAGATAATTTCACAAAGTAACTGTCATTTTCAATTTACATTTGAGTTCTAGAAAATTTTGTTATACACGGAAAAGAATATTACGAAATTCTCAAATGCTTACAACAATTTCTATTACTCAAATCAAGAGTTTTCTAAATATAGGATACATACCTAATTAAGACTACGTATTGTTGACGAAATTTAGATACAATTAGACATAAAATTATTTATAAAAGTTATAATTAATAATAAAAACTTCTAAGGTCTTCACAAAACTGGATCAGATGGAGATCCAGCTAGCCACGACTGAGCATCCTCAGCGTTCATCAAGTCTTTCTCGTCTTCACTCGCAAGCGTGCAAAACCTTAGAGGACATCACGGCTGCGCCCCTGGCAGAAGGCTACGCCTTGCTTGATGTCACGGGAAGAGGCGCGCCTGGTGCCGAGGTGAGACGATCTCGTTTTTCGATATTTTTACTGATTACCGCGTGCGATTTCACGATTTTTCGCGCTGCTCTTGTAATGTACATCATTTGGAGATTGTACTGATTACGAGACTGTTTTATTGTTTGGGATCTAATTGCAAGTATTGTCACGAGATTGCTCGTAGCAAAACAGAGTGTTGTATCGATATGAAAAAGAACTTCAAATCTCCGTTTCCGCATGAGATTTCAAATAAAAATAATTGATGACGCGTCGCATCGTTGCGTTACTCTGTGATTGGCTTACGTGAGACTAGCAGCATTGTTTTGTATGTTGATTTTAACAAGCTCATCATTCTGCCAGGGCATCAAACGTACGGTCGAAGAAATGGAGGATCGCAAAATACGACTGCTCGAACGATGCACAGCTCATCGAGAAGAAAATGTCCGCATCTCACGATGCCTCAGCGATTTCCTTGAAAAATACGACGAACTTTCGAACTGGCTGTCGGGCATCGTAGAAGCCTTTCTCAGGGGTCATCAAGACATGGGAAGTGACTTGACGATGGCTCGCGATTTTTACAGGGTAAAAAATTCGTTCGTAATAGCATTCCTCAATGCAAACACGTTTCGCGACAACTCTCTAAAATGTTTTTTCGATTTTTCAAGAGAAAGTTCACATTTGAGTATTTTATATTTTATTAACAAGATTAAAATCAATTTTTTGTTACAATTCTACCTGTCATTTTTATATTTATATTTGCTAGTCCCTTCGAATCATATTTTTTAATCAAATGCTATTCCACAGCTCCACGTGCAACTTCTCGAAGATCTCGACAAACGGGCAGACGAAGTGCGAAAGATGGGCCGTGATACCATTCCCGATGAAATAGTTGATCACCTACAAGAGTCTGAACGAGCGGATATTGTCGACAAAGTCGAGGCTTTGAGAAGTTCCTGGAGTATGTCGAGAACTGCACTGGAGGCACGATTAAAGTTGGCTTCGATGTATGTTGAATTCCATCAAATGGCTGCTAATGTAAATGAAGAATTTGATCAGTTTGAGGCAGAGCTGAAGAAATATTCTGAAAATATGAATGATGAGCAAATGAAAGAATTGGAGAAGAATTGGAGTAACTTGCAACCAAAATACGTAGAGCTTACAAGCACGGCGAAGAAATTTTTAGATGAAAGTTCCAAGGTAATTATACATGAGTTTCTCATGTTTAAATAAAATAGTGTCTAAATGTCAGTGAAATGATATTATTACAAGCAAATACTTTTTTGTTGTTAAACAAATTATTTCTTATGTAGATCGTTGACTCTTACCTCGATGTGCCACGAGCTTGCCTTTGCATAAAATCAGTACTAGAAAAGTTTGCTAACAAACAATTGACTACAACGCAGCAGTATGAGAATACCATAACCACGATAGCGATTAAGAAAGAACTTCGAATAGAACAAGAAAAACGAATACAAGAAAGTGCCAAGGTAAGAATAAGTATAATAAATCGTTTCTTTTATTACAAATTCTTAAATTATTTATTTTGACAGACAATCGAAACGGTATCAAAATTCAGGGAACAGTTGTATCCAGTGATAACGTGTCAATCGTCTAAACCACAAGATGTTTTGAAGAACCTCGAAAAATCGAAAATCAATATTCTTCCAGAACTAGGTCAAGCAGTCACGGAATTGGATGCGCGAATAAAAAATATTGAAAGTATCGATCTCCAAGAAAACAAGTTCAACACAACGGTGAAGAAACAATTGTACGAAGTGTCCGAGCGGCTACGGTCGGCTTCATCAGATTATAAAAGCCTCCTCGATGATCTCATCTCTGTGTTTGAGAAATTTTCGCAGGTACCTTATTATAGCACATCTACTTTGGAAATGAATAACGCTTCGTTAATTGTACTTTCAAGGTGGAGCACGAAATTGAATTCGAGCGCAAAAGCGTTGAATCTTCGTCGACTTTCAATCGAGAGTCGCTCCACGAGGTGCGATCGCTTCTGGAACGACTCGAAGCCGTTAGCCGATCGATAGCCGATCATTTCAAACGAGCCAAACAAGAATCGGAACGAATTATTCTTAAGATTGGAAATCTGGAGCCTGACGACACTGCTCGTCAAGATATCGAGAAAGTTAACCAAGCTTTTAGGCTGACGGTCGACGAATGGAATAATTATTCCACAGCGACGAGGACCAAGTTGCAAGAGAGATTAGATTTCTGCTTGTTTGGGGATGATTTGGATAAGATCAATGCCGAGTTGAAGGACCTAGCTGAGCAACTAAGCACTATTAGTGGATGGCTCGGGGAAAGTCTTTCTTCGGCAAAAGGAGCTTCAGAAGCTTTCGTACAGTTCGAGAAAACTTTGAATGTGAGTACAGATACTTTTTACAATCACAATAGTATTTTCAAACAGATAGATATTTTTTTACCAAATTCCTGTCATTCCAGATTTTGGTCTTGAGGATTGACGAGTTCATCAGAAATACAGAAGTAAACGTTGGCAAGAACTTACCGAAAATTCAGAACGAGTTGACTGGTTTACGAAGCAAATTGAAAACGCTGAAGAATCTTACGGATAATACAAGAAAAAAAATCAATTTGAGCATCGAATACTTCGAATTGTTAGAAGAAGCCAAAGAATGGTTTAAAGAAGGAAGCAAGTTACTTATCGCTGTAGCGAGAAAGGCTACATCTGTCAAATCCCCTGACGATGCTAATAGCTTACTCCAAGATATCGATTTCTTTTTGAAACCTGGCGAAGAAAAGCAAGAGAAACGTATCGAGAAAATTCGAGAATTGTCTACGAAGATATTTGGTGAGTTTAATGAACATCATTTTGCCAAGTAAATATGATTTGGAAAACAAAAATAATTGTTATTTTAGGTACGGATCGCCTGCCCCAGTTTCAAGAAGTAGTTACCGAAAATCGTGAGATGCTCGACTCCTTCGCAGTAATCTCGTCCGAACTTCGAACCCTCGGTGATAATCTGCGCAATGCCGAGGATTTACGTGAAAAATTAAAACGTGAACGCGAAGAAGCCGATGCGCGCGTAAAAGAAGCTGAAGCGGCAGCTGCACAAGCGGAAAGTGCACGTCTAGTTGCTGAACGGCTAACAGCTGAGACGTTAGAACGTGCAGCTGAAGAAGCGCGTAAACTTGCTGAGAAGGAAGTAACAAGTGCAGCTGCGCAAACTGATAGTATTTGCGAGGTTGACGAGGTACCGAAGAGGAGCGTTATTGAGTCCTCTGTCAAGAAAGAGATTTATATTGTAGAAAAGGTGAAGTATTTTTTGAGGAATTTGATTGATTTATTTTATTGTGTATTATTATATATTGCTTCGAATAAATGCAGACTGAGATTGAGGAACAACATATCTCCACTATCAAAAAAGAAGAAACACCAATAGTCGAGCCCGTTGATGCAATAGTGAAGGAAACTCAAGTTACCGAAGCATACCAGCCAGAATCGTCACCCATTCCGATTAAGGTTCCTACAAAGCCTGAATTTATAGTTCCACTTTATGATGCGACAATACAGGAGGGGGAAAAATTCATATTTGAATGTAGAATTAATGGCCACCCACAACCGAAAATTAGTTGGCATAAAGATGGTCTTCCAATTGCTAATAATCCCGATTACTTGACAAGTTATAGTGAAGATGGACTATGTACTCTTACAATTGAGGAAACTTTTACGGAAGATTCGGCTAAATTTTGCTGCAAAGCTACCAATGAGTCGGGAGCTGCTGAAACTGAAGCTTTTCTGAAAGTTAAAGGTACGTTGAAACAGTGCATGATGTTAATTCAGTTTAACATAAGGCTTCATTATCTTGATAATCACTTTTAATTACAGAAACATCACCAGACGAGCAATTAACTCCACCGCTGTTCGTAAAAGAGCTAAATCCGTCATTCGCGAGTGAAGGTTCCGCTTACGAACTAGAATGTAAAGTACAGGGTAATCCATTGCCTACGGTCCAGTGGTTTAAAAACGACAAGAACATCGATAATTCACCAGATTATACAATGACGTATAATAACGGCGAGGCAATTCTCAAATTTGAGGAAGTGTTCTTCAGTGATCAGGCCGAGTACACGTGCAGAGCTGCTAATAAGATTGGACAAGCTGCGACCTCAACCGTACTCATAGTGGAAGGTAACGTTGCTCGTATTATAAATAATGTTTACATCGAGTCGAATCATCGATCACTATAAATAATTGTTTGACTTGATTTGCTTTGAGGTGCTCTCTGTTTTTTTTTTTTTTTTTTTTTTATATTGTTTTTCCTATTTTGGCTGCCTTTTCCTTCTTTTGTTATTTTATTTTATGTTTTGTTATTTACTTCTATTTTTCTTTACTTTTTATATTTATTATGTATGTTTTTTTTATACTATATTTTTATTTTTTTTGTCTATCTTTTTAATTCTTTCTTATTTTTTATTTTGTATGCTTATTATTTGTCATGTTTTGATTTGGGTTTTTACCCGTTTAATAAATGAAAAAAAAAAAAAAAAAAAAAATCTACTTGTGCGTAGTGCCCATATATTTTTCGTGTTCCTTATTAGCAACATTGCATTCAGCTTATTACAATTAGAAAATTTTATTATATGTACGAGTAATGAGACATTACACAACATTCGATTTATCGATTTATTTATACACATGATTTGGCACTTAGATGTACCGATATTTTCAATTAGAAAAAGAAATTGCTTTAACGAAATACATTTTTTAGAGAATTGTTTTAATCCGGTAATAAAATGAATCAAAACTATAGGTGTATGCTATTTGATATTATTAAAAGTTGTATAAAATCTTAACTGTTAGTAATCGAAATAGTTGAAGTATCAACGACATACATTAACAAAAAAAATTAAACTTTTATAGCTTATGATCGTTTAATTTGTCGTTTTCTTTTTCATTTCAGCTTTAAAACCGAGTGAAGATGAAGCTTTCATCATCGAATTGCCAACCATCACTAAACCTCCATCAAACGTCACAGTTAAAGCTGGCGAATCAGTGAAACTTGAGTGCGAAGTGTGTGGAAGTCCACCGTTTACCTTTACCTGGAGCCACGATGGAAAGGTTCTGGAAAATATTGAAGCTGTCACGGTATGTTCGTCTAAAATAAAAAGCTACGGAGAAAAAAACTACGATACGCGCGACAAATATATAATTATTCGTCATATGATTTTTGTGCTGATATATAAAAATGTCATACTTTACAATCGTTCGATATTCTTCATCAGTTGGCAATAAGTAGCCAATACTTACTATCCACAGAAATGTAAAATGAAGTATTTTATTAAAGATAGTATATAACGTTTATAAGCTATGATAAGATATGACTTTATTAATGAAATCCAGTATGGATCTAAACTTGAATGAAAAGGAACCTCGCGCGAAATGTCACGCGTTGTTTAACGTAAAGTTTTCGCTCAATTGTTGCATCTAAATCTGTCACAGTTTGGTTTAGTCGGAGTTAAAATTAGGCCTGTGGTGGGCTCTGCTCACCTTCGTCGACACATAGCTAAGCCTCGTCGTATAAAGTGAAACAAAAGCAGATTGACCCTTCACCGCATGCGTATGTATGTATGTATGTGTGTATGTCTGTCGGCAGCAGATTCGTTCGGACGAGGCATACGGTAGAAGTAGCCTCGAGTTCAGCCAAGCAAACGAGGCGTCTGCGGGTGAATACGAGGTGACGGCGAGCAACGCAGCCGGCGAAGCTCAAGCCGGCTGCAACGTCGCCGTCAAGGTCGTCGAGGAGCAGCAACAGCTACCAGCTAAGAAATTACAGGAACAACTGCCCGTCAAGAATATGGAGCCAAAGGCGCCGCGAGTTCAACTGCCTCTCAAGGATATCGCTGTTGCCGAGGGTGCTAGTGCCAGGCTCGATTGTATCATCGTCGGACAGCCTGAGCCTGAGGTAGTGCTTTTGTACTAACGTAGTGATTGTGACTCGACGCACATATATATCACGATTGATTCTGTGCCAGATCAATGAGTTGTTATCCAAATGGTTATTGTGCTTTCGAAAATTCCAAATACCACGTTACATCCAGCTGCCTTGAATTTCTTATAGACGACGTATCAAAGCATTGCAAAATGGAAATAACCGATTATTCATTTAACAAGTATAATGACCCCGTCGCATTGGAAAAATAGTGAGCTCAAACTAGAATCTAACACGAACGATCGTTACAGGTCATTTGGTATCATGCAGATCGTCCCGTTAAAGAATCAGCAGACTTTCAACTGCTGTTCCAAGGTGATAGATGTTCGCTAGTGATTCATGAAGCATTTCTCGACGATGCTGGTGTTTATAAAGTGGTTGCCATCAATTCTGGCGGCGAGGCATCGAGTGAATGTTCCCTCACTGTAACACGTAAGAAAAACAGAAAAAAAAGTTAGTCTATAATTAAAGATTAGTGCTGAGAATTTGTTTATCTCTCGACTCATCAAATGGGCTATGAAGATTTGAGACTTCTTCAAAATTCATATATTCCTTTGATTGATAAAAACTGAAGAACAACAGATTAGTTTCGAAATGTATTTTACTGTTACTCTGTAACATTTTTCCACTTTTTCAAAACGCTCGTTGAATTTTGAGAGTAAAAATGTTATCAAATATTACATTTTAGATTTTAATATAATTAGCATAAAAAAAATAAATATTTCAGAAGCACATAAATTGATATAATGAGTTTCATTCCTCTGATATTCATAAAAAGTGAATATAAATTTATTATACGTTCAAGTATTGTTGGCAAGCTCTTCCATTCATGTATTTTTTTTTTACTATATATATGTATTTACTACTAGGCCAATCATAATGCTTTCTAGCTACTTATTAGCATTTTCTAAATTTAGCAAATCATTTATAGAGAGTCTATAAAAAGAATATGAATGAAATTGCAATCTTGCGTTGGAGTATTTTTTGCAGTTAAAATAATTCCAATGATATAAGAGGGCATCATGGTCGTAAAAATACTTTATTCGAATTTCAGGAATTCAAATCAAGTATTTTTACGACGAGACAATATTGTTTACGTAACAATATGACTAAATGTTTTACAGCACGAAGTGCAGGACCAGCCGAGAGTTTACCAAAGTTTACCAAACTTCTAACCGATTTGCTGATTGCCGAAGGTGAAGAAGCAAAGTTTGAGTGTGAAGTGACAGGTGAACCAAAACCTTCGGTCATTTGGTATCTAAATAGTGAACCAATAGTAGAAAACGACCGCATCAGAATTCAGACGGACGATAGTGGACGTAGCGTGTTAAGGATTTTCCCATTGTTACCTGACGACAAAGGCAATTACACGGCCAAGGCGACCAATCGCGTGGGCGAAGCCAAGGCTTTCGCCAAACTCGTGGTTAAAGTTCTCGGTGTCAAGGACGACGCCGTGCAGATGGAAGAGAAGCTTGTGCCACCTCATTTCAAAGAGAGGTTTGATAGCAGAGTCGTGCCCGAAGGCGTCACGACGAAGTTTGAGTGCATAGTTCTTGGCAAACCAGCTCCAAAGGTTCGTTTTAAACTCATGATTTTTCTTTGTATTTTAGCATTTTCGTTTTCTATTGCTTTAATAATTCAAAAATGAAATTCAAAAATCATTGCACAGCTATTAATAACAATCGATTTACACGATCGTTGAAGCATTTTAAAAAGCTACTAATAACTATTTTTATCTAAGCGCGTACTTTCATGTTCCTTTCGCCATTGCCATAAACATTCCAAAATACAAGATCATAAAAAACTTTTTGATTCGTCTTGTCTCTTCACCGATATCAAAATTCTTTAGTAACAATTATTTAAACCCTCGCTTGATAAACCTTAAATTATGCAAACAGAAATAAATTTTTACGAATAATCCACTTAAAACTAATTTTAAGGTTCTATCATTTGGCCAATTCTAATTAGTATCTAATGCAACCAAATCGATATATACAATGAAAACGAATGGCACGTCTTACTCACGATGAAACTTTTGCCAAAAAGTTGCTTTGCCATTTTCTGCATTCGTTGTCGGGCTTATGCCACATGCATAAATTGCTAGGCTTCTTTGGCAATATCCAGTCTGAAACGAGGCTCGCGGGAAACATGGTTCTATTAGCTTTTATTGTACTGTTAATTATTGTAAGTGACCGGCTAAGATTTAATAATTTTACGCTTATACTTTGATTGTGAACTAACTTGCTTAACAATCGCAATAATAATCTCTTTATTAAAAGTTAGTTAATTTTATGAAAAGTGTCCACTAGTTGCTGCATAGCGCGCCAAATACACTGACATTGTCATAACACAATGCCGCCAGTAAAAAAAAAAGACTTGAACATGAAATGAAATATTGTAAATCGTAATATATAAACTTGAACTTTCGATTTCCAAACTTGGCATCAGAACCCGATCAGTGCAATTACTTTCGGATGCATTCATGTGGGCGATTATCTGCAGCAATCGAGTGCCCCCAAAAATTGGCATTCAAGAATGTATCGCTGACCTACATACGATACAAAAAAAGTGCATTTTCGCTGATCGAATTTAAAGCTTGATTGCCTTCACAAAACCAAAAGGAATAACATGATAATTGATTAATCTCACAAATAATTACGTTTGGTTTGTATACGGTCGCAATATATCATGATAAATGGGAGAACAAATTTGTAGGATGCAAATTAGATACGAACACGAGGTCTACACATAAAGAATCCAATTTCACACGCGCAAATTACTTACTTTGATCTTAGCAGATCGTTATTTTCAAGGGTGGCTACTATATTTCGGTAATTTACGAAGTAAATAAACTGCATACTCCTCGCTAATTATAACTATGGGCGAAACCTGCATTTTGAGAATGACGTTATTTGTAGAACTCGTCGAACTCAAAGACCAATACTAATGGAACGCTTTCAACGCCAATGTGTTTTTGCCTAAGAATAAATATTCTTCACGAGAATAGCGTGTGCATCCTCTAAAATAATGCCTTGTTCAGATCCAGTGGTTCTTCAATGAGAAGCCAGTACATGGAAAAGACTTTCTGGTATCCGTTAGTGGTGATCGTCAAGTGTTAACCATTCCGGAAGTGGGCAGCAATCATGTAGGCAACATTTCCTGCGTTGCGGAAAACGCAGCTGGAAAAGCTGTATGCGAAGCTAAAGTCGAAATCGGTAAGTTACGAGTCCTTCGTTACACATAACTTTTGTTGGAAAAATGAGAAGGAGCTCACTGCACTTTTTTAAAACTCTACGACTATATTTACCGAAAAGCCATGAAAATGGAAAAGCGATGGTCACTTTCACGCAACAAGTCTTTCCATTAAGCTCGCGTCGGAAAAAGCTCGATTTTTTTCTTTCTTTCCACGCGAAAGGCAAAAGCATATCAGAATGGGGAAAGGCAAAACCACTCACGCGTGTCTTTTACTACTTTTACTATATAGCAGCAGCGCGTCGTCGTCGACGAAACGGGGTTGCGGCCCATCGGAGGCGAAAATAACGTCGAAACGTTGCTGCGGCAACGGTGCCACGGGTTATTAATACTTACGAATTTTCCCTACTCTTCATTCACGACAGTGTCGATTTTCCACGCGCGCGCGCGACCATTACGACATCATTGTTTCGACGAGCAGCTGCGCTCTCTTAGATACATCCGACGAAGAGGTGCACGATTCTATCTATTTATTTTTCCCCAAAATATGTAGCTTTTTACGGTTTGCGTTGGCTTCTTCTTTTTCTTCTTTTACTGAAAATCTGTTTGCTTTATCGTCGCTTCTGCGCTCGGCTGAGTTTACGCTATCGAAATAGGATTTTAAAAATAGTTCGCCGACATTTCACTGGAAAATGCATAAAGTCTGTTGTTTTGCTGCAATAAAAATCAGTTTTTTTTTCTGTTTTTCTTTGTTGGATATAAAAATATTTGCCGAGAGGCGCAAAGTTTTATAGCGGCCAATAAATGTTGCGAGTAATGAATTGCAAGTCAGCTGTAGCCTAGAATTCTGACAGTTGATGCGAGCGCAAACCATGAGTCACGTTCGTAAATTTGTTCAACATTAGATATAAACTAATGGATCAATCCGTTACTCAATACCGAAAACCCGCGCTTGCATTATTGTTTGATTTCATTAAATATCATTGAAAAACTAGTTTGCACGTGAAAAATAACGAATCGCAGTGCACTTTATCTTGCGATGGCCGCCAACGCGGTGAAAACAATAGAAGTGATGACAATGTGTCCAAGTTTCCCGATCGCAAGCCCACGCGCTCGCGGGTAAAATTTGGAAGAAAGAAATCGTCGCGGGCAATAGGAACGGCAGAACCGAGGGGCGTGAGCGAGCGGCGAAGTGCAGGAAAATATTGTCGAGGCGCGTGCCGCAGAAGAAGACGCGCAAAGAAAGCGAAGCGCAACCCGTCGGAGAGAGTGGGAAAAAGAAAAAGAAAGGGAGAGAGAGAGAGAGAGAGAGAGAAAGCGGCACGCTCTCAGCAGAAATACGTTATTTTCGTCGGCACAAATACTCGTTGGCCGTCGCGTGTCGGTCCGTCAGCCGGAGAGCTGTTTTCGAGAGTGCGCGCTGCTCCTCCGTCCGTCGCCGGTGACCTCCGCCGCAATTATCATAAGCCCTGACTCCGAAACGAACGAACGTTTCTTTTTTTCGTCTTTTTTCTTTGTTTTTGTTTTCTGTTCCGCGCGCGAAATTTCGACAAAGTGTTTTGGTGGCAAAGAAAAGGCAGTTTGACTCGTGTCAAAGTGCAACGAAGAAGAAGCGACAGCATTCGAAGACGGAAGTGAAGGTACACATAGCTAGATCGCAGGTGAAACGCAACATGATTTCTTTTTTCCCTCTCGTCTTTTTATTCGTGAGCGTGTCGATGGATCGCCGGTGCTGCTGCTAATTTGGTCGGTTGTTCGTGCATTTGAACTTTCGAAGGGGGAGGCACACGGCCGAAATAGCGCGCAAGGGAGGCTTCGATATACTTACCTATCTGATTTCTCGCATTGTACTTACGTAATTTTACTTTGGACTATTAACAAATCTGAGTAGCTTACAAGTTTTGAGATGTTGTGATTCGTTGCATATGTAAGTTATTTCATACGATATCCAGAATGTTCACCGAAGTCCGTAAATAAACTTGTTATTTGTAATTGACAATTAAGAAAAATTTTATCAATCTTAAAAAAACATTTCTATTCTTCAATTCTCAATCATAAATGCCAAAAAGTTTATTTACAGTGGAAAATAATGTCTACAATTCGAATTTATACTCATTCTTAAATCGTAAAATAAGTCATTCGGAATGTCGTAATATTCTATTATAAAATTTACAGTAAAGTAGAAATATAGAAATACTTAAATTGACTTTAGTGAGTATCGGGTTTCGGATGTTTAAATTTGTTCATATCGAAATTGAATTTATTTTAGATACGATTTATAAACTGTACAAGGTGCGTCTTGATTGTAAGTTTCAATTAACGGAATAGGTTCAATTGCCAAATAGATTTTTCGTTGGTTGATTTTCAATTAAGCTGCAAAGTAAAAACTTTATTATATTTAAAGTAGACCTTAAAATATAGGGTAAATTACGATATTGGTGTCAACAATACATTTATCAGGACACTTAAAATATTCGTAACAGTTTGACGACACTCCACCATATTCAATGCTTAACATAATCGGTGATGAAGAAAGGGAATTAATTGAAGTCACAGTAGCGTCTATAGAAACTGCCAACTAAGACCCAAAAACCGAGACGATAACGAGCCGCTAATTGTCGTTGTAGTTTGTCAGTCTGGCAGATAGACGAACGGGCAAGGATAGCCAAGCGAGAGAGGATTCAGTATTGAGGAAATTCGAGAGGGAGATTAAAAGCTTCACCGAGTTTGGCTTGAGCTTGCGAGCAAAAGATTCGGGTTAGAGAGAGAGAGAGAAACTTGGTGTCGGCTTAAATTTCTCGCTCCAGATAGTCGCGCATTCCCGTATCTGAATTTATCTGGATTTATTTGCACGATACTTTGGACTATTGCCAGAACGACACTATCTACCTATAGTGCCTTTCCATGTACTTACATGCAGAAGACAACCACAAGAAACAAGCTGTGCGTACAACTGATCGACAACCACGGAATGTTGCATCGTGTACTCGTTATTTGAATATATAAGGGATTTAAGGGATCTTCGTTTGTTGCCATGCAATAAACTCGCGTAATTTTCATTTATACTATAACAATCAATATGTTGTGTACTCTTCTATCCGTTTCATGTCATTTTCTTTATCAAGAATGTATACTTTTAGATTCGTTTACATGTACAGGACAAAATATTACTTCCCAGCAATAATTTACACGAGATTTATGTATAAATTCAACATAAATTCGATTTTCACAACTGTGTACCGGGATACGATGGGATTAATTTCACATCTATGAATCGCGATAATGTGAACAACTGGATCTTGGGAAGTTTAATGTTTGGGCTCAACTTGTGTGTAAAAATTAAGGTCATTTACATATTATAATGGCAATTTCTTAAATGGAGAAGTTCACAGGCAGTTCGAAGAATATACTCCCTGTTAAAAAAATTTACGCTATAATAAAATTACGATAGTATTTTAGGGAATTTGAAAATAATATATTTATGTCATTGGGAGTTTCTAAACGACGTATATACTAAAATATAATTAAATTTTATACGTAACAAAAAATAAGAAAAAATATTTCGGACGCAATTAAATTTTCTGCAGTTAGTAACAAAAATTTAGTTGTTTATCTTCAATAGAAGTACTACAAATTCTTATGAATACTCCATTTGTAACCAGAAGTTATACTTTTTGTTAGAAGATGAATGATAAATCAAGAATGGAGAATCGAAAACATAAATCGAGGACATTGATAATGCGTAATAATAAGATTCCTTCAGTTAGATTGTTAATGTAGCATTTATAAATAAGAAAATTTAATTGAAATACCAACTGAATTTATGCTTTGATAGTGATTCGATATTTGATAAGAAAAAAACCTAAACTGTTATTAAATAGCAACACTAATTGACGTTTGTAAACGACTAAAACTATATATTGATCAACCCGTAACCTTCGACATACAAACAAACTTTAAGATTAATGAACCAAAGTTGAAAAAAATAGTTCAAAAAACTATAGAATCATATCAATAAAAGTGTACAATAGCAAATGTGATCTAGCTCTCGTCACTCAATGAATCAGGCCGTCTATTTTGGCGTCGCCGCCTCTCGACTCAAGGAAGCTGTGCAAGACTGACACGGCAGCAGCACTTTCCGCGTGCGCACATACGAATAGAGTGAAGCGCATGTATCCTATATGATTTTTCGCGCCTCTCTACTGACTGACAGACAATCGCTCTGTCAACGCGGCTAGCTAAAAAAAGGAGGAGGAACGTAGGAACGTACAAGACGTTTAAGAAGATGAGACAAAAACGAAGTTGTCAGGATTTATGTTTGATTTTATCTTTTCGTCTAAAACTTGCGTTTCGAAGAAAAAAAAATGTATACATGTATTTATGTGGCTAAACTATACTTAGGAATGTTGTCAGCAAAAACAGAATTTTCACTAAATATTGGAGCTAATTCATATATATCGGGATCACATTTTTTAAAGTAACACATTCTTCGGATAAAATTGTTTAAATAAAAAAAAATACTTAACTGATATGGTTAAATCAAAGTATGAAAATATTTTCTCGTAATTACTAGTTAAATCCTTTTTTATGTAATATTTTCTACTATTAGTGTTTACTTGAAGAAATTATGATGATTTTTATATAGAATATTTTACTTGTTATTGATCAATACGATATTTCAAAGATAATATAACATTTTTTTGAATTCGAAATTATCAAATCCTACTGAATAATTAATTTTTCAGTTGTTCGATAATTGAATAAATTAAAATCTTAAATGATTCTAGTAAACAATTTAAAATATACATTATCAATTTCCACTTAATAATATACTTTATATTGGTAAATGTTTTTTTTATAAATATATCGTGTTTTTCCACGTATTACCACAAATATTTGTTAAATAGACTTTGTAACTCATATAATTGATATATCAATAAATAAAATAATGATTTTCCAAATAATAAAATTCGTTTCAAATTTACATGTACTTTGTACGAAAAATGTATAATAATTCTAAAAAGCAAGTGGAATACAATAACCTACTGCACTATGCTGTATCTATATTCAATAATAAATAATAAGATATACTATACACTAAAACAAAATCAATAACGTTAACCTCCTGCGAGACATTATCAATTATCGCACTTTGCTTGCTTAACCGATATATAAATTTATAATAAACATCTAATTGTCAAATGAACTACAACCGGATACAATGAAGCCTAGTGCATACCCTAGCGATTAATAGTTTAGTGAATCAAAGTAATCTAAATATTAAATTTACATGAGATATATTTTTTTTCATTCTATTATTGCTAACGAGGATAATACGCCTACACACCTTGAGATAGTATAGGCTTGAGGGTGCCAAAAAGTTGCCTTCCCCTCTGAAAAATTGATTGCCAAATCAGCGATCGATTGATCATTAATTTGTTGCAGGTGGAGGGGTCAAAGCGGAGGAGGGGCTAATTGAGATACCGAATAGCGAAGCAACGACAATGCAGGCGTCAAGCAGTAACGACAAGTTCTTCGTGAGCGAGAGGACGGGTGGTGAAGGGCCTGGAGATAGTAACCAATCGACTACCACCACAAAAACGTCCTCGTCAATCGTCGAATCGTCCACCATGCACACCACCATGAAAAAGGAATACGTCACATCCACCAGCTCCTCAACTTTATCCAGCTGCCCAGCTGCTCATCAGCCACCTACCAGTGTGTGTTTGAAGAAAATATCTCAAAGTCACGAGCAGTCGAGCACTCATAATGGAGCACCACCTGTTGTTCAAGTAACTGATCATTCTTCTTTTTAGTAGTGATTTTAAATATATTTAATGAAATAATTAGATAGCGATTAATTGAAAGCAAAAATGTAAACTAATAACGGAATCAAGAAATCTCTAAATGCGCATGTAATTCAGAAATTTGTCATGCTTGAACGTATACTAAAAAATATCCAAAAGCTATACATTTAATAATATGGTATTTGATCTTTATCAATTTCGTTTAATTTAGCTTTTAAAAGCTTTTTTCAATATTATTTTGCTAGTGAGTTTTCTCTCTTGCCTGGTGCCCTGCACTAGTCAGAAGAAAAATACCATTACTTGACGTTGCTAAACTACTATCACTTTTTGCCAATCAAATATAAATCAGAACAGTAATTTCTACATTACAATAGTAAATTGTATTGTAAAAATTGAAAAGATTACATTGAAGAGACTTTACTATAAACAAAAGCAAATATTTGTACTTTATCGTAAAAACTTCATCCTTCAACATTGATATGCATAATTCATCTAATCTATCTATCTACTAAATCTAATTCATCTATCTACGTAAATGGAATTTTGGAATATTAAAAATCATCATTTCATTATAGTCACAAAAAATTGAAGAGGTTGAACAGATTGTGCAAGAATCACCTGACGAAATTCGCCAAGAAAAGACGGTTATTGTTACCCAAGACACGGGAGGCACGAGGCAAAAAGAACGTATGCATCAAGTTCAAGTTCAAAAGCCTTGTAGAAAACAAACGGCGCCTCGTTTCGTTTCACCTGTCACCGGAATGATCGTCGACCAAGGAGCTGACATCGTACTAGAAGGAATCGTAGATGGTGCTTTTTCATTTCGGTTTTATGTAACTAAACATATTTTTATTATAAAATATATAATATTTATATTTCTAAACTATAGGTTTTCCACTTCCGACAATCACATGGACAAAAAATGGACAGGAAGTGCAATCGTACAATGGAATTAAAATTAGCTATGACCACAACCATGTAAAATTGGAAATAAAAGATGTCAAGGTTAAGGATGCTGGTCGGTATACGTGCACAGCAAGAAACGATGTGGGAAGTTCAAGTAGTACAGCTGATCTAGTCGTAAAAAGTAATTACTCACTTTTCTCTACTTAATTCGTTAAGAAATTTATTAACCAACTAATTAAACTCGAATGCTTTAAATAGAAACTATCTTTCCTCCTGTATTCGGAAGAAGACTTCAAGCACAAGTAGTCAAAAAAGGTGATAGAGTAATTATGGAGGTTGAAATTACCGGAACACCTACACCTGAAGTGACATGGTACAAAGACGACGAACCGATTATTGAGCCAGAATACACGATGAAAAAGCAAGCGAATTCATATTATTTGCTTATTGATAAAGGTAAGATTTTGTCGAAAATAAAGTTATAGTGAAGAAATTCAAATTTTCAGTAAAATATTTACTTTTCAGCGGAAAAAGAGCATGCAGGAAAGTACATGGTTCGAGCTTCAAATGCTGGTGGAGAAGCACAAAGTATTGCTGACTTTGCAGTATTTGAACCAACGCCAGATACAATGGTAGAAATGCACAAGACTCTGGTTTACGAAAATATTCAAGATAAAAATGCTAGAAAAGTAAGCAACCATTCTCTATTACGATTATTAATACGTTTTCCTTTCTAATAAAAATTTATATGTAATATTTATTGATAATAATTTAAAAACCACTTTTATTATTCGAATAATAGCCTTGTTGCGGCCAGCCTACCGATATACCTGGCGCAAATCTTACTACGGAACAAATAACGACGACGATGATTCAGCCAAGTGCTGCAATTAAAACTCCTTTCCCTCCTACATCCGCATCCTCTACGATCCGAACCATTAAATCAGAAACTACTGAAGAAGTTCAGAAAGCATCTCGTACCGAAATGATATCTTCTTCAATCGAATCTCATAAAAGCGAAACGAAATCAGAGCAAAAGTTCCATATGAAACTTGAACACAAACCGGCACCTTTCGATGCATCATCACGAGAAGAAAAAATCGAAACTACTCAAACAACTATTGGAGGTCAAGATGTCGTTGATCAAACGACTGAAGTGACTGAAAATGAAAATATAGAAACGTCAACTATGGCTAAAAAGGATGCACTTCATTTCTTCGAATCTATGTCGAAAGGAAGTGATGATATTTTAAAAGGACCGAAAGATATGATTAAATTGACCGATGAAGACGATGGTACAGGTCCTGGATGTGACGTTCGAGTCAATCAATTGACTAAAAATTATGAACGTTCAACCAAATTTGAAGAAGCAGCTCGTGAAGTTCCAAAACCTGATATAGCAGCTGGTAAAAAAGTTGTGCAAGACATTTTCAACAAGTTTGAAAAATGTTCATCGATTACTCGTGGCGTAGATAATACCTTATTCGACTTTCCATATGAAGAGCACAAATTGGCTCCTTTATCATGCACTCGTACAATACTTGAAGATGTAACTGCATCAGGATCGCCCATTCATGGTACATTGACAATTTCAAAGTTAGCGGCACAATCAGAAAGTGCTGAAGCTATGTTGAAAGGTTTCAATTTGGTACCTGAACCGCCTCCTGAAATTGGTTATGCACCTAAACCAGATGAAGGATTGAAATGTCGTCAGGATGTTTCATTCAAGGCTAAGCAGTTACAAGAATCTTTTGAAAATAGCAAATCTCCAATTGAAGCACCCATTGGAGGGGTCAAGATATTTCCAACTGCACCACCAAAAATTCAATCAATACCACAAGAAAAATCGCCAACTCGTCCTTTATCGATCCCACCACCATTTGAGCTAAATAAGAATGAAAATTTAGACCAACGTAATATTTCAACAACATATTCTGATAAGAAAGAATGGACCCTACCTGATCGAGATTATAGAGTATCTTCAACACAGTCGAAACAAGAAATAGATATGAAGCCAGAATACCGCATGACTCAGACTACTATTGAATCATCAAGTTCTTTAGAAAAAAAATCTTTTGGTTCGAAAGAAATAAATGTTACCGAAAATAAGTACGAACCACCACCTTCACCACCAAAACCTAAACCAATAATTTATAAAGCTGAAACAACCAAAGTAGGCCATACTATAAATACGATTGAAGAAAAGTCCGTAACAGAGAAATATACCGCAGAATGCGATGTGCATAAGTCCGAAACAACGGAAAAGAAGTACGAATCAAGTAGGAAGCAAACATCTAGACCGTGGCCTGATTCTAAAGATACTGACTTAAAAGCTCCTAGACTAGTCAAGAGTGTATCAGATTTCTCAAAACCTGTAGTCAAAATGTATCATACAGCTGCTGCGTCACCATTGAAACCAGGGTCACCTCCAGAAATGGGTTATGCTCCTAGTCCATATACACAAGAGCAAAAGGTTGAGACAATAGAAAAAATATGTCATAAATCGTCAGATCAAAAGCCAGCACATGTTCCTCACTGTGTAGCAAAATCTGCAGCACTACCCATATTTTCAAAGAAGACTGAAGAATATATAACTAAAGATTACAAAGTTAGTCCACCACGTCAGCCTCAGTCAACCACAAAAAAATACTCAAAAAGCTCATTTTACAGCGAAAGTGATTACGAATCTGAACTTGATAATGCTCACAAGGCGGGATATAGGCATGTTCAAGCTCCTGTTACTAAGCCATGTTACAGGGCTAAATCTACAGAACCGGAACCTCTACCACCTTCAAGTTTTGAGGTGCCATCAACAAATCTTACAGGTCCACCAAGACCAACTGTAACTCCAGATCTGACTGAATCGAAAAAAATATCTTCAGTATACTCTGAAAAAGATTCCAGATCATATCAGAGTCAGCAATATGGAACGTTACCTAAACCTGGCTCTCCTCCGGTTTATGTTCAACCTACTAAACCAGCTACTAAACCATTGAAACCAGTGTCACCAAAATTTCAGACAAAAACCTTCCAAAAAGAAAGTGGATATATGGCTGACACCGATGAGCCACTTCACATGCAGCAACGCAAACAATTTTCAGAATCATGTTCTTCGTTCTCCGAAACTAGATCGAGCTTTATGGAAAGTAAAAGTTACAGCAGTAGTCTGGATAAAAAAGACAACACCTCTTCCTCATTTTCACAAACCCAATCCTATTCCAGTATACCCAAAACTGAAATGCAACGTTCATCGTTTGTAGAGAAGATAACCGAGAAATCACCTGCATCACGATTCAGGCCAGCTCCTGCAAAGGTTCGATCGAGTGCAGCATCGTGTGTCAGCTTTGCATTGATGTTTTGTGCCTATATCGCCTATAATATTATAACTGTGACGCTAAAATTTTTTAACTCTATGTTTTATTTATTTCCAATAGCCAACGTATAAGCAGATGTTTTAGTTCATAGATTGCTGTGATTGGACATTATTGTTTTATTTTTAGAAATATGCTAACTAAAGATATTTTCCAGTACTTGATGTTTTTGCTATATATTTTTTTTGCAAGACTTTATGATCATAGTTTTTACACTTGTCTTTTACCATTTTCAGGAAACATCACATGTGTCGCAAACGCAGTCGAGATTCTCAAAGGGTGAGTTCCGTGAAAGTGATTATGAAAGTGACTTTGATAATAGTAGGATATCATCATCCTGGAAACCACAAACATCGATCCAATCACCATTTTTATCATCTGCTCAATCATCTGCTCAGACTATTTCGGATACAAAATCATCATCATCAACAATAAAATCAATGAAATCATCCTTTTCTAGCTCAGGTTCGTTCAAATCTCGCACCAAACGCTATTTTTTTTTCTAAGGTTAATGTCCCAGCAAATTTATAAATGCAATAAAATCCTGTTTCATTTATACAGCAGAACTTAGATTACTTATTATAATGGATCTCTATTTTTGTAATCCATATAAGAAGTGCATAAAAAATAACCTTGTTGAAGTATAATATAAGAAAAAACAATAAAATAAACATATTTGACAAAAATTGGGACATTTTCCGTGTTGGTCTGACGCTATTTACTCAAAAATTTCTTTTCTAGCTTATATGAGCACTAAATACTCTGGAAATATGTGAATGCATTCAATAGCTTGTGCATACCTAATCTTGCTTCGAAATGCTTCTTGCTTCTTTCCCTTACAGCTTCTATCTTTCGATAACTTACTTTGGGTGATTCTGTAAAAACAGGTATAATTAACTCTGTTTGTCGATTGGATTTTGCATTTTTATTCTAAATTTCTTAATTGTGACTTCACTTCTACAACTTATGCTCATAACAACAACATTGCCTTCGGATCTCTTTTGCACCTTTTCTTTTCTATTTCACGCATCAAACATCATCTATCATTCGTCAGCAAAACCACTCTGTTAAAAATAGGAACCCCAACGACAGCAGCTCCTTTGTCGTTTGGCGAAACGAAGAAGGAGACCGTCATCATGAGAGACAAGTCGACGAAAGCAGACAGACCTAGACCCAAATCGGTACTACTTCCTGGTTCTCCACCAGAAATAGCATACGCTCCACCTCGACAATCCTATTATGAGGGACAGAGTGGAATGCCATATCATAATGCAGTTGGCACAGAAATGAAAAAGACTGTTCGCATGGACGAATCGACGGAAAATACAAGGAGAATAGTGACGGTCGAACAGACCAGTCGAGTAATTAAATTTGGAGAGAACCAAACGCAGCATGAAATGTATAAACAGCAATTTCATGTACCACAACAAAAGCAGCAACAACAACAAAAGCAACAACAATATCAACAGCAACAGCAGCAACAACAATATCAACAACAGCAGCAGCAAAAACAATATCAACAACAGCAGCAACAAACATATAAACAACAACAACAGCAACAACAATATCAACAACAGCAGCAGCAACATAAGAGAAGTTCTTATAAAGTACCAACTCCCACGAAATTTGTACAGGGACATTTCCGTGAATCTGAGTACGAAAGCGACGCGGATAGTAGAAGAATTAGAGCCAAATGGGCACCTAGTGAAAGTGAAAGCGAAGAACCACAATATCGCAAAGTTCAACCTCCGAAACCGCATATAACCAGGTCGCCTATAATCACTATGCCGCCTAGTGAATCTGAAGCTGAAAAATCCGAGAGTGAAAGGTATTACAGTCGTATAGAATCGTCTAGAAGTCGACATTCTCAAGCTGACGACTACAATCTCAAGCCAGGATCACCACCAGAGTTTGCATATGCACCAGGACATGAATTCAAGAAAACCGCCAATCGTAAGGCTAATCTGAAGATTTTTGACTGCTTCTATTCTACCGCGGCTGTAACATTACGCTGATCCTCCGCGAACTTTAATTAACCACAATACATTTATTTTTTGAAAATAATAATCACAAGAATTTTTGAATTTAACAAACACCAAAGCAAAAGAATTTTGATTGAATCTCGAGGAAAAGATACTGATAAGTTGCTAATGGTACTATTCGCAGACATAGCCTCGAAGCACATAAGTGACATGACCAGCAGCTTCAAATCGAAAACAGAGAAATTCGCTAGCGAAATTCAGTCTGATTTAAAGAGTCGAAGCAAACCTATTCTCAAACAATCATCAAGGGATACCGGCAGCACCACTGTTGCTGGGGATGAACCCAGAACGTATAGGGAAGAATCCAGGGTCGCGCAGTATGGTAATCACGATATGTTCTTACGCCTGCACTGCAATTATAAATATAGATTAATTATTTGAATTTAAGCTTTTTTGCGATACAAATTGTACAACTGTTAATTACTCCATTATTTTCGAAAGCTGACAATGTTTCGATTTTGTATAGTTTCCTTATAAAAGTACTATTTTTAGGTCAGCAATGTTGACTTAGTATTAATTGATTTTTTATGCTTTTTGGTTTTCTTCGAAATTTCTTCAATTTTCGTGTTATGATTTGACTTCAGTTTTGTTTGAAAATCAAAATTTCAATCGCAAATTTGCTCGCTGTTGCTCTACTTTTCTACCATAAAAATTACATGAGTAAATACATCGGACCCAAATTCAGGCACAAAGCACATCGATCCAGACACGGGCTTAATCTACTTCAAGTACGATTTTGGTTACGAGTTTGGTATCGTATTTCCCGGTGAAGGCAAACGTACTGTAACGAGCAGCAATCAAAGTTACAAGGGCCAGCGTAAGCCTGGCGACATTGATGTACCAATTGTGCACGAATTCACTCATAAGGAGAACGGTTACGCCAAATCTACATCGCAAAACTATTGCAACACTTTTCCTCGTAAATCGGCTCCTAAGTATAGTAAAACTGTTAAATGGGAGCCTCCTTCCGAAAGTGAGTTCTCTGAGGCTGAGGAGGTTCGCACCATTGTTAAAAATGAAAGTACTAGCAATCGGATGTCCGCGCCTCCTAATCTATCAATACCAAATTCACCATCTCCAAGATGGGATCCAACTTCACCAAGTCCAGCCTCACTCAGCCCGAGTTTGCCAAACTTCAGCCCGCGTTATGGAAGCGGTCCCAGTAACGTCAATTCGACGCCAGGTACCGCTCAACAAACACCAACGATGTTGATGATAGCGAATATGAACAATGAAACGATAAAAAATTTAATTTTATAAAAATAAATGCAGCATTTATGAAGTCTTTATGGATTATATATATGTTTTAGAGAATATGTGGATATCAATTTATATTTTGAATCATTCAATACATAATGTTTCCATCAATTCATTCATTATACATCAACAATCATGTGTTTATTGAGCACATCTACCTTGAATGGCCTACCGTGTTATTTATGTCTGCCACGCTCGCATTATATCCAATGTACCTGCTTTTTGCACCCCTATCATGTGATTAGACAAATTATACAATTAGACATAAATTGTTTCTCAATTTCTTCGTAGTTGATAAAATGAAATACATTTTTATTTGTTTTGCTTCGATATGTCACTGGTAAAGAAAGGTATATTCATATTACACACTTTTATCATAGTCATCTTTCATTACCAGAGGAACCATTGCACGTTACTTGCATTTCCAGAGACGATAATATGTATTTTTTCAAGTCTATTAAATCAAGACCTTTTTAATCGATTAGTTTATGTAATATTCCTACATTACTTCCAAAAAACCCTTAATCTGCCATAACTTTATGAAATTTCGAATACTAAAGTTATTGGGTTCCGGTTTCAGGTTCTCCATGGTCAGGAACCAATGGTGAAAGAATAATTCCTGTTGCCTCAGAAGTTGTCAAACCATACATAGAAATTATCCCAAAAAAGGCACCTTTATTCATAACGGTATGCTATAATAGTAATTGTAATGTATTACTCTTATTTGTTGAAAATTTCAAATAATTATTAGCATCATAATAACATTTTTCATATCAGAATAACTTATTCAATTTTCGTAGCCACTTAGAGACATTGCTGTAGTCAGTGGTCAAACTGCACGATTTGAATGCATAGTTCAAGCTGAACCGCAACCAAATATCCTATGGTCGAAAGATGGTAGGATAATTGAAAATTCAATCAATGCTGATCTGTACTATCGAAATGGCGTTTGCCGTCTCACTTTACCACGAACAACGCCAGGTTAGTATTGAATAGCACCGTTTATATCAAAATGAAGAGTTAAATGTACAAGTTACTAACGAAATGAATTATCAACATTTCCAGATGATGCTGGCAGCTATACTTGTACAGCAACAAACAGCCTAGGTTCAACCGCGACATCCGCGAGCTTGCAAGTACCAGGTAACAGACGATCAATATACGGGGTTAACTAATGCACGTCAATTTGGAGGTGGAGGTGTCATCTTATAATTAAAACATGAAATGCATACCAAATATGGTGGTGGTGATAATTGTTATGTATGGGAATATGTGTCACAACCAATGTAAAAAAAGACTTCCCAAAGAGTCACATTATTTCGATGTAACATCGTGCTTACGATACATTAATTTATTATTTTATTTCTTACTTTTGCTCTGTATTTTTTATTTCGAAGGGAGACTTTTTTTCTCATTTTTTTCATGAAACAGAGCAAACATTGAGAGGCATCGCGGAGAAAGATTTTTGAACAGATATTAAGTTATTAATTGATAACGAGGAGATATATCAATTAGCAGCATAAAAACGCTTATTATGTAACTCGACAGAGTATAAGTGCCAAGTCAATAAATTTCGCCTAAGCATTTCCATGAGTAACATTTTCTTTATTGATTGAAGGCGAGAAAGCAATATTTTCTAGTCAAAGGCATCCACGCTTACACTAGTTTGTTTTCCTATTTGGATAAAACGTCGGTAAACAAAATCAAATAATTTATGTCACGAAGAAATGCAATTTAATTATAAGATTCGATCAATAAAACAATAAAATAATAATATCTCTCGATCAATTGAACTTTACATTTATTCAATTTCAATATTTATTTCTCTAAATATAATTACATTATTTAGCTCTATTATACTCTTCTCCAATAAAAGTTCCTCACGGTATTGCAGACTTATTATTTTGAAGTTGAAAATTTCATATTACATTTCTCAATTAATCAGTCTTTATTCCTTCAATAATTTTTCTTGATTGTAATCAAATTTTACTTTTTGAAGAAGTTTTTGTTTCAAGTATGTTTTCAATCATGTCAATAGCTTACTCACTGTCATTATTTTCATTTCATTCATATTTATAAACATAATTCTGTGTATCTTGTCGCGAGTCCATTTTTGGGGTGAGTTTTTATCACTTTGCGGTTGAAAAGAATACACTTCTGAATACGCATAGCAAAAATATAAATTTCAAAATTTTACAGTATTGGAAATTGATAATTTGATAAATTAGATTTTTGATTTATTAATAACAGCTGTTTTAATCGATTTAAGTGTTGAAAACTAATTGGAATATAAATATTTGTATCCAACATGTAGATGTGATATGAAATGTAAAAATACTATTGATTAGCTAATGAAATGATCATCCTACAAACTAAGACGAATGAATATAATTCTATAACTACAAGCTTTCGTGCTACTACTGCATTATAATTCTGATTTATTCATGATGTAATTATCATAATAGGAATAATATAAATTATTTATGAACTTCACAGGATTACATCTATGTAAATAAACATGTGCTTTCTCTGCAGTAATAGCATTCTTATTTCAATATTTCTTTTATTACCTTTTATTGTCCTTACATAATCAAAGAAAAGTTATTGAATTAAGATAAAAATATTTATGTTATCTTAATTCAATTAAAATTGTCTATAAATATCAAGCTCCAAAAGTTTCAACGATATTTAATAAAACTTTTCTCTGTCACGCTCAATAGTTACGCTCCTCGTTTTTTACTATGATTTATTTTTACATAGAAATCATTTCGATTTCTCAAAGGCAGGTAGGTTCTAAAACAAATGGAAAAAACTATTAAAAATATGGTATTATATGGTATTTTTACTGCATGTTATATTTAGATGCTAGTACTTCAAATACTATTATCATTTCACAGTCATTATAATTTACAAATTAAATTTAAAACATCTTTACGAACATAATGTTTTCTACTATAAAATGAAAACTAAGGACATTTCTTTAATAATAACTTGATAAAAGAAACTATCTTCATGTTTTTTCCAGTTTTTTTTTCTTTTCAATAATTTCCTGGAATAATCAGTTCTCAACATTTTTTTTTAAAACGACCGGATTGTTAGTCCACAACTACACATAAATTAAATATTTTAATTACATTAAATAAATCAAAACAATATTGGAAATCACAACACAGTCTTTAAATTAGAGTAACAAATTTTTTTTTAATTAAATATAATGAATATTATAATTCTTTCATAAAACTATTGCACCAAATATGAAAATATGAATTACAGAAATGTTGGAACCATCAACAGAATATGAGCAGAAAAATAAATGTTACCTAGATAAAATGTCAAGATTTGTAGCTCTCAAGGATCTTTTCCTGTCTCCGGAAATTCATATCAAAAGCACTAGTCTTTTCCAAAATAGTAATTCTAAAAAAACAGAACTTTGGAAATTTAGGTAAAATGGATTTGCTAAAGGTTATTTATAAATGAAAAATCATTTATTCTTTTTTCAATTTAATACTCTAAGATTTTATTTCAAAAATATGGAAAAAAAATTAATATAGTCTTGTTTACTGAAGATTTATAGCGATTAAAATGTAACTTAATTGTTTTAGCAATGAAAGATTATATCATGAATCAGGAGACATCGATGATGTAACTCGACGTCTTGAGTTTTCAGATACTGATACGTCTGTTAATTCTAATGACGATTCGAATAGTGTGCCACCTTTAAAATACGCATTTCAAAATTCTTTAGATAATGGTGAGATATTAGTGAAAAATTCCTTTAACAAAACATTTTACTGTTATTTAGTTTTATTTGTTTATTAAGTTTTTTAATTAAAGACATAATTAATACATATTTAGAAAACATAATATAAGATATATATTCGAACATTTTCCAGAATTATAAAAAAGAACAAATATACTTTAACACAATTTATTAATTGCAGATCAAAATATTTGTGTTTCACCAATGCCAAATGGTATCAAACAACTTCCTTTATCAGAAAAGGGTAAAACTGAATATGTACCCCCTAGTCAAAAGATTTCTGATCAACTGTATCAATATAAATCATCTTCATTTGATACGATTGAAAACTTTAAGGTTCTTCCAGTAATTTGAAATAATTAATTTCTTTTGTTAGTTGTAAAGGTTTAATACATTAAATTTATTTCTCTTATCAGATTGTCGCATTTGAAAACCAACTTCTACATAATAAAAACTACCGGGAATCAATCACTAAATTTAACGCAAGAACATTTAATTCAGGAATCGATACCACAACTAATGAAAGTCCAGAATTATTTGAACCACCAAAAATTCTGCAAAAACATAAATGCTCTAGATTTTTAAAAGGCTCCAATGGTATCTTTTTTACAAAGATATCTGGTAATCCCAATCCAGTGGTAATTTAATTCTATTAAAGTTTTTCTATTATAAATTATTAAGAACTACATTTAGCAACTTATTTTACCAGATAATATTTTATCTAAGCAATTTGAAATTCTTATATAAATAATTTTTTACGATAGGTAACTTGGTTGAAAAATGGTCAGCGATTAATTGGATCGCAACACATCGAGATCACAGGTACAGATCAAGAATTGCAACTAAAAATCAATGACGTTGTTCCAGAAGATATTGGATATTATACTTTAGTATTAGAGAATCAGTACGGGGTAACGCTTAGCTCTGCCTATCTAACAGTAGAATCACCTGATCAAATTGATTATGTGCCTATACCATTTACTAAAGACTCAGTTGAAGCAATTTGCCCGAATATTTTCAAAAATTCACAAAATATAAAACTACTTCCTTCAAAATTAATTAATACCAATGTAGACTCGTGCAATGTAATTGAAGGAGAAATGACAAAATTTAATTGTCAAACAATCGCTTATCCATCTCCTGAGGCCACCTGGTATATTAATGATAATACTATCGTCATTGATGAAACACATGAAATTCTAGTCGACGAAAGAAATAATAGTTCACTTTTGACAAGCAATGTTGGTCCATTGGATCATGAAATCGTTGAAGGTAGAGCTTGTGATGAAACTGGCGAATCGTCTTGTCAGTTTAATCTTAATACTATTACAAAAGAAAAGAATTTTACTCCGAAATTGAAAAAAATATTTAGTTCAAAAGTTATTCAAGAAATAGAACCCGTATTTCTCTTATCCCAAGATATTAAAACTTTCACACCGCTGGTTGCTGGGCAAAAGGTTGATTAATAAAGTACACTGTAATGAACGCTGAAATCAATTTGCTAATCGATACATTTTTTGTTCGAAGGGTGAAATGCCATTTTCAACTAATCCAAAAATGCAAATATCTTCAAATAATGAATCTTCAAAACTACATGTTGAAGAGATGGCAGTTGACGATATAAATTGGTTTGAATCTACATCTCCTAATATAGCTGAATCTACTGTGAATGAAAAACACTTTATTAATAAGTCACTAAAAGAATCTATTACGAGTTCTTCAAAACCTACGCATCAGCCAAAAGAAAAATCAGAATTTATGTTAGTATTAGATTTTCGTTTTCATGAATTAATACTATTTTTATAATTTACGCATAAAATTTAATGATTAATTTTTTTATGTGTAGACCATCAGATGATTATGAAATTGTGAGTTTTCATCGTGAAATAATCTCAAATTCAGAAAAATGTTCTCCAGAATCAAATGAAGTTTCTGCTAATGTAAACGATGAGCGACAAATTTCTCAGTTTAAAGTTGCAAATTCACAACAAACAACAAATCTCGAGAAGTTATCTTCTCAACGGCCAATATTCACTCGAATGCTCAAAGAATTAGGAGAATTGCAAGAAGGTCGCAATGCTCACTTTGAAGCTCAACTAACTCCTATAAGTGATCAAACAATGAGAGTAATGTGGTACAAATATAAAAAACCAATTACAGCTGGTAAGAGTTATTTTAATTTACTTTTCCAATCAAATATTATAATTCTAAAATTTATGCTTTTCATTAGATTCCAGAATTAGCACTATTTTCAACTTTGGCTATGTATCGTTAAATATAATGAACCTGCGGATAGAGGATTCTGGATTTTATTCTGTTCGAGCTGTCAATCGTTTAGGGGAAGCTACAAGTTCAACATTTTTAAAAGTCCTGGGTAATAAGCATTGAAATATGTAGTATTTTACTTTATTTTATTTTATTTTATGTTGGTACTTTATAATTTATTTTACTTAGCAAATACGGAACATTCGACAGACTTGGATACAGATAATCACTGTTATCTGAAAATTGATGAAGTATCAAAAAATAATGAAAAGGTCAAGCCTGAGGTAGTTCACACCAACTCATTTTTAAAGAATGACAATCTTTCAAATTTAAGAAAAATTCCGACAACTGAACTCTTTGAAAGTAACACATGCTTTACTAAAGATAATGAAAAAATTAGTGAATTTCCTAGATTTATAGGAGAGTTAAAAAGAACACATGAAATAAGAGAAGGACAGAGAGCCCATTTCGAAATTTGTATTAAACCACAAAATGATAAAACAATGAAAGTTGAATGGCTGCATAATGGAAAACCAATTCCTACTGCTAATAGAATTCAAATGTACTATGCCTTTGGATATGCTGCTATCGATATTCATGAAGTACGATCGGAAGATGTAGGTACATATACTGTCATAGCACGAAATAATCTGGGAGAAATATTTTCAACTACTGATATGATTGTTACTTGTAAGTCGACATTATTTTAAAGAATCCATTTTTACTTTTCGTCCACCATTATTTATACAACATTATTTATATTTTAGCTCTTTCTATTCCAGACATGAGAGCTATACATCCTGGAGTTTGTTTAAAAACTGAAAGTCTTAGGAATATGAAATTGGCAGAACTTCAACACGAATTTGCTGAAACTATACATTCTAAACCTGTGTTAGCACGCTCATTAAGTTCCGGTAAATATAAACATGATGTAAACATATAATGTACATATTTTTATTTAAGGTACGTTTTCTTAACATTTCAGATCGATTTACTTCTAAAACGAAAAATATTGATTCTGATACATATCGAAAGTTTGAATGTATTGAAGATATGGAACTAGTTAAATCTCAACGTCAACTTAATGTAACTGTAGATTGCAAGTCAACATTTGCTCAACCTTTGGATTTTAATAAATATAACCTACTTGATAACAATGATATAGAATTTACTGAAATATCACCTCAAACTGGTCAAATTTTAGATGAAATTGTTAATAATCAATCCAAACCTTCTGCTACCCATTCGCATTTACCTGAAAACTTATCAAGACGTAAAGAAGATCAACGAAAAGAAATAATTGTCAACCAAGTTCCACAATTTACTCGGCCTCTTCGCAATATCGAAACTGTTGAATTAACAAATGTTCACTTGGAATGTCGTTTACAGCCTGTTGGTGATACATCGATGAAAGTAGATTGGTTTATCAATGGTAGACCTATTAGAACTGGGTACCGTTTTAGACCATCTAATGATTTCGATTATGTGGGACTTGATATTTTAGGAGTCTATCCGGAAGATTCAGGTATTTATACTTGTCAAGCACGTAACCGACTTGGTGAAGCAGCAACTTCATGCACAGTTAAAGTGCAAGGTGGTTTGGATTTAGTACTGGAATCGCAGCATCCTGAAATTCTAAGACATATTAAGTACTTAGAAGATGCAAGGAGATGTAAGAGGCCTGATATTATCGATGAGTTTGTAAACGTCCAACCTAAATTTATAACTCATCCGAAAAATCAAGAAAATTTAAACGAAGGGCAGAATGCTCATTTTGAATGTAAATTAGAACCAGTTACAGATTCGAATTTGAAAGTAGAATGGTACAAAGACAACAAACCGATCACTATAGGTAATAATTAGTTATATATGAGGAAAATAACGTACATATTTTTCATTTTTACTTTTTAACAAATAAAAATGTATTTTCAGGACATCGATTCCGTCCAATGCATGATTTTGGCTACGCTGCTCTAGATATCATAAATTTGATTGTTGAGGACTCGGGTACGTACACATGTAGAGCTGTGAATTTGGTTGGAGAAGATATGGTGAATTGTACATTACATTGCAATCCAAGCTATCATATAGTATCTGATACTCACAATGAAAGTGGGCTTGAAAAGATTCTTAATCTTGAAGACAAAGTGAAATATCATTCAGTAGAAAGTGTCGATGAAATAACTGCTCAAGCTCCTGTTTTCACAGCTTCTTTGAATAATGTTCAAATCACAGAAGGCCAACGAGCGCATCTCGAATGTAGATTGATTCCAGTTTCAGATTCCACTATGAATATAGAATGGTTCCATAACAATACACCTGTTAAAACTGGATCTCGTTACGTTGAAGCGAATAATTTTGGCTCCGTCACTTTTGATATCATATGTGCGTATCCAGAAGATACAGGATTGTATACTTGTCAGGCTAAAAATGCAAATGGAGAGGCTATTACCTCTGCAACTGTAATTGTTGATTGTAAGTAAGAATAGATTAAATCAATTGTCTTTCTACCAATATTAAAATTTTTTTTTTTCTCAGCCAAAACATCAATTAATAATGAAACTCAAAATAAAGAAGCTTTACAAAAAATACAAGAACTGGAAAACATTCCTCGTCGTCCACGTAAAACTGTTAATAAAGAAACCGTTACACAAGCACCAGTTTTTACAGTACCTATTAAAGATATACATTCGAATGAAAATAATGGAGTACTTTTTGAAGCTCGAATCATTCCCGTAGGTTATTCCAACTTAAAGCTTGAATGGCTACGTAATGGCGTACCGATTCCGGCATGTAAGTACAGCATGTAGTTTTACAGATATATATAATCTTCTATATAAATAGCTTTATAAATACTTGAAATATGTTCTAAATTTTAGCAAATCGTATCACGGCAGTACATGACTTCGGTTACGTAGCTTTAAACATGAAATACGTTAACCCAGAAGATGCTGGAACTTACACGTGTAGAGCTATTAATGATCTTGGTGAAGCTGTCACGTCAGCAACTTTGTTTGTTCGACGTAAGTAAATTTTTAACTCAAAATTGGTTCATTCAATTATGTTATTAAAGTTCGCTAAGACTTTATAATTTCCTAAATATTTTACAATACTTTTATTTATACAGCGAAAGCAGCATTACAAACTGAGTCTCGTTATGAAGGTGTTTTACCAAAACTCCAAACTTTGGAAGATAGAAGGAATCATTCAAAATATAATGAAGTGGAATTAGTAATCACTGAAATACCAAAATTTACTGTTGAAGTTAATGGGCCTGTAAACTTAGTAGAAGGCGAAAACGTACACTATGAATGTTGCATCGAACCCTACCCTGATTATAACTTAAAAGTCGAATGGTTTCACAATGGCCAACGCCTTCCAATTGGATACAGATATAGAACAGCAAATAACTTTGGCTTTGCATCACTCGATATTTTGTCAGTCCGTACTGAAGATTCTGGCGTTTACACTTGCGTAGCGTCAAACCATATTGGACAAGCAGAAAGTACTATTGAAGTTAATATAGAGCGTAAGTTTTGAGTAAACTTAGATTCATGATCAAAATAACAGTTTTTTTATTTAAAATTATATTTAATTTACTCACCACGACTGATATATACAATTTTAGCTCGAATATCTGTGATAAGCGATTCAAAGCATGAAGGAGCATTAAAGAAAATAGAACAACTCGAAGGTGGTTCATTTCAAAAACGGCCTGGAGATACAAAGTCTATAGCGCCTGAAAAACCTAAATTTGGGGTATCATTGAAAAATATCGAGCATTTACCCGAAGGTGAAACTGCTCGTTTAGAAGCGACGTTATCCCCGGTAAATGATGAAAAAATGTCAATTAAATGGTATAAAGATGGAAAGTTAATTCCTTCTGGACACCGATTTAAAACTACTTGTGATTTTGGATATATCGCGCTTCATATTCTGTATGCATTTCCCGAAGATTCTGGCACATATATGTGTAAAGCTAAAAATGCTGCTGGTGAAGCAGCCACTACTTGTATTATTAATATCGATGGTAAATATTTAAACGATATTTTTCGAAAATTCAAATTGAGAAAATAATATAAAATTTATTTCGCTAAAATTTTCACAGATAAACAAAGTGTTTATGATGGTACGATGGATGCTCGCCGACTCGAAAAAATTCATCTTTTTGAAAATTCCAAAGCTAAAGTGATTATGGAAAAAGAAGATAAACATGAGAAACCAGCGTTTGTATCTCCTTTGAATAATTTGGAACTTCAAGAAGGAGAACGAGCTCATTTGGAGTGCCGTATCGAACCAATAAATGATACTAACTTGTATATAGATTGGTAACGTACATTTGGTTTCTAAACAGATTCAGATCTATTAAAATAAATACAAAGCACACTAATTATTTCTCATTATATAGGTTTATTAACGGAAAACCAGTTAAAATTGGTCATCGTTTTAGAAAAACACATGAGTTTGGGTATGTTGCTCTTGACATTTTGTATACGTATGCAGAAGATTCAGGTAATTATATGTGTAAGGCAACGAATCTTGCTGGAGAAGCGGTCAACACTTGCATAATCAATGTTGGTTGTAAGTTTCTTCTAATAAAAGTTTACATTTTCATTTCGTCGGAATTCATGTATCAATGTTCATTTATTAAATCAGTATTAAGGTATTAAATTTAACAATACTTTTTAGCTCCTCAAAGTTTAATATTAGAATCTTTATATCCGAATGGATTGGAAATGATAACAGAATTAGAAGCTAGACGCCGACCAATCAGCTTAGAAATCCAAGAGCCTTCTATATGTCACCCTAGGTTAATAAGCGAATTACAAGTGAGTAAAAGTAATGAGTCGTTACATTAACGTAACAATATTTTATTTAAAATCATTAACTATTTTATTGATGAAATTAAGGGAACAACAGAAATTCATGAAGGTCAACCAGCTCATTTTGAATGTCGTATTGAACCCCTGCATGACGCTAATCTTCGAGTAGAGTTTTTCCATAACGAAAAACGTTTAGCAGAAGCATCCAGATTCCATATAACATGTGGTTTTGGTTATGTTGCATTGAACATTAGTCACGTAATTCCAGAAGATGAAGGACAATACTTCGTACGAGTTATTAATGCTCTTGGTCAGTGCTTTTCCTCCATTAAATGCAGTGTATTAAGAAAACAGAATATCATCTCGGAGTCAAACAGACCTAAAGGATTGGAAAAGATTTATGAACTTGAATCTCAGTTACTACATAATAAACTTGAAGTTTCTAAACCAAAAACAAGACAAAGACCAATCTTTACTCAACCATTGCAGAATATTGATAGTCTAACAGAGGGTCAGATAGCTCATTTTGAATGTAAATTAATTCCAGTTGGGGATACTTCATTAAAAGTTGAATGGTTCAGGGATGAAAAACCATTAGAATTGAGTATATAAATGACATTTAAAAAGTATATTATCAAATTGTACAAATAATTTAAATTTGGAAAATATTTTATTTAAGGTTCTCGAATAACGATAACCCATGATTTCGGCCATGCAACTCTCAATTTTGATCACGTAAGGGAAGAAGATGAAGGAATTTACATGTGCCGTGCTTCAAATCTTATGGGTGAAGCTATAACGACCGCGTATATGAAAATTTTACGTAAGCTGCATGAACATATAGGCAGATGAAGTATAATTTAAGAAATTATTAAATTTATATTTATTTACAGCAAAAGAAAAAATCCAATTTGGTACAAAATATCCTCAAATACATACTAAACTCTTACAATTAGAAGATAAACAAATGTTCACTCCATTACAAGAACTTGAAGAAATTTATGAAAAGCCAATTTTTACACAATTATTGACTGGACCATCAGCTGTGGTTGAAGGACAAATCGCTCATTATGAATGTAGAATTGTGCCTGTTGGCGACTCAGATTTGAGACTTGAATGGCTATTAAATGGAAATACACTTCAAATGGGTAATTCGTTAATTATATTATTGATCAATAAATCATTTATAATTAGTATTAATACAATATAATTTGATTGATAGGTTCTCGGTTTCGTGTCAACAACAATTTTGGACTTGTTACGCTAGATATTTTAAAAGTTATTCCCGAAGATTCTGGAATCTATAGTTGTAAGGCTATCAATAGTGCAGGAGAAGCTCTATCTTCGATTCCTCTTAAGGTGAAAAGTCGTCCTAATATTGCTCTAGATTCTATTCATGAAGATGCCTGGCAAAAGATACAACTCAAAGAAGCTGAAAGAAATAAAGTTTCAGAAATTTTTGTCGACGCAATACCACAACAACCTCCAATGTTTATAACACATTTGAAAAGCTATGATGATTTAATAGAAGAACAAAACATTTGTTTAGAAGCACAAATAGAGCCTCATACTGACGCAAATCTTCATATTGAATGGTTCAAAAATGGGGTGGCTTTACAAACAGGAACGCGTTTAAGAAGTACCTTCGATTTTGGTTTTGCTTCACTGTTAATTAATGGATTACGTCTAGATGACTCAGGTTTATATACTTGTAAAGCAGCTAATTTACTTGGTGAAGCAGTATCAACGTGTAGTATTAAGGTTATCGAAGCTAATTGGTTGATATGTGATAGTTTACATCCGAAAGCTATAACTAAAATTAGTATGTTTGAACATTCTCCAGAAAGCTTAGAAGAACAATTCAAATTAACATACGGGGAACCAATTTTTATCCGTCATCTAAATAATGTAGAATGTAATGAAGGTAATACTATTATTTTTGAATGTAAAATAGAACCATCTAAAGATCCATCATTGCAAATTGATTGGTTTTTAAACGGTCAGTCTCTACCATTTGGTGACCGGTATAAGACGAAATACGATTTTGGTCATGCAATTCTTACTTTAAGCAATGTTTCAGACAAAGATTCTGGAATTATTACAGTCAAAGTCAACAATTCTAAAGGTTCAGCTCAAACATCAGGAACATTGAAATGTTCAAACAAACAAAATATTCTTTTGCAAACACAACATCTACAAGGTGATGTTGGTTTATCAAAAATAACGGAAATAGATGAATTATACACGTCAAAAGCTAGACGATCACAAACTTATTCTTCAAAGGAGTATAACAAACCTATTTGGGTAGTACCTTTCCCATCTGAAATTAAACTTAAAGAAGATGCTCCATTGCATTTGGAAGCTAATTTTGAGCCCAAAGATGACGATAACTTAAAAATACAATGGTACTTCAATGGAAACTTATTGCAAAATGGATCACGATACAAAATTACATACGAGTTTGGATTTGTCACATTAGATTTGATTGATACTTTTGAAAGAGATTCTGGCATCTACACGTGTAAGGCATACAATGAGTCTGGCAAAGCCTTCACGTCATCAACAGTTTATTGCTCAAAACAGGAAAATATTGTAGAAAAGCCTAGGAATTACAAGGATACACATAACCTCAAGGTTGTTCAACGTGCATGCAATACCCCTGAAAAAGAAAATGATGTAGTTACTGACCAACCACCAAAATTTACTTCAAAAGTGGATAATCTACTAAATATTACAGAAGGAGAACTTATTCATTTTGCAGCTTCACTCATTCCTATTGAAGATCAAACTATGTCTATCGAATGGTCCTGCAATGGGAAACGAATTGAAGCTAGTCATCGAATTTGTACAGCGTATGCTTTTGGAATAGTTATTCTTGAAATACACGGAGTTAGAACTGAAGATTCCGGGACGTATAATTGCAGAGCTACAAATCAATTTGGAATAGCTGAAGTTGAATTCGAATTACTATGTATACAAAAGTCAAGCGGTCAAAAACCAGAATTTATAACTCACTTACAATCATTAGAAAATCTTAAGGATGGACAGTCGGCTCACTTTGAATGCAGTCTTACTCCACTTGATGATTCAGATATGATAATCGAATGGTTACACAATGGAGAGCTTTTGCGCCACTCATCACGCTACAAATTGGTTTTCGATTTTGGTACTGTGGTTATGGATATTGCAGGTGTAATACCATATGACAGTGGCGAATACATTTGTAAAGCAACTAATAAATACGGTGAAGCTTTTACTAAAGCAAATTTAACTTGTATTGATAGAAGTGGAGTATATTTTGAGACTCTAAAACCTAATTCACTAACTAAAATTAAACAACTAGAGTCATATACTAAAAAATCAACAGAATTGATAGAACAAAAAATTGATCCTCCAAAATTTATCACTTATATACAGGATAACAAGGTCATTGAAGGGCAGCCAGCTCATTTTGAAGCGAGATTCATACCATCAATGGATTCAGATTTAAAAACTGAATGGTATTGCAATGGAAAAAAAATACCCAATAGTTATCGTTATCGCACATTTCATGACTTTGGCATTGCTGTACTTGATATACTTTATTGTTACGAGGAAAATTCGGGCGAATATGAATGTAGAGCTATAAATAAATATGGACACGATTTTACAAAAGCACAATTGATATGCATTTCAAAATTAGAATCTTCAGAAAATTCAAAAAGTAAATTTGAAGAAATTTCAATTGTACACGTTGAAAAGGCAGAAAGGAAAAATGACCAATCTATAGAAATGATAAATAGAGCTCCCGTCTTTACATTGCCTTTAAATAATATAGATAATCTGTACGAAGGGGGAAGTGCTCATTTTGAAACACGATTGACACCTGTAAATGATCCTAAATTAATGGTAAGTAAGAATTCAAGCAATGGAATATTCACTTTTCAATTACACACATTTACAGTAACTGGTTATAATTTCTAGGTTGAATGGTTTTGGAACGGAAAACCATTAAGAACAGGTACCCGATACCGTACGATCAATGATTTTGGTTTTATTATTCTAGAAATATCGCCAATTTATTTAGAAGATTCTGGAGAATATATCTGTAGAGCAAAAAATGAATTCGGTGAAGCTGTAACTTCTTGCTTGATGAAATGCATTAGTAAAAGTTCGGCTATTGTCGAATCTAAACTTTCACAGAGTAATGAAAATACTATCTATAAATTGTCAGAAATAAAAAATAACGACGGTAATCCACCCGAATTTATTAATGCACCTCAAGATTTGACGGTATTAGAAAATTCATTAGCACATTTTAAATGTCAATTAATACCTCTAAATGATTCTAGTATTAGAGTAGAGTGGTTTCACAATGGAAAACCCCTTTTAGCAGGAACTAGAGTGAAAACGATTCATGATTTTGGTTTTGTGGTCCTAGAAATAGCCAATTGTTGTCGGCGAGATTCTGGTTTATACATGTGCAAAGCAGTAAATAGACACGGCAAAGCTACTGTATCGTGCACACTTCGTATTTACGAAAATCATTTCATTTCATTGGAAGATGTCGTTGATTTTGGTTTACACTATGCTTGTGAAGAAAATGAAACAAAATACAAAAAAATTAGGCAAAAACCAACATTGGCTTCTCACGTAACATCTGAAATTCCTCGTCAGATTCCAAAATTTATAACTCACATAAAATCTATTAATGTTGATGAAGATGAAAGTGTAAAATTCATGTGTCGAGTGGAACCAAAAGATGATCCAGATCTAAAAATTGAATGGTACAGAAATGGAGAATTGATTCCAGTCGGTCACAAGTATAAAATGAATTATAATATAGGTATTATTTCAATGGACATTTTGTACGTATATCCTGAAGATTCTGGAGAATACACATGTAAAGTTATTAATCTTCATGGAGAAGATACAACTTCGGCATTCGTGACGTGCAGAAGTAACCTTCATTTTATTTTCAATAGCTTATTAACATTATTAGGGAAATACGAAATACATTAATATTTTATGATCAGGTCTTGGAAATTTATAAAATGTTTTAAATTGCATATTCATTTTTAGAATCACCAAGTATTATTTTGTACAATCAAGTGCCTAAAGGATTGAATAAATCTGAAGCAATGTTACAAATGGAAGCTACTATTAAAAAGTATACTTCAGAAGTATGCCTTACTGAGGATGATTTTTTTGAAATGGATACTAAAAAACCTCCTAGATTCGTTACATTTATAAAAGATCAACTTAATCTAGTTGAAATGGATTGTACTAAATTTGAATGCCAACTAGCACCAGTCGGTGATCCTGATATGAAAATTGAATGGTTTTTAAATGGAGAGCCATTGCAGCATAAAAATCGGTTCACACCAATTTATGATTTTGGATATGTTGCGATGAACTTTGGATGGGTGTACCCGGAAGACAGTGGAATGTATTTATGTAGGGCAACCAATTTATACGGAATGGATGAAACTAGAGCTATTTTAAAGATAGCTGGAAAGCCAGGTATAATTTATGAAACGCAGTTACCGAAAGGTATGAAGAGTGTCGAAAAAATACGAGAAATGGAAGCCTCTTGGCAAGTGTAAGTTTATATCATCATTTAAATTGTATAACACAAACGAAATCACAGAATTTTAAATTAAAAATATATTTGACTTTTATTTCTTTTTCAACTAGTATTCCTAAAGAAATAGTTGAAAAAGAAAAGGTCGACACTTGTCCAATTTTTGTGACTCGTCCAGAAAACGCTACAGTTTTTGAAGGCGAACGGTCTAAATTTTGCTGTCGCATTACTAGTCATCCCAGACCTATTGTATTTTGGCTGATTAATAAGCGTGTTGTAACAAACGTAAGTTTAAATTTAATAATTTCTCAGATATTAAATAGTGTAAAGAAAACAAAATATGTTAGTGGATTTATTTGCTGATTATTGAATTTGTAAATTTCTTTTTCTGTTGATAAAATGGCATTTTTTTATTATTATTATATATTTTTTTACCAGGGACCATATTATAAACTAACCTATGATGGAATGTATCATATGGATATCCCAAAGACAAGACAATGTGATAATGGAAAGATAGAAGTAATTGCAAAAAACTCAGTCGGTGAAGTTCGAACAGATGCTCATTTAACCGTTAAACCCCGTTGCATAAATTACCGTACAGTTCTCAAATCATCACAAAAACGTAAGTACGATACAAATTAATTTTTCGAACCGATACTATTTCGTAAAGTATCATAAACCATTTCACCAAAACAATTTTTGAATAATAAGATTGAAAAGAATTCTTCTCAAATATTCTCTAGGTGGACATGAGCCTGAATTTTCAGAACGTTCAACTAATCAAACGAAATTTATTTCAAAACAACTATTTAATCAAAAATCACAGATTTACCAAGATACAAATAAAAAAAATCTATATTCTAAACAAACAGTGAATACAGAACAACAAACAGATCAGAAGTCCACGGATGAAAGTACAGCTTATATTTTATCCAAAAAAGAAATTCCAACAGAATACGAAACCGACAAAACAATTGAAACAGTACTTAGCTCATCTAAAGCAACAGAGAGCGAAGTAACTTTACGAAAGAACATTGAGTACGAGAGTGTTACCATTTGTAAACCACCAGTCTTTATGAAAAGACTTCAATCGTGTCGAGTTTACGAACAGGACGAAGTTAAATTTGAAATTGAATTCGACGGTGATCCATTGCCATTAATTAAATGGTATCGCGAGGATTATCTATTGGCAAACAATGCGGATTTAAAAATTTATACTTTCAATACTAAATCCTCGTTAATGATTCATCAAGCATTTTTGGAAGATTCTGGAGTATTTTCTGTAATTGCAGAAAATAAAAGTGGTAAAGCCAGGTGTAGTGCTAATTTAATTGTTGAAGAAAGACGAAAACAGTGTAATTTAGAAGAAAGTATACTTCCAAGTTTTATTGATGTTATAAAAAATACTACCATTAAAAATGGGGAACTTGCTAGATTCGATGCTAAAGTCAAAGGCACCAAACCTATTCAAATTTTTTGGTTTAAGGTATATTTTATTTATTATATAATAAACGTAACGTATATAATACTTATATATAACAATATCTGTCACTTTTTACAGAATGACCAAGAAATTTATCCTGATATTCGCATAAAAACTTTGGAAGAAGATGACATTCATACTCTGCTAATCTTGGAAAGTATCAAAAGTGACACTGGAAAATACAAATGTGTTGCCGTAAACAGTGCCGGTAAAGCACATTGTGAGGCAAAGTGCATCGTACAAGACATTGAGTCGTCAGCAACAAATAAATTTCCGCATTTAACTAGCAAAGAAAGTGAACCAGTAATTTTGCAATCTCTTACAAATCAAATAATTGAAGAAGGTACAATGGTAATATTTTCTTGTAAAATTAGAGGCTCGCCAACTCCTACAATCCAATGGAAAAAGGGGAATAAGGTGGATATAAATTTATTAAAAATAATATGTTTATTTTTTCAATTAAAAAATTGAAGCGTTTAAAAAAAAGATATTTTGAAGTAATTGGCATCATAACTCATAAAAATTTTTATATTGATAGATAATCATGCCCTCTAAATATTTCCAAATGCACAAAGAAGGAGAATCTTATACGTTAAAAATCACAGAAGCATTTGCCGAAGACGAAGATATTTATACATGTATAGCTAAAAATATATCTGGTAAAACTGAAAGCTCGGCTACTTTGAAAGTACTAGGTAAATGATTTATGAATGATGAGTACAAGTAAATAGATATTTCAAATTTTAAAAATTGTTAACCTATTCGCAGTTGCAGAAATAGTGAAAATATTACCGTTATTAACTCCTATTGAAGATCAAATTGTACTAGAAGGACAACCAGTTCGATTTACAACTCAAATTTTGCCTCCTGATCTTGAAGCTGAAATTCAATGGTATCGCGAAGATATTATTATTCCCGAGTCATCTGATTTTAAAGTATGGTTCTTGATTTTATAATGTTCATATTTTCACGGTCAATATATATATACTTTTTTTTGTAGATTACGCGTGAAGAAAGTACAATTATACTTCAAATTACAAAAACATATATCGAAGACTCGGGCATTTTTACCTGCAGAGCAGTGACTTCAGCTGGAGTTTTGGAAGTGTCAGCAAAACTCATTGTAAAAAGTAAGGAGCTGAATCAAATTTTACAATAATCCTCAAAATGTTTTTCATGTACACTCATTAGCACTCATTAACTTGTACTCATCATATCAAATATCCAATTGACAAAATAGATGGTATAACATAATTTAATGAATATGGTATACTCGATACGTAAAAAAGGTATTTATGACGAAGGTGGCGTAATTACTTTTATTATCTTTTATTATTTTCCACAGTATTAATTGACTGTCGATCACAAATATTTCCTTCACATACACAAGACTGTAAAAATGCCGTATAGAAGAAAACTATTTTTTTTTAAGTTATTTGTTCCTATAAAAGAATAAGTATGAGAATAGTTTTAAGCAGTGTTGTATTTATTTATTGTATTTTGAAAATAAATAACTTAAAAAATATTTTTTTAAATTCATATATGTTTAGTATGATAGTTAAATTGAACGAATATTGTATCCTATATATTCCTATATCAAGTACTCATAATATTCTTCGCCAAAAATCACTACGGATTACTATTTTGAATAAAACATATTTCTGGATATTTATCTCTGTATATATCTGTATATACGCGAGATGTTAAGGTTTGTTTTTATTTTTGAGACTATGGTATCGATACTTCGTGTATAAAATATGTTTATAATTCATTAAAAATTAGCGTAACCCAATAACTTACTTTCCATATTCTTATTTATTTAGAAGAGAGTTCGTATTATACTTGATGACATTATTCTTTACAAAATATCACTACGTTGTAGACAAAGCATATAGAGCTCTTTTTTGGCATACTTTGGAACTGAAGAGTAACGTGTCTCATATTCTTACTAATATTTGAACATTAGTTTAACTTAATTCATGAACAGAAAAAAAGAAAAAAAATTAATAAATATATCTAAAATGTAAAATAACAAAAATCAGTTTCGATCCATTATGGATGTTCAATGTTCATGGAGACTAGAGATATTAAAAATATTAAGTTATCGTAAAATTTATTATTTCATTATTTAAATGATTATTATTCTTTTCTTTAAGTTCTACAATGTAGTAATAAGTTTGTTTTCTATATGGCTACGCACCACCTTCGTCAATCAATCATTACTAGACCCTTTAGATAATCATTGTTCAGCCTATATCCTACAATTTGCATTGATTTTATAATACAATATAAAAACTGTGTGGACAAAGGTGTTCAGCAATTTTTATGTAGTTGTAAATAATAAAAAATAGGTGATAAATTGACAAAGTGACGTCGATGACTAACCAGACATTTAAATAATATTATAAATTATTAAACCATTGCATATTCACTTAAAAAAGATGTTTTATTATTACTCATAAGAAGTAAAAGACTTTTTTTAAACGTGTAAAATATTCAAAATTACAACCCAAAATAGCAGCCTAATAAAGAATCAAATTCTAAAATTTACAAAAAATTAGCAACTATCTTCGCAATAAAAAATATATTTAACATGTTGTATTAAAACTTTGGTAATCAAAATGTGATTATATATCATGTATATGCAAATAAGTTTTCTTTAAATCGACGACGGAAAAATTTTAAATTAGTTTCCACAGATTACTTCAGTTATATATATCATAATTTATGGCTCAAACTTTTTTGCTTTTAGAGTTAATTAATATTTTAAAGAAATGTATGATAAATCATATTCATAAAAAAAGAGCATTGCAAAGACAAAATCTATGTAACAATTGTGTGTGTATAATATAACGTTTCATGAAATGCTTATACTAATAATAATAAAAAAAGCCACATTAGTAAATAATATTAAAATTTATTCTTTCAGAGTTTGAGATCATTTCATATGAACGTACTTTTCAGCACATGAAATTAAAATCCTATTTAGAAAATCAAAATAAATCGCATGTAAAACACAAAACAAATAGACAAATGAATAACAATCATCTCTTGCTTCTTATCAATGCTTTCAGAAAGACATCATTGCGAAAAATAAAACATAGCATTAAAAATCGAAAAGTTAAGCTTTCATATTATGCGAAAAAACATTTCTCAGTAAATTTAGCTTCTCGAACAACTGAAACATTTAAATGGAAGATATCTCGATATCACGCGAAACTCATAGCAAACCATAAAAAATCATCATATGTTAGGAACGATTTTATACATAATACTTACGCTGATAGACATGCATTTAAAAATACTCATGATTGGTTTTATCTATCTCCTATCGAAGAAGTTAGTGAAGCATCAACGAGTAGTTCTAGCCAAAATCGTCAAACTGAATTAAGCAATCGTGATGAAAATACATATTCCGATAGTACCAAGAGTTTAGGGGGATTAAGATTATGGAGCAGTTCATTATCACCTGGATGTAAACGTGATCATAAATACCATACGTATCCCAAATCACGCATTCCAGTGTCACGAAGATTCCACAATAAATATCAAGAAGTAAGATCGTCTCTCATGCCGGAAATGTATCCACTAGAGCCGAGAGAAATTGAACTAGAATATTTTCAACAACTCCATACTGCTAATAGTCAAGAAGAGCTTCAAGAATTTTTATTACTTGAGAGTCAATGTAGTGGTGATTTGAATTTAGATGGTATGTCGAATTCCAGAATCAGCAAACGAGATAGTGACGAAGAGAGAGGAACTATGTCAGGTACTAACTCTAATAAAATTTTTGTATCATAAAGTTACAGTACATTCTAATTTCTATTTTTTACAGATTACTGATTTATCAGTTAACTTATAAGTTATACAACTCAGAAGTCTGTACATTTTCATTTTAAGTAAAATTGGAATGCCAAGAATTTCTCGAATCCAGACCGCATAGGTGAACAGTGAAATTGCTGATGTAAATAAGAATCAACATGTACCAAGTTTGATAATATTCAACTTATAACATGTATATTGTAAATCGCTTTCTCGCTAATTATATTGAGAAAATCTTCCATGAAAGCTTGTAGGAACAAAAGATAAAATAACTATAAATGATAATTGATAAGGAAAAAATAACAAAACTACGTAGAATCTTTATAAGTTTACGTAACAGTAATTATGTATATAAATATTTATTATTTATATTAACAGTATTAAATTTAATTTAATATTTAAATTAACAGTATGTAAAAAAATTATGTAACCATACAATGTGTAAATATTTTGTTTATCAATAATTTTTCCAGACACGTGAAACTTAATTTTGTATACCTATATCTTTTACAGTTTTATGTCAGTCAAAATCTCTGACTAATTATAATATTTTCATTTATTTCTTTAGATATCTTATAAAACCATGACGTACATAATTTTAATCAGCATATAAATGATATTTTAACGAGATCAAACGATATGTGAAACTAAATGTCTAAATAACAATCTGATTTTAACTATCAAAAATTAAAAGCTTATAAGTAACGCTTATTGTAAATATTTGAGAATTTCAATTTTTCTAATTGTCTAAACGAAAAGTCTTAAAATGTATATTTTTGGCATAAATATTGCTAATTGATTTATGAAAATTAATGCAGTAAACCATTCCCTTAACACATAATGTGATTATAATAAATAATATACTATGTAGCTAGACTAATGTTCGAGATTGTTAAATGGAAAATTTGACTAAATTATTATCCAAAACCGTAACTATTTGAAACGGCACAAGATCACTGCCTATATTACTTTTCAAATTAGCACATATTTCCCTTCTTCTGCTATTTCATCTGTTTTGAAGACTGTAAAAAGTAACGAAATATAAAAACGATAAGAGAGTTCGAATTGTTGGCATCCGAGTAATTAACGAGAGTCTCGTTTAGATGGACTACTCGGTACGTGAGCGCCGAAAATTCTTTCCAGAAGTCAAGATTGCTGCTCGAGAGGTTCGTGCGCCGAGGACAAACCCCCTGCTGCCGTCGAGATCTAAATACCAAAACATCGAATTAAGTGGTGTGGGTAGAAGACTTCGCGTAAACAGTAGCCACCCGCGCGTATAACTGATGATTCTTCTCTACACTCGTGCGCTCAAATACATTTTTTGAACCTTTCCAGCTATGCTTTTCTTTTCAATAAACACTGAGCATCGTCAAGCAACCCCTTCAACAAATCAAAAGAATGTCCCAACGTTCGTCATATATCTTTGACTGTGTGTTTCTTTCGTAAATATGATAATGATATGTTAACCATTAACTTAAATCATAATATTTATAACTTTGAAAAACTAATATGCATGTAAACTACTGATTATATAATGACGTTCTACAGACGCTAATACTAAACACATTAAAGGATGTCTAATCATTTTTACTGACAATTAGTAAAATCAACGAAGAGTTGAAAAAAATCTTATTTTTATTCACTACATCCAAGTGGTTGTTCTCCTTTCTCCCTTCTTCAGATTATTATGTATATATTTTCAAATTATAACATTGATAAAATCCAGTATAAATGCTTTTAAACTGCGAGCTAACTAGTGGACTGATTTGCGTCAATTCTTAAAACAGAACTTTGGAGGTGTAAAGTAAAACGAACGAGTTTTATGTATAAAATTAACGGGCTCCATATAACGTATTTTACGGCTCATTTGCTCAGGCTGCTGAACATTTGTTCGCTGCAATCGCGAGAATCTTAGGCGGTTTCTGAAATAGCATCGACTTGAGATAAACAGATCTTATTTTCAGATCGTCTATGGCTCATCTTGCTCTCATTTTCATCCAGATTGGCGGATTTTTTTTTCAGCAAGCTTGTATACATTACCGAGACTTATTCAGTTTGTGAATGAAAAATTTAAAAAATCTGATAACAAGAGTAATAAATGAAATCTTATTATTAGATGAAGTACCAATTGAAAATTGTTATCACGATCAATAATGACAACATTTCTTAAAATAATTACGTTAATCTCAATTTAAAGAAAAATCTAAGGTTTTCGTGTGTTATATACATGCACAATTTTGATTCGCTCTTTTCACTTAAAATATTGGACGATAATCAATATGTTATTCTGATTAGTCATAATTGATATGATAATTTTTAATAAAATTGAAAATATTAGCGGACATACAGTGGAAAAGACAGTGGATGATAATTTTTTATGATGAAAACACCTGGTATTTACAAGCGCAAATCCACAAGTCTTTATTGCGTACGACAACGTTCATCATTCACCGAATGAAAGCCAAACAAAAGGCATATCAGTTTGCGAAGCCATTGAACCTTCAAACTGCAGCTTGTTAATACATCCACTGAGCATTCTAAAAAAAAAAGTTGGAGCGACGCCGGATCACGAACGTCAGTTTTCCAAAAGATTTGAATGCGCGTGCACCTCGGGAACGCATCGGAGGAAATCACATGCGCCGTACGCGATGCAGTTCCAGATCGGCGGCGGTGCGCGTAGTATAAAATTACGGTGCCGGGTGTAAACACAGAGAGGATTCTCGTCGGCGCGTATGATGGCGCGGCCTGGGTGGGCTCTACGCTGCTGCTTCTTCACGTGCTGCCCAGAAGCACAAAGCTCCGTTTCTCTTTCCCCTTTTTCCTTCGTTGACAGCGTCGAATGCAAGGGTTCAGCATTTTTCGATGCTCTTTACAGTTTTACGTCGCTGAGCTTTCACCGTTCAGCTGTAACTTTCCAGTTCTTCATATTAATCTTTAACAACCAAAGTCAGTTAATATATATGTTATTTTTACGATAGTGCTGAATAGATTTCTAACACAATAGACAATAAACAATAGACTTCTAAAACGAACCACAAGAGACCACGTTTCACCAGTTAAATAATGCGAAAGGCTAAGTTTTAACAATATGTAGATTATATATTTTTAGTAAAACAGACGCTATAAACATTATTCCGAACGCGATTTTATAAATGTTGAAAGTGTCTCGACAAACAGACTCCTTGACACACTGTTTCAGCTATTACTTTAGAGCAAAGTGCATCTGTGAGGATACCGTTTCACATAAAATGAAAAATTATAGATATATTCCGACCCTCATAGCCGAGCGCTAGTTAAAATGTAGCATTGGAGTCGCTTTAAAAGGGAGGAAATCCCGCCGCTATCTGTGTTCTCCGTTTGCGGTTTTCTTATATGACCGACAACACGTGAGTTTTTCACGTTCGGGTGGTCTCTGTGATCTTAGTCCCGTAATTTTATTATCAAAAAACTGACGAAGGCCGTTGCGCGGGGCCATAAAAGACACGTTTTTCTAAAGTGTCTTACACATCTTCGCATGTCAGATGGACTTTTTTGTAACGCTGCACGAGAGAGTATGCGTTTCGAAGCATAGAGTCACATTTGAAAGTTTTTAAAGCTCATTTTACTTTGCGAAAGCAACGCTAAGTAATATAAAATGAGGTGTGTGTATATAAGCAAAGGTTTAAAGTTAAAGCAATCGAACCTCGCTTGCACGGATTCCCCCTTTCAAGATTCTCGAGTATTGTAAGCGTGACACTTAAAATCATCACGAAAACTTCAAACTCAAAAACAGTAGACAGAAGCGCTGCGTTGTAACACTCTTGAAATATGTCAAGATAATTCTGTTTTCTTCTCCAAAATGAATCGAGCCTCGCTGCCGAGTAGCCTCAAATGCTGTCTTGAAAGGCGATAAATTACGACGAGTGGCCCACCCCAACGATTATTCTCATTTTGACTAATTTTCAAGTTATCATGAAAGTTACGTTAATGCGGACCTGACTGAATTCAATTGACGGCGCTGCCGTGCAAATGCAACATTACTTTAGAATCTTAATATTGCGGTATCATGTACAACATAGCGTCAATTTAATCTTACCAAAGATAATGGTAATTATGCGGAAAATTATGTTCCAGCTTAAGGTAGGCTGTCACTCTACGTTGGGGAATAATTGAAAAAATAGCAATATGCCGATGTAACAGATAAAATATGTCATAATGTTCATAATCGTTTTTCGAAAGATTTTAACACAGGTTTTATCACAAAAATTCAACGTACATTTTCGTTGTACTTTTAATTATTTATATAAATGGAAAGCAGCTAACCTCGAAAATTTACGGACTTTGAAGATAAAGATGCCTTGGCGGTATGCGTTTTCGCGCATGTAAAGCTGCATCGCGTACAGCGCATGTGAAGTTTTCACTCAACTTAATTTTATATATTCCAAGTAATGGTACGATATTAATACTTGCTAATTATCCGAGTTTGTCGTAACCCTATATCATCCAGGCGTACATTTCGTTCATATAATGAACATCAGAAGGTGACGAAAATGTATGAAAGCGTCCGACGGATCAATCGTCGAAGGCTCAAGTCATCATCGTGAGTCAAACACGCACGCAGATCGGAGATGTTTATTCCCGACGGCCCGTGACTCAAGTGTCATTTTCGAATCGGCTATAAGACAACGCTACGGAGATATCTGATTTTTCTCACGCGATCGCTTTCAACGCTGCACTACATTAACTTCGCAAGATTTTTCAATGCGAAGTACGTCTGTTCGACAATAATTTTTCAGACACATTCAAGTTGCACAATCGACAAATTTTATTTCTTCTAGATATTATATCGTGCACTTGAACTCTCTTTCTACGCGCAATAGAAGTGTGCAACGAGGATCCAAATGTTCAAGAATGAATAATTGTAAGTATAGCGCTTGAGTCAATTTTATTAGCGATAACATTGATAACCGACAAACTCGTTTCATCTAACGGTAAAAATTCAATACTATGATCATTAATTAACGACAAAAACTGGTAATTTAGAACGTTGTTTTCCTATGAAAATGACAAACGCCCTTCTCATCTTTACAACAAAATAGCATTGGAGCGAGCACAATGAAAAAAATCACTTGACTCGTACGAAAAGGACCGTCATGAGGCCTCTCAAGCAAAGCACCGCACAGCAGCGCACTCAACTAAAATTGCAAACAACGGCACACGAATCAATTGGGGCGCAAGCTAAAGACAATCCGCCAACGTTAAAGCATTACTGCCATGATAATCTCTCTTTCTCTCTCTTCTCCGAACAATAAATAATCATCGTAAAAGGTCTGCTCTCCGTTCGCTTGGAATAGGCCAGCCGCGTGCGGCGCACACGCGTGAGATCCACCATCGAAAGGATTGTCTCTCCAATAGCGAGTGGCATCACTCGTTAGGAGGCCCCGCCTACGAGGCCGACGTCGCCCAATGCGCTGACGCGGCTGCCGAGCGAAGACGCAACTCGGTGGCACGGGCTGCTGCTCCTCAGTCGCGATCCAGCGCGATTATCGAGCGGCCAAACAGTTTACATCTCCGCGTGTAAATAATTATATCCGATCAAACGCGATACGCGCGCGCGTCCGCGTTAATAAAGACTTTGGCCTTCGCCGAAGGAGGGAGCTTTTACGAGATGACAAAAAGCCCGTAGGGCCTTGAACTCTTGTTTGTCGTTCGGCCGTAAACAGTTTGGCGCTGATCCGCGAGTACTTTTTTTCCCACGCGCACACACGTGCGCGCGCGCATCTGTCTCGCGCAAATGATAGAACTCGCTGGACGAGCTTCAATTTTTGATACGTAAGAGTGCTCGATTACTCGTTGATCCTCGGTAACAACCGTCGTCTCGTCGAAATGACGAACGAATCCGAGACGGCGACGGCGTCGCAGCACCTTCACCAGCAGCAGCTTCATTATCACCATCACCATCACCATCACATTTCTACCGCGTCGTCGCATCCGTCGGTGTCTTTGAGTTACTCGATGCCTCGGCCGAGCGTCGCCGGCGGCGGCAGCAGCGGTGTGATTTCGAGCCTGGCGCAAACTCAAATGGAGCCACTTCTGACGAGCCCTGCAAGCGCCAACAACGCGTCTCCGGCTAATCAAGAATCGGCCCGAAAGCCAGGAACTCGTCGTCAAGAGAAGCCGCCCTACTCCTACATAGCGCTCATCGTCATGGCCATCCAGTCGAGCCCAGGTAAACGTCTCACCCTGTCGGAGATCTACACGTATTTGCAGCAGCACTTCCCGTTTTTCCGCGGCGCGTATCAAGGCTGGAAAAACTCGGTGCGCCACAATTTGAGCCTGAACGAGTGCTTTATCAAGCTGCCAAAGGGCTTAGGACGTCCAGGTAAGGGCCATTACTGGACCATCGATCCGGCCAGCGAGTACATGTTCGAGGAGGGCAGTTTTCGCCGTCGACCGCGCGGATTCAGACGCAAGTGTCAGGCGCTGAAGCCGCAGTACGCTCACCAGTACGCCTTCCCGACGGCGACCGGATCCGTGCAAACCGGCACCGCTGGCTACGAGAATCTTACTGCAGCAGGAGTCGATTACGCCAACGGATATCAGAATCAGTACCAAAGCTATCCGGAATACGCAGCCGTTTACGCGCCGACTTCCGAGTGGACGTACCCGGAGTACAAGGCACCGCCGATCGCCGAGATCACCTGCAAGACCACCGAGTTCAACGTCACTTTGAAGACCGACCCGTCGATGTATCGCAACGGCGAGCTCGGACCTTTCAAGAACGAGCCTGGTTACGCTCGAGCATGCCAAGACCAGCAGACGCAGGTGTTTCACCAAAGCAATCTCAAATTGACCGATCACCATTTGGCGCAACAGCAGGAGGTGCAGCAGCCGTTCAAGCTCGACACCGAGTGCAGTGGCGTTACCACGACCACCATTGCTAACAATCAGAGTCAGGATTATTACGCAGCTTACGTGGGCAACGCGGCGCAGAATTCATCGATCAACGTCAACGCGGCGATTCAGGCGATCCACACGATGAATCCAGCACAGCAGCAGACGGTATCGAGTAGTAGCCCCGTGACGAACGTCAACTCGCCACACAGCAGCTGTCACACGCCCGTCGCTGATCACGGTAAGCCGCGGACTGCTTCTCATTTTTTTCCGGATATGCCTTTTATCGATCGCAGCCACTCTAACCCCGCATACTTCTGCGCGGTAATGACGCGAACGTGTTTAGCAATATTGCTTCGGACATTCAAATGCCGTGAGAAAATGAGAGGATCGCCAACGATATCGGCGGGAAAACGAGCTGATTTTATTGTGTGTTTTTTTTTTTTTTTTTTATCGTTGACGAAGCTATTACAGACGTTTAACGATTTGTCGGCGACAGGTTCGGCGCCCCGAAACATCGAAACACTGAACAGTGCGTGCTTGTACGTGCAGTCGAGATGCGCGCCGCATGGGTGGCATTCTTGATGTCATAAAAACAGGAGAAGCGTTGACGTCGCGGTCCCAAAACTGAAACACAGTCCACGCCTTTCAAAATTTCCAGACCTTTCAACGCTCATTAAAGGATTTTCTTACATAGTTCGAACGTCAAAACGAAAAGGTTCGGCTTGCATTGTAATTTTATACCGTTAATAGCACGGTGCTGCCTACGACAAATATTACTTCGATTTTTCCGTCGACGTTACAAACTATGTAGTTCGCGAATAACGTCCAGAAGTACAGCGAACAAATTGTTTTGAAAAACTTTTTATCGTCGATAAAAATATTATTGCAACTTATTACTTAGTCAAGTAGTGACTTCGCGTGAATTAAAAACGAAAACAACCAACTGAAAATACGTCAAGCATGCTGTAGCTGAGAGACCCGTCGCACTATAACAGCAATTTCACATTGAATGGCATACTTGACAGTGGCGAAATAGACCACACATGAGCAGAAATTTCTGAACTGCAATTATATTCTTAGATGCTTTCTTGCTACACTGTTTTTTTTCTCATCTCGAGACCTTTAACGACACAGCTTGAGCGGGCATGTGAATCTGCGAATGAGTAATACTCTTTTTTTTATGCAGACATATAAAGTCACGAAAAAAAAAAGATCCAACTATATGCGAACAATTCCATAAAAAAATTTTCTTAGTTCGAGAAAATTTTATGTAATTTTGATATTAGGTGCACGCTCTTGTTCATGCGATCTTATCAATCCATATACAAAAATCTTTGGCCTATTACACGGCACCTTTTTCCATCCAAAAGTGTGCTCAGATCAATAAAAAAAGAACATAATTTTTAATAATCCTTAGTGTTAGAAATTAACGAGAAACGAAAAATGATAGCGATAATTCATGTGCCACGAAACAAAAACATTTTTATATTTTTTGTTCAAAACTTCGATTCTTACAGGGCTTTGTAGATAAAACAATGTTGAAAAACTCAAAGCTATTGAATTTGCAAAGCTGATACATTTGAGTTAGACTTGAGTATTTTCAAAGTCCTGCAGGAATCGAAATTTCAAATAGAAAATGAATCACAATATTGTTTTCGGTATATCTTGACTCGTGGAATTCAAGTTTGAAACTGAATTAAGATAATTTAAAAAAGCGCGTTATTGATTTTATTGAAGTAAAATTATAACACTTACGCAGGAAAAAAAGGAGGGACAAGCAACTGTATCATATTATTTGGCTTTTTTTTGGCAGAATTGTTCATATGCGACACGAAATATAGATATAATTTTAGCAACGATTTCAACGTAAATTCCAACGGTGTTTTAAGGCTTAGAAAGCAAATTTATGATAGCGAATTACCGGCTAATCGGAAAAAAAATTTGCTCGTGCGAAGATTATACATAATATAACTGAGTCATACTCGAGCTGGTAATAAATGAGAAAGCGAGCGAGGGAAAAAATCGGATGAAGAAGCGAGCCTCCGCTGGAGTGTCCACTTGAGCTTAGAGCGCACTCGAGATCTGGTGCATTCTCTGAAACTATACTAATGTGATTTTATCGTGAGACGATAGCAATCAATAATTATTTCATGTAGATCGAACTATATTTTCAAACATTCACATTGGCAATTAAAAACAAAGAGCTCCCATCTAACTGTACAGATTAATGACGTTTAACGTGATTTTCTATTTTTTGCATGACGGAAGGCGATGATTATCAAGTATGAACAATTTTATTGCACGTTATTTTATTAGAACTGTAAAACAATGATGCTATTTGAAATTGATCAATACTCGTTTCCATTTTTATTTCACAATTTATAAAGTAAAATAAGTAACATGACTTTGGATATTTAAAAAATTCGGTAAATCGTAAAACATGTGGAGACAAAAGAAAAATGTATCTAATGAAAGTATAAACCATTGCAGTTGCAGGTATGAGGCTACAATGCCAAAGCGGCGGCAGCTCAAGCAGCTCCGGCGGCGGCATAGTGGATAGAAAGCCCTACTTGGCACACGGCGCCTTGAATTCGTCGACGCTAAGCCTGGGAAACATCGGCGCCGGTCTCTGCCTTCCCGTCGGCGGCGCCGCTACGAACAACGTCCACTCGGCAGCGCCAACGCCATCGAACGCGACAATGTACTACGATCAGATCAAGTACAGCATGTGAGAAAATTACGACGCTGATGATTTGGTGTGCGTGTGATTCGATTCTCGTACTGTCTTCCGCAATATATATATATATATTTCAGTCTCATGGATAAGTGCCTCGATGACATTGTGTGTGCAATAATCAAAATCTATTGAATGACTTTTCTGTCGAATGCATAATCTCATCATCGAGTTTATTCTGATCTTCGATGACGATAGTTTGATATGTGTAATTTATAAAATGTTATTGATATCCCATTGCAAATGTTGAGAGAGAGAAGGTGAGAGAGGAAACGAGAGCAATATTCGTTAAAATTCAACAATATTATACCAAAATATTCTAATCAGTTTTAGATTTTTATAGCATTGGATGTAGATTTAATTACAAAGTATTTGAGTAATACGATATTCATATCAAAGGTATTTATAAACCCTGTAATCATTGATTTTTTGTCAATAATGCAGATTATTTAATCCACAAAATAGTACCAAATATTGTACAAAGATTTCTTTAGAACTGATAGAATTGAAAAAATATCTATCTATTGTAAACATTAATATTATGTATAGTTATTACTTAATAAGTCTGCAATGAAATGTAAAGAGAAGAACGAGTGTTTCATAAGAATATTATATTAAAATGAATATGTACAATATAGTCATAATTCAGTCATTGTTATTAAAGAAGGCTGAGTACTATCGATTTATTTATAAATAAATTTATTTACACGACAAGTTTGAGTGTATTATACAATACGAAAGAACGTATTTATGTTGTTTGAATACTTTGTCACGGATCGCACATATTTTCAATTGTATTAATTCAGAGTCAATGAGCTTATTTGATGCACTTGAATTTATCGTGAAGTCGATATATTTGTCGTTACTAGTTCTAAGTTTTCTAGAATATACATTATTGCATATTAAAAAAATTAAAATCAATTAATGATTTGATACAAGTGTGTGCCACTTTGTTTATCTCTCATCCCGTAATCACATATTTACCATGTCTAATATGTTTTTTCAGGTCGATGTTTTACTTATATATGAAGTTCAAACGATTAGCTTGGTTTCCCGACAGGAAAAAAAAAACGAGGCAACATGCTGTCGGCAGATTTTCAGGGTGCGCTCTCTTCTCTCCGTCGGCTGATACAGCGCCATAAAACAACACGTGAATTTTACCTCGAGTTCGGAACGCGCTTTAGTATCTTTTTCTGTACGACTTGAAAATTCAATTTACTGCCTGACCTGAAATTTCTTGAACCCGTGATATTTTTTTTTATATTTAAATTGAGCGTAAGATAAAAATGAACGAATATAATGGAATTTGTATTTTGTCAAATATCTTTATCCACATATTTATAGCAACATGAAATGTAAATATTTTCTATCGTATATTTTATTTTATTCTAGCATATTATTTTTTTAAATGACAAATTCGTATGATATTACATGCTCAGCTTTATTTGGGTTGATCATTAATAAATCATAAAATAATGATTTATGTTATCTATTAGAATTCGAAATATTGTTTCAATTAGTATTTTCTTGATACTTCCGATGCTGGAAATACCAAGCATCTCAAATAGATCAGACTTTGGCCTAGAACCACTGATACATGCAATGAGGTGCAAGCTGAGTCACTCAATGATCCTGTTGAAAGCAGAGCTCAGCTACTTCAGTACTATATAGTAGAATTCTATTCAAAATTCTTCAATTATTCAGTAAATTTTTTATTATCTAGAAAATAGATTAATTATTTTTTTTAACCAATACACTATGAACCGTGGTTTTTATTGACAATTTGAAATTGCTTTTCATATTTATATCTTTACTTTCTCGCCCCTCAGCGATATTAACGTTATGCTATTTTCGTTAATGTTACGTTATTATACCAAGTATACATTTTAAACTATAATTTTATCACAGTTAGTCGACAATTTTCAGTTGTTATTTTATTAGAATAACTTTATCATTTTAAACACAATTATACAGTCCGAACAATAAGAAAGTCAAGCTTCTTCAAATTCATGAAATAATGGTCAGGTTCTTAAAAATTATCTTATTACTACTGCTACCTATCAATCTTCCTACTAGGACAGTATTGCCTATGTCAATCAAATCAAATTTCACAATTGCTCATTGATGAGTTTTGCCGTATGTCGACAATCTTGCAAATTAATTTTTATAACAGAAAATTATTCCAGGCTCATCAATATAAAAAAGTAACTATTTTTAAGTAATCTAACTGTAAGTATTATTTATTGTTGTGATATTGAGAGCAACCTTAATTATTAAATATAATAATCTATTCATTATATTCAATAATGCATTAGTTCTCTCAGTTAAAATAGAGAAAGCAAGATTTAGGGATAGTTTTTTTACTATCGAGAAATCCTGAGGGCATCTGCGCGGCTTAATTACTTGATAGATATTGTTCAGATTACAAGTTAGGAACTAATTTAATATAAGACCTGAAAGTAAAAACTTCTCACTTAGTTGCCTATAAAGGTGACAAGGTAATAAATGGAAAAAGCATTAGCATTAAAAAGAATATGAAGGTATAATATTTTATTATCAAAAGCTGTCGGTCACAGCACATAAGCAATCAGCTATTATCTATAAAAATTTACACATATATAAAAATATGTGTGTGTGTGTGTGTGTGTGTGTGTGTGTAAATGTATACACACACATATGCATAATATAATGTTAAGAAATTTGTCACTGTTCTAAATATTGTTGTCATATTTTCATCTTTCTACTTTTATTTTATTTAACAACTGCCGTGTTTACCCACAAGTTATTAATTGATATTATATATAATCAAACATTATGTTGTATGATACACCAAAGTTGTACGTTGATGCAGTATGACTTGATTTTTTTTTATGAAATTTTTAATTAAATTTTTAATTAAAGTATTACGCATTTTCTTTTAAAATTTCTCTTTAATTAAAGTATTACGCATAAATTTGAGTTTTATAAAAGTCGCCCGTCCATCCTACAAAAATACTGATCCGACGTAGACACATGTAGGAAAATATGAATTCTTTTTTTTAAATAATATACTGGTTTAGAATAAAAATTGAAAATAAGCGCTGGGGCAAGATAAAATTTCGGCCATTATAAGACAGAATCGCGTAGGAGGTTGTAAGCAGCAACGACAAGGAAGACGAAAAGAGTGCGAGAGGAAACGAAGAGTGCAGAGGAAGGGGTTCGCTCTAAAATAATAAACTGCGTATCTTGAAGCACGCGGGCACGTAGCGCATATACGTATGTGCCGAAAACCCGCGTGCACGCGTAACATTGCGCAGCATCTTGCAGCAGGAAATTTCGAAATTCGAGGCCTGCAGCCCCCGCTATCTGTTTGTTTGCCTTTCAATTTTTTTTCTTTTATGGGCGCCTAAGGGGTTAGAGATGGTCTGGGCTATTCTTTAGAACTCTCGACGTTACTTCCTTCGTAAAAAAAGAAAATTCTTTTTCCACTTGATTCGTTATAGACAGTTTGAAAATATAACCTTTTATTTAAATGCTCTTTTTCATTCTTACAAAGGCTCTTCGAAACTAAACAAGACATGAAAATTTGAAAAAATTTCATAGAAATTTAATTATAATAGATAATGAGGTAATCGACGTAGTGTAATTATCGATGTATAACTTTTTATAAACCACATTAATTACTTTAGTAACTAGTGCGATGTCCGACGTGCTCGAGCGCTTTTATCATCTTTGCTTCATTTTTTCCCATATTGATTAACGTGTTTAACATAAATTACTTTTTTTCAAAGGTGGATCTTCCAATATTTTTACAAAATACATATCACAGCGGATAAATATGTATTAGCTAAGTTCCACGTATTCTAAATTCATGATTTATAATACCGAAAACTGCTATGAATAATCTTTTAGATCTTTTCAACTATATAGGTGAAATTACTATTAAGCATTTATACCGCTCTTTAAATCAAGACTATAACATTATAACATATATTTCAATTTTATACTTTCAAATGTTAGATTAACGATTATTAATACAAAATAATCACAATAATTCCAAAGTATAATATCTTTTGTGTTTACGAAACGGTTTACTGTCGCTGCTATTTTGATGAAATGAATATTTAAACTATAATACTGCAGACTATTTAGTTTACTTTTATTATCTTTAAAGTGATCCATATCAATTTCACGATAAATTAAAATTTCACTATTAAAATTTCAACTTAAATCACATATTCGTCGCCGCAATAGTGGCCGAGGCAATAATACCGAAGGCTCGCTAGTATTAATCACTATATCTAGAGAATTTGATGAGTTATTTTTCATGTTTGATATTTTATATAATTAATTTAAGTAATATGCATCAAAATAGATATTTGTACTTATTTCCAACACTTTTCCTTCACCATCTTATTTCCAGATCGTCATATTCCGTGGTTACGAATATACGAATATCCTGATGAATCAATTGCATGTTCAAAAGAAATTTATACATTCATATAAATAAAGTGAAAAAAGTTTTTACGTAAATAAAGTGTAATAAGTACATGCTGTCAAAAAAATAATATTTACTTCAACCTCTCATCATATTAGCTTCGTGTCTCATTTTTATTTAAAAAATTATTTCATAGGTTCAATAAGATTACGACATATACAGTCATATAAAGCCAGTCATGACAAAAAGTCATTTACCACAATTATTTCCTTCATCAAATATTTTTTTTTCTTAAATAATTTCTTTGAACTCAATTGGTCGATGACCTCTTACTCATTTCTAATGAGTGATCAGTAATCATCAATAAATAGCATAATCATCCTCTTCTGAGAAATTGTTTTTGAAGTGTGCGTGCAGTTGTTCTAAGTGCATGTAAGTTTCGTTTAATGATTTGTAGTACAGTTGTAATGATCGTATCATGGTTCGTGTGAGTAAATACCAAATAAGTGAGGGTCTAGTATAAATGTGGTAAAAAAGCAGAGCAGTGAAAAACATATTCGGTTACAATAATGCATTATGATAATGTGGTGATTTGTGTCACGTAAAAGTAAAATATAACATAATCATCATAAGAAATTATGTCAGCTAACCATATCTTTGTGGTCCTGCGAGTCATTTTTTGAATAAAAAACTAAATAAAGCTTAACATTGGATAAAACTTGTCTCTGTTATGTTTTTATTCAAACAATGAATCATGAATTCAAGAAATTGACGGGTCGACATAATTTTGGTGATTATGCTAAATAACAAAATTTTCAGTGTTCTGATAATTTGGTCAAAATGGCAAATTGTTGGAAACCGTGTTACTTATCATGTTTGTATTTGTGTTCGCGTGCCAAATAAATATAAAAAATTTCGGAGTTCTATCAACAGAACTCCGAATAATAGAATACCAAGTTGAAGCATTTTATTAATAATTTGATTAGCTGAGATATGTTCACGTAATGTGATGATAAATAATCGCCTTTGTACAATAATACTTTTTGTGTTAGAAGTTTTGCGCAATAATACTATTTCAAATTTAAGACTGTATTCGCCGTGAAAATTTTTTCTGAAAATCAATTCACAAATATAGTGATATGTCCGCAAGCATTCTCTTATTGTTCTATTATTCATCTACCTTTAAATACGACAAAGACTTTGCAAACTTTTGTTTAATAGAAATTTTTGAAAATCGTTGAAAAATATTATGTGAAATTCACACCGTTTTTCAATCTAATTAAAAAACTTTATTTATTAAAGTTTTATGAAGTTATCAATATAATGTACTTTAAATATTTCATGAGAATATTGTACTTTCTGTTCTTTCGAGAATCCTTGTTTATACTATTTAAGCTAGTTCCATAAAAACGGCTTACCATATAATACTATATTAATATCCATATTAATATTAAAAATATTTATATCAAAGTATAGAACTCTAAATTTTAAACACGTAATTGTCCACTTTTAGCTGATGTGATTACGATGTATTTTTTTCATACTTTTTTGTTGTAAACTTGGCGACTGAAAATGTATTTTTATGCTGAACATTATCTTGCGTTCTATCTAAAATTTTCTAATAAAGTTTTATTTGTATTTTGATTTTTTTTATTTTGAAATAAAATTTTGTTTGTAAAGAAATAAATATTATAATATTTTTTTACAGCCTATCATGTATTTTTTGTAGCATGAGTAATCTTTTAATAATTTTACGACCAGATATTAAACAAATATAATAAAATTTATTGAATGAAATAGAATTAAAAAATATTCGCATTCTACCAAATGTATTTTAAGACAAGACATCTATATTTTTGAATGCATAAGCATTACTTAAAAAAATGAATGAAAATCCTGAATATTTATTTTCATTTTTGATAGTTAACCTTTTTTCACAATTTAACAAGAATTGCACTTCTGAATGCTTAGTATTAATAGTCTACTGCAATATAATGTAACGCCCACATAAGAAGAAACCTTTACAACCCTGCTAAATAATAAATGTTATAGATGGTAATACTTACCGAATTCAACGTTGATAGGTATGAAAAATAATTATTATGAATTTTACTTTTATATTATCTTCTATAAAAATTCAATGAAAATTAAAAGTAACCCTTTAAAATTGTGAATATATATCTTATGATCAATAATAAAAGAAAAAATTTTAGGAATAAAATTGCGAGACTATATTTTTGTCTATTTTCGCTAATTCGATTATTTGCCTTTATAAGCTTAATTAATATTAAGCTTTATTTATCAATTGATCTATTAGCTGACTATGATATATGATTACTTACAATCGGTACCCTTAGATTTCAAAAGTACAAACCGCTAAGGTAGGCAACGATGGTTGAAATCTACATTATCAACTTGGAAATCACTGATGCTCTTTTTGAAGAAAATTGGAATCGACAGGTTGAGAGTAGTTTACTTTTCTACCAACGGTGATTTTAAATATTAATCTTATCTCATAGGTACTTTTATTAGTTTAAAAAGCCACTATATATTTTTAACAAATAAAAAATTAGATATTTGTAACATGATAATCTTACTCGCAATGTAACTTGGAAAAAAGGGAATAAAATACATTTTAGGGATTAAAATGATATTTTTTATGTGTTTGTCGGAAACGATAAATGAAAATTTGTGCGTAAACCCAAAAATTAAAATATACTTTAAAAATATGCAACAAATGGAATTACTATTAACTCATCTCCGTAATGAACCGGATGAAATTTCACTTTTTCCTTGGCATCTTTTAATTGTGGTTACCCTTACCATATTGTAAAAACTTAACGAATAGCAGGTCAAACACGAAACAAATGAAATTTATTAACCATGCGGAAGAAACATGACGACTTTTTAAAGACAGTAATCTTAGATTTCATTTAGACAAGAATTTACTACAGATTAAATAGTATTGCAAGATCTTATTTAGATAATATTGCAATTATCCTCAATTATCACAAGTAGAGATTGCACTTTAAAAAAGTCCTTGCGACAGAACCATACGATTGAAAAAGAATTTAATTTAATTTGTTCTACTTTCTATTTTGTTCAATTCTTTAAACATACGGACTAACTACGTGATAAAGAAGCCTGTAAAGTGTGGTTTTAGCCTACGTAAATCAGACACGCATCTGCTCGTTTACTCCAATTGAAGTGGTACAAGAATTATGACACTCGAATCCATAATAAGAAATTGTTAAGCTCTTCGCTGTTATCTAACAATACACTTAAGAAATTCTATGAATAACTGATTTGTTAAGTATTTTCTAGAATATTAATGCAGACGATTTGCGTTATTTAATAAAGAAATGGTACCATTAAACAATCATTTTACGAATAAATACTTTGCGTTGGCCTATTTTTCGTATTTGTATTACTCAATCAGATCTTGACAAATATGTTAGATATAGTTGACGATAAATACTATTATCAGTGATTGGAAGATATATCAACTGGTGAGCTTATAAATTCGAAGATTGTTCTATATAAAAGAAAAGTTGAAGATAATTTGCTGAGTTGTCGATAGGTGTGCACGTTAAAAAACTTTAAAATTAGTGAAAAAAGAACTTTTACAGGCCATACTATGAAGTTACTAGCTATATTTCTGTTGATGGCAGTTGCCAGGCACAGCATATATGCTGATAACTTGCAAAGTAAGTAATTAAGTAGACTTATCCTTTGTAAGCAAAAACATTCAATTCATTGCACGTGCAAACGAATAAATAGCATATTTATAACGTTGAAGAAACAACTTTATTTGATCCACGCTACAAGAAAACAATGATTTAATTCAATGTTGATAAATAATTGAAGCCGCTAATATTTTCTTATCAATCATTAAATTTTATTTTTATGTCAATTAGCAACTAACAGTTTATTATTTAGAAATTGATTTGTATTTTCTATATTATATTGCAATATATTATGAAAATCGTTTCTTTTCATATGTTCAAATTGTACAATAAACGTATTGTCATAAACATAAACTCTAAACATTATATTATTGAATTTTTTTATATATTCATTTCAATAAATAAAAGGAAATTATATTATTAGGTGACATAACTTCTAACCAAACGGATAGTATATTTGGCAATAAAGTAAGAGATGCACTGGAAAAAATCAGGATAATTATGAAAACAGGAGATGAGTCCATAGGTTTTCCAAAATTAGATCCTTATAATTCAGATTACAAAGATATAAATATTAATAAAGAATTGATCAAGTAAATTTCAAGACAGATACATTTCAATATTTTTATATATAAGATAAACAAAATTCATTTTTTCTATCTTTACAGCCTTAACGGCAAATTTAATAATTGCCACATCGAAGGATTATCCAATTTTACTATTAATAATGCTGATTATGAATTAACCAAGTCAAATGTAGTGATTGATTTAACATGGCCCAATGTCAAAGGAAATACTTTGTATGACATACAGGCCATGTTGATTGCAAAATATCCAATTTTTGGAGTAGGTAACTTAAGGTATTTGTAACCTTTTCTTTTATATCCAAATCAATATTGTAATGATTAAGAAATAATTGTATCAAAGCTATCCAAATAAAACTTTTTATATTTCAGTGTTGAATTGCAAAACTTCAACTTTGCTAGCAAAATTAAAGTGAAAATAGATTTTGTAAAGGGAAGAATATCCATGCTTGGTTTGAACGATACTCACATCTCTCTTCAGAAACTAAATGTGAGTAAAATGAATCAATGTAAATCACTGTAAAAATTCCACATGTTAAATAACTCGCTCGCGGTTAATTTTAAAATCTTAGAAATGATTTTCAATGTTATACATAGGAAAGCTAGCTGACAATTAGCAAAAATCCTTTAAATATTGTTTTTCAATATTTTCTTTAAAGAAGCATAATTAACTTCCTATAACGTATTTTTTTTCAAACAGCTAAATATTACTGGATTATATAACAATGAAGAAATGTCAAAGGTGCTAAGCTCAGTTATAAGTGACATGGCTCCACAAGTATTAATTGATTTTCAAGAAGAGATAACCAATCGAATTAATATGACGGTGGTTCCACTTGCCAATAAATTTCTTGAAAATGTCGATATTTGGAAATATGTTGATAATAAACAGCATGAATGATTAAATAAAAATTTTTTATTTAGTATTAAAATATATACCAATAAGAAATTTAAAGCTTTGATTATTTATGACAAAATCTCTGTTACTTATAATTATTTACATTTAAATATAAAATTTTACAACGTCCAAGATATATTTTTTACAAACATCTGAAGCTATTTTTCATGGTAAAAATAATTCACTCGTCATTAAACTAAAAAATTAATATTTTTAAGCGAAACGAGGAAACAACGTATAAAATATTATAGTTCTCAAGTATTTAAAAAATTAACTGATCTTTGTTAGTTTTTTATGAGAAACCGAAGAAAAAAGTTATAATCAAGAAATATCTATTGCAAATACATTCTTGTTTAATGCGGCTCATCAGTTTTATTTGTGTAATTCCTTAAACAAAATTATTATTCAGTCATCTACGTAAAATTCATATATAATATAGTGACTTCTTGAGAGAAAATGCTACAATTTTAATAACTCGTACTTGTCTCACAACCATCTACGACTCATATACTATCAGCAACTTTGACAAGTATGTAACAAAAGATTTAATGATCATTAATATCATGAACGCTCCATGTAAGAAACCGTCTGATCATAAAGGTCATTATGCGTTCAAATTTACTTATTGAAACAATATTATTTTAAATATAAAAAATGTTAGGCGGTCAAACTGCTAAAATTTGCATATCGTACTAATGTATTTGTACAACACATATTATCAACGGTTTTAATCAATTTTTTATAGCTTTATATGTCAATATATTTGTAATTTTACTTTTATTTAAGCTTGTCTTCTATTCAATCTAATATTTCTAAATTACCTTTTGCATTACCATTTAATTTATTAATACTAGTGTTTCTTTTGCCTAACAAATATAGATTACCATAAAAATGTTTAATAGAATCAATACTCATTAGTAGTTACGCATAATCCATAAAAAGAAGCTACAAAGATGTTTTACCTTAAAAGTAATTTCAATCACTTCCAATATCATATTACGATGCTAGATGATAAGATAGATAAATTATTTTAGTACTGACATGTGTTAACCAAGTTCTTACACGAACTGATAAAAAATATTGAATCAGTACATATTGATTAAGTAAATTGTTCGCGTTATAAATGATGTAAATATAAATTTTGACATATGTTCATTTGATTTATACTTTGGTATACTATTTGTTTCTATAAGTTGTAAATATTACATCATTGATGTGATGTTTACAAACAATTTATCATTGAAAAATGCTCTATTTGAATCTTTCTACTATCTGAGTAAAGTTTCGTAATACAATAATAAAATGCAGACTCAACTTAGATTTAGAGATTTTTAAACGGTTTATATTTCACGTAATTTTCATTATTCAAAACTCCGACAATAAATAGTAGATCTTTGACGACAGTTAAGTATATTTATTGTAAAATTGATCGTAAAAACAACATCAAAAGTAGACATCGACATAACTCAAACTGAAGTATATATAATACATAATTAGTTTTAAATAATTGTCGTTCATTTTTCACTATCATTCTAATAATTTTCATTTGTATTAATATGATTACTAATGTATTTGTTATCACATAATCTTATATTTTTATCCATTTTTCGTGTACCCGTCTTTTCGTATTTTATATTGCGTATTATTCTTTTTACTAATAAATATGGTGCATACGTCAATAACGCTTTCTAAAACATGAAACGTCGTATAGCACAAAAATAAAAAAATCATGGCCTTTATTTTAATATCCTTGATAAAATCTATTGATTTATTAGGCAGGGAAATTTTTAAACTAACTGCGATACTCTCGTAATTAATGCTTTTTATTAAATTCTACGCCTCAGTGTTATTTTAGATTGAATTATTTAGGTGATTTCATGTAATAACGAATATGAAAGTGATGGATTTAAAATGATTTACTTCCGCCCTATTTTAAAGACGATTTCGCGATAACTAAAAATGCTTTTATGAAAATTCACAAAGCCACTATCATATTACAGTTATTAAAATATTTAGCATAATGATTTCATAAATTGTATGTGTTTTAGATAGAGTGCAATGTCGCCGTTATTGTTACATCTGTTACTTTTGGTTATTGGCTGTTGCCAGTATGCAAGATGTAACGATATAGTCGCACAAGCATCACCATTTGTCGATCAATACAGCCGTAACTGGTAATACATTGGAGAAAATATGAAAATACATGTAAGCTCTACGTGTTTTTTCTCGCGTGAGATCGTTTTTCTGGCTCACGATCCGTCAAAAGATTACTGCGAGGTCGTGCATGCTCGACACAAGGAGAAAATGAATGGACAGTCGTTTATTTAAATTTCAATTCTCATCCATTGTAAGCATCATAGAACCTATAACTTTTTATCTGAATCGATATTATGCTATTTCAAAATTTACATTTATAAAGGCTTATTTTACTGCTGCTTCCTAAGAATTTAAAAGTCTTTTTGAAAATTCAATAAAGCTACAAGCATATTTCCATACGTTATTATCAATTTTGAAATGTTATAAATATAGAACTCTAAGCATGATTCCAAATATAATCATATATTCAAATATCCAAAGTCAATTACAAAGTCTGATTTTCAATATAAAAAATAACCATAAATATAATCGAATTCGACAGAAGAAATAAAATTTCAGTTCTATATGAAGGTACTTCATATTTTTAATAATATCAACTTCAATATTTTTTTAGTTGAGTATAATTATAGAGTATTTTGCAAATTAATGACTAAATACAATAGCACTTGAGCATACCATCAGTAATTGAAAAACAAACAAAAAAACAAATTTTATTTTTTTCTGTAATTCTGTCCATACACACAATACCTGTAGTTTGTACATTCATTCTTTTTAAATAGACTACAACATCAAACTGCAGAACAAGTTGTCAAAATAAATATGGTACATACTCAAAAGGTCATATAGTATTTGAAGAACTACTCAACTTCCTTATGCAATTTGATCTAAATGTAATTCTTTTCCTGAATACACACTTTATATCAAGCATTCGTCTTAGCATATAAAAACTTGAAAATTTTAAAAACTAGTCGTCATTGCGAATCCACCATTTTAAAGTTATCACTTTGAAATATACAGTTCTGAGGTTGAACTTGTCATCAGCAACCCAGAAGAGCTTCATAGGTAAAATTTATGTCGTTTGGATGAAATAATGAGATATACTAAATCAATGATCGAATGAAGGTCACTGAAATATGTACCCACTGTCGGTATGTCATTCACTATTATGAAATCTACATTATTAGTTCATGGAATATTGAAAAAATGTATTGAATAGATTTCCAGGAGATGATAAAGTAATATTCATCAGTTTATAATTTCAAAGTTAAAATTGTACTTTTATGTTTTACTGTTTAATAAAACTATCTAAATCCTACTCGCCTTTTTTCTCAGCTCAAAGTTGAAATATTTATCTTTATATGTTGTTGAACATTTCCAAACATTAATATAACAATTTTACGAGCAATTCAATAATTGTCCCTTCCCCCTCCCCCAAAAAAGTAGTCGTTAATTCGTTAACCATCCATTAGTTCCTCTATATTTGTAAAATGTTATGAAAACTCAGAATATAAAGAGAATGCAATATGTTTTTTAAATAAATTTTATCACATCATTTCATTAAATATGTAATTTACATAAATTTATCTAAGTTTACATATAATTTACAGATAGTTATAATTTATATTGAATTTTGGATTTCGTCAACACGACATAATGGTGTCATATTATTTTATACTACGACACGATGTTCAGTTTTATTTATATATTCAATTAAATATTATAAGTTATAATAAAAAATAAGCAGATTTAAGAAGATAGAATCTTTGTTATAGATTACGTTTTGAGGATTAATTCATATTGAACCATCGTCAAGATAAATTTGATACTTTGGACAGTAGAGACAACAAGTGCATCAGTTTATGCTTCAAGCTATCACATAGTATATCTCTTCAACCCCTATGTCTGTCAATGCACAACGTGCTGCGCACATGTTCATGTAAACACATTAAAAGGCATACAAATAAAAATCGTTATCGAGTCTCGGCGAGCAGCTCAAACAAGGAAAAAAAAGAAGCTCGTAAAAAAACCTGAAAAGCCCCATATTTTTCGGCAAAAGGAACCACTCGTTCTCGGGTTAATATTCATTTCATCTGGCCGGCCACGAAGGAAGCTCCTTGTTTTTCACGCACGCATACACACGACGCGCAAGCGGCCGGTTTTTAGGCGCACATAAAACGGCCCACAGACATTTGTTCCAGCTTACAGGCCGCGAGGCTGTGGCAAGGCGGTAATGTCAGTACCTGGGGCCATCTGGAAGGACTTTACACGCGGCACTGGAAAAAAGGCGAAGAGAGAAATCTTTGTTTATACGTGCGACAGCCAAGAACCGTCGGATCTTTTGTTTCGTCGAGGCAGGGCACAGACGGGGTGCGAGGAAAAAGGCGTAGGGCCCTGATGTAGATTAGGCTTGGGACGTGCGGTCACAGCAACAGTCAAGCCCTACACGATTATAAACTGCAAATCTTTTTTGATCGCCATCAACTGAGCAAAGTCTGGAATTAAAGATTACGAAAGATTAAGACTTTAACCTTTCGCATCAAGCAAAGTCGGCCCAAGGTTCATTCCCATTTTTCTATTTTTAATGAGTGAATATCTGCACTTTCCAGCGAAGGATCGATGACGCAACGCGCGCCACACAGGGACAACGCAATGACTGGTTAGCGTGGAAAGCGCCACCCTTCTCTTACCTTTCTGGGCTAAGGATTATTGAGTAATACGACGTCTCCTTTATGGTGATTTGTCACACGGAAAGAAATTTCTCGTAAAAATTGCAATGATTGTCACGGTAAAGCTGAGATACTCAAACAGTACGTAAATTTTTATACTAACTTGTCGTGAATTAATAACAAACTAAGTTATGTACTCTACCCCTCAAGTCTAAGAAATATTATGGTGACGCTCTGTAA